ATAACCCCCCCCCCCCCCCATTTGCACCATGCCCCACCCCACACCGACCAACAATGCAAGGCATTGAACTCCGAAATACTGTGAGATAGGGTGGGGGTTAGTTGTCGACAACTCACTTGACAGACTTCCTCAGATGGTATTGAGTGACACCACATTCCCCCAATCAACCTATTGGTCGTTTCCATTCAAGTCGTATTCGAATTGAATGTTTGTATCCCCACAAATGGGGGTCATCAAAGACATACACTCACTCACTCCTTCAAGACCTGACGACATACGAAACAGATAGGATACTTGGTCAACGTGTTGGAGAGTCGTCGTCATCTTCATTCTTTCATTCATTCATTCAATTCATTCTCTTGGACTCGTACTTTCATTCATACATACATTCATTCGTTCATTCAATCAATCAATCGAACATTAAGTAACTACTGATGCCCGACAAGTCAATTCCATTCACTTCTTCATCGTCATCGACTCAACAACATCTATATCATCATCATCATCATCAACAACAACATCAACATCAACTTCAAACACAGATAACCTGTGATACACAAAGAATGAGCACAACACTGGAGTGTAATGCATCAACAACATCACTCTCAAACTGTAAACATCTAGAATCATTCATTCAACAACAACAACAAGTACAGGTACAAGTAGTACTAGATGATAAACAGGTATTAGTAAATACATGTAATATATGTAATGATAATAGTGAGAATTGGATATGTATCCAATGTAAATATATAAGTTGCTCTCGATTCAAACATAGTCATTCAGAGGAACACTATCAATCCACTGGTCATCCAATAGTAGCGTCACTCTCCGATCACAGTGTATGGTGTTATCAATGCGAATCATATGTCGAGCATCCTGTAAGTCATCCATCCATCCATCATCCATCAATCTCGCGACACTCACTCATTCATTCATTCATTCAAACAGAACCTTGCTCCATATCTTGAGATACTACAACATGTCATTCAACTAAAGTCAACTACTTCTACTACTTCTACTTCAACATCTACAACTGCTACGGCATCACCATCGATATTGAAGATTAGTACACAGACAGAGAGACTAAAGTCAAGTGGAGGTTTGAACAAGTCATCACATTTGGATAACTTCTTGGAGTTTGGAGATGATGAAGAGGATGACGAGTTGATGTTGAAACAACAACAGGAGAGACAACAGGGTGGCGGACTGATACAGGCTGTGATGGATATGTTCTTTGGATCAAGACTGCGTCCACATCCAATGCTGAACGAGTTGTCGCTACAGGGCGTAGCCAATCACATCAAGGCAGGCCACGCCAAGAATATAGTGGTGCTGACAGGCGCGGGCATTAGTGTGGCGGCAGGAATACCAGACTTTCGATCTCCAACCTCTGGACTCTATTACAATCTGGAGAAGTACAACCTACCCTACAAGACAGCCATCTTTGACATTGAGTACTTTGCTGAGAACCCCAAGCCATTCTTCCTAATTGCCAAGGAGCTGTATCCTGGCAACTTCCAACCAACACCTGTACATCACTTTATCAAACTACTTCACGACAAGAATGTGTTGCTGAGGAACTACACTCAGAACATTGACACCTTAGAGAGACAAGCAGGTATGTTGTGCGAGCGAGTTGGTGAGCGAGTTGGCGAGTGAGTGAATGACTAACAATCTATCAATCAATTTCCAGATGTTCCGGATTCAAAGTTAGTGGAGGCACATGGATCATTCGCCACAAGCAAGTGCCTATCTTGCAAGAAGCAACACTCCAAGGAGTGGGTCAAAGGTATGATGCTCGCTCTCATGCACACAATATTCCAGAATCACTCACTCATTCGCCCATGCATCAATCAATCAATCAATCACTGGAACTATTCCAATCAATCAATCAAACATATATATAACCAGATATTATATTCAAGGATGAGATACCAAGATGTACAGAATGTGAGACTGGTATTGTGAAGCCAGATATTATATTCTTTGGAGAGCCATTGCCAGCGAGGTTCACACATTTGGCAAGGGAGGACCTGTCAAAGTGTGATCTGTTATTGGTGATTGGTACATCATTACAAGTACAACCATTCGCTTCATTATTATCGATGGCACCAACGAATATACCAAGATGTCTGATCAATATGCATGAGGTTGGTACCAATGCCCATGGAGGATTCAAATTCGAAGCCTCCAACAACAAGACCGATGTCAAATGGATTGGTGATTGTCAACAGGGTATCAAAGAACTATCACGTCTATTAGGTTGGCAAGATCATCTCCAATCAATAATAAATGGAAATGGCAGCAGTTGATCATACAAACAGACACTACATTCAATCAATCAAACATATATATTTATAGTTGTTAAAAGTCAGCTGACTTTTCGTCGTTCATATCAATCATGATTACATGTACACAAAAGGTTCTTTAAGAACAAGTTTAACAAATATCAAGTCTTCTTCGTCTTGTGCGCCCCTTTAGCAAAAATGGTGAGTGATGGACCCCCCAAACAGTGTGTTGTACTTAGCCCAAGAGTGATCATTTTCCCACACAGACCTCTCACTACTCTTCGATTTCTTTTGAAAGACACACAACCATCATAGTTCATTTTAGGGTATCGCGTGTGATTACTCATTATCCACTGATCATTCAATTAACCAAACGATCAATCAATCAATCAAACAAATATATATATAACACTCATTGATCAAAGTCAGACCAAGACAAGATCGATCGATGAATACACCTTCAGACACTATTTCCGAAGAGGAAGCAGAGCTTAGGATACCCGCCACTCAACATAATGATGATATAGCTATACCAGGTAGCCATGACATTGCCACACTACCATCATCATCATCACCATCATCATCTTCAACGCCAGCATCAACATCACCACAGCAAATCTCGACAACACCATCAACAACACCATCAGCTGTTAATATAAACATTGGAGATGATGATGATGTGTTGTCTGGCGTCACTTCATTGGGCATGGAGAATGCAAATAGTATAAACTACAATACCGTACCGATCACAATCACTTTGGATGACGTCACAGTGTCCCTGCGAGGCGACTCTGAGAACCTCTTCACTCGCATCAAACTCTGCGAGCGCAAGGCACCCAAGAACCTCCTCAACAACATCTCTGCGATCATCCGTCCCGGCCAAATGTGTGCCATCATGGGTGGAAGTGGCAGTGGCAAGGTCAGTCCAATCACCCGATCAATCACTGGAACTATTCCAATCATTCAATCAATCAACTGACCCCATCACATCACATCTCATCACTCCTCACAGACTACATTGCTCAACTCAATCTCTGGAAGATATAACAAGTCAGAGATGAAGGTCGATGGCAACATTATGTTCAACTCGGTGCTGTCACCTCCACCAGACTTGGTCAAGAATGCAGTGGGCTATGTAATGCAGAAGGACTACCTGCTGCCAAACCTATCGGTACGCGAGACTCTTGTCTACTCTGCACGCCTTCGTCTGCCCACCAGCGTCAGTGATGCTGACAAGTTGGAGCGTGTCGATTCCGTGCTCTCAGTACTAGGTCTACGCGACTGTGCCAACACACGAGTGGGTGGCAATGGCAAGCGAGGTATCTCTGGTGGAGAGAAGAGACGTGTGTCCATCGGATGCCAACTCCTCACAGACCCAAGTATGTATCGATCGGTCAAACAATCATGTGGCGCATCAACCCTAACATCGAGGCCTCGCATTTAGGTGTGCTGTTCCTGGATGAGCCAACCACTGGACTGGACGCATTCACTGCGTTCCAGGTCACTCAGACATTGGTCCGCATCGCCAGACAGAACAGAACAGTTATATGTACTATACACCAGCCTCGCTCAGACATCTTCAAACTGTTTGATCAGGTCATGTTGCTGTCCAAAGGACAGCTCGTCTATCTTGGACCAGCCACAGAGATGGTTGGTCACTTTACACGTCTAAACTTCAAGTGTCCAAGAATGGAGAACCCTGCCGATTACTTCAGTATGTGTAGTCTAGTTGACAAGTTGGGTTGGTCGCGGAAGTCAAAGACGCGTCCCATAAACTAACCATCCCTCCCCCTCCCCCTCTGGAATGATTCCATACCCACTCAGTCGACATCTGTTCCGTGGACTATAGAAGCCCTGCATTGGAGGCGGAGAGCGTTGAGAGACTGAAGACATTGGTACTCTCGTTTAATGAGTGCGAGGAGAAGATACAGCTGCAGGAGAAGATTGCCGCACAGCGACTGCGAATCAAGGACGTCTCGCAGAAGCAGAGCAGGACAGAGGAGCAACAGCTGACGTCGCAGCTGAGGACATCGACGCCATTCTTCAGCTCGGTGCCCGTGCTGACCAGCCGCTCGTACCTCAACCATCTGCGCGACCTGCCCGCGGCCATCACCCGTCTCTCGCAGATCGTCTCGTTCGGCCTGATGATGTGCATCTGTTTCCTGCGTCTCAGCGACGACCAGTATGGCATCCAGAACCGCTCGGGATTCCTCTACGAGTCGCTCAGTATGATCTTCATCGCGCTGCTCAACTGTGTGGCGCTGTTCCCCACAGAGCGCAACCTGTTCTACCGCGAGCGTTCGGACGGCCTGTACTCGACCGTTTCATTCTTCACGGCCTACAGTCTTGTGGAGATCCCCTTCAACGCGTTTGGCGCACTGGGCTACACGGCGGTCGTCTACTGGGTGCTGGGCCTGCATCACGGCGTCAGCCACGTCTTTATCTTTGCGCTCACCATCTTCATCCTGCTGTTCTCTGGCGAGTCGGTCGGCCTGTTTGTATGCTCGCTCTTCTACGACGTTGGCCTGTCGACGACGATTGCCAACGTCATCCTGTCGCTGTTCTCACTGCTGGCCGGTTTCTTCAGACCGAGCTCGCAGCTGCCGTTCGTCCTCAAGTACTTCAACTACGCGCTGCCAACCAAGTGGGCTGGCGAGGTGATTGCCATCAACGAGTTCAAGGGTCTGACGTTTGACTGTCCAGGCTCTCAATCTATCAACGGCACCATCTGTCCCGTGTACACTGGTGAGCAAGTTCTCGAGTCCTACGGCTGGAACGACATCAACATCTACGAGTCCATGATAATCATGGTAGTCATCTCCATTGGATATCGTCTAATCGGTTTATTGACTCTCCAGTTCAACAGGAGAGTCGTTGTATTGTAATCTACTTCCTTCCTTGCATCATCCCTCCATCCATCCATACACCAACCATCAATCAGATTGATGATCGTTCCATAACATAATACATCCATTCCATTCCAATCCAGTCGGCATCAATCGCATGCCGGTACACACACTTCGCGTCTGTTTATGTTATGGTTAATGGTTGGTCTGGACTAGCTTGGGTCGGTTCTGACGCCCACTTCTCTCCAGTGTACCATCGCGCAATAGGTGAGCTGGGGAGAACTGACCAGTGGACTCGTCCTTGAGTGCTGGGTTGGGTACTGTATCGCCCTTGTTTCCAATCGATGTATATCCCTCATCATACAACGTGCAATATGGTACATTGAATGTCTTGAGGAACTTCCACACATTGCAATAGTCCCAATCCAAGATTGGACTTACTCTAATGAACTGTGGCCATGACTAATTGATTGATCGACCGGTAGAGAGTTAGTGATTGATTGTGAGGGAGAATGATGATCAAACATACACTGTCTGTTGGAGTAAACTCTGATAGATGACTTGAGTATGGATCAGTCTGTCTTGTGCCAGCAAAGATGGCCTTGATGTGATGCTGGTCGACTTGGTCTGCCAAGCCCTCTCTTAACTCCTTCTCAATGACCTCTACATGCAAGTGATAGCTAAGCAACATTGAGTGTGAGTCATTGATCGATTGATTGAATGAATGATCGAATGGATTGATTGACCTTACTGAGCAGCGCACTCCTCTGTGAATTTAGTTACTTGTTCGAAACAATCGTTGGCCTTGAAGTATAATGTACGCAGTTGTGGTATGTCATCGACATCCTTATTAACTCTATTGTTATTATCTATATTATTATTATTATTATTATTATTCTTTATATTCTTTATATGTCTTTGTACTAATACATGATGTATTAGATGTAATAATACAACACAATCCTTTCCACCATTGAAACATAGAGCAATCTCATCGAATCTATATTGTTCGAATGTCTTATTGATTGTTGCCAATGACTTATTAATCAGTCCAATCAACACCTGATCATCTTTTATACTATCTAGATTGGACAAATCGAATATAATAGGTTTACTTGATCTTCTTGACATTGTTGGTTATGTATCTATCTCTATCTCTGACAAACGAACGAATGAATGAATGACTCATGATTCAGTCGTGTTCTCAAACTTTCTAGATTTGATTGACACCCTTTCAACAACTTCCCAATATTTATTGTCAATCAATGACCTTCTACATGTATAACAACCAAGTAATTATCTGTTACAAGTCTCAAGATGTACCTCAATGTGTAATTACATGTTAGTACACGATAACATATGATCGTTCATATCCTAACATTCTTTGAATTTTATTGTTCGCCACCTTGCAACTACCACACCATCATCCCAACTTCTCAACTTTAGATCCATCGAACGAAGAGATACTAATAGTACAGTCGACTCAACATGAACATCTTATTATTATTAACAACAACCAAGATATATATATAACTTAATAACAATGAATATGCTTGGTGATCTTGCAAACAAACTATTCAATATTCCACCTAAGTATGTTGATGACAAGGAGTACTGTCCTCCCAAGTATGAAGTGCCAGTGGATAATGAAGGTTATCTGGCATCATTCTCAATAGATCAGATACATGAGTATCGACAGGTATGTAATATCCAATATCTAATTGATTGAACTAACGAACTAATGAATGAATGAACACAATGTTGTAGTTCTTCAATGATTATGGATTCGTTATAATCAGAGATGTATTGGATTTGGAATCATGCCAGTCTACTATTGATGATATTTGGAGGTATATTGAGAATGATGAATGGTTATATTATCCTCCAATGTCAAAGGATTTGTGTAATAGGACAAAGAGGAATGATCCCAGCACATGGAAACACTGGCCATCAATGGCCTACGCTGGTATAGTTGGAGGTCCAAGTGTATTCACAAAGCAATCAGTGGATAATCGTGCCAACAACAATATATATCAAGTATATAGTCAACTACTTGATAGGAAGGATCTATTCATCAATCATGATCGTTATGGATTCTTCCGTCCTACCATCAACATCCTGGAATCATTCCCAAGGATGTCTCCCCAGCACACCGAGATCAACTTTGCCCTGAACGATAACCAACCAACAATACCCGATATGAGGGTGTGGAAGACTGAGCTCAATTGTAACTACTTTGATCATTCATTCATTCATTCAATCAATTAATCACTAACATTCATTTCCATGTAGTGCACTTGGATATGAATCCATTCGCATATATTGAGGAGACAAATGATGCCACGAGACAGAGGGTGATCGATCAGTTGGAGTATGATAATACAAAGTCAGCTGACTTTATTATTGAGAATAATGAGGTTGGTATCAAATCATTGAATGAGTTACACATTCAAGGTTTGATCAACTTGGCCGACAACAAAGATGAAGATGGTGGATTCATTGTTGTACCAGGCTTTCCACGTCATCTTGAGGAGTGGACATTAAAGTAAGTACATTCTATACTGGTCTCATTTGATTGATTGAATGGAATACTAATCAATCAATTATTCCCAAACAGGAACAAGACATTGAGGACCAACATTGGTACAAAGGAGAGGTTCGTACTTATCCCTGTTTCCAACTCATTATATGTAAGTCTACTCATTCATTCTTGATCAGCTTACCATTGACACTAACTGACCAACCCTTATGAAATCAGAATAATGCTGTTAGGGTAACAGCTAGAGCTGGTAGTTTGGTATTATGGAACCAAAAGATGGCTCATGGAAGTGTTGCAAACAATAGTCCAAGACCAAGACTGGCACAGTTCATCAAGATGACTCCATGTTCATATCTTACACGTGACAAGATGGAATTGAGAACCAACAGAATCAACCAATGTCTAGATAGTATCACTGGACTTGACAAGCAATCATACAGTGAGTCACAACAACGAGTATTAGGTATCAAGTCATGGTATCAATGATCTATTATTATTAATTAAATGTAGAGTTGAGTTGGTGTGTTAGCCTCGGCATTCATTCGTGTGTTTGACCTTGTGAAGATCACCAAAGTTGTAGTCATATTTGAACAATCAATCAAAGTAATAATAATAGTAATACATCAACAATGACAACATTACAATATACTAAAGACTTGTATACATTGTTGAACAATGGACTTAACAACAACAATGTTGATGATGGAATCAAACCTACATTCTTGTTGGTCGGTTGTACAGTTGATAACAACAACACAACATTAGTGATCACTGCACTAAAGACAGACAATGACAACAGCAACAACAACAGACATTTGATCTCCTCGACACTACCCGCTGGTGATGTTGGTGTAATTGGTGCAGTGCGTCTTGTTGACTCACTTGATGATGCGTCAACTATCACTGCCGCTACACTCAATGAGATGGTGGCTGTTGCCAAACTATTCCAACCAACAAAGATATCAGTTGTGGCATTGGCTTCATTGGATACAGAGAAACAACAATTGAATATACGATTCTATAATGCATCGTCACGACAAGCACTTGACTCATCGACAGTTCAAGAGATTGGTACACAATCAATGATCAACAAACTCAAGCAATCATTCACAATGGTCCGTGTCGTTGCGCCACGCATCGACAACACATCAGCACAGCTACTCAAGACAGACAACCAACATCGAGCAGACTCTGTATACCTTCATCACAAGCAGGACAATGTGGTGTTCACTTCTTCGACCTCGGGTGATCAAGCCAGCGAGTCATCATGGAGAAAGCTGCAAGAGTCCACAACAACAGCAACAAAGAAGACAACGCCTCTGCTTGATAACATAATACAACTACATCTAATGTTCAAGATTAGCAACAATGTGGCAGACATCACTAAGCTGATGGCACCATGCCTCACTATCTCATCGTCGGCGACATCCCAGCAACAAGAAGTCTACGAGGTCAGCGCACTGGCACTAATCAGGAGCGACGCAACGCTTACCCAATCGCTAAAGACAATGATTCAAGCGGTTGTCAGCCAGCTTGATGCGCCGAACCAGCGCCCCCTGCACTACCAGCTGCCCATCATACCTCTTCCAATCACCTGTCTTTTTGGCCTCGACAAGCAGGGCGCTGTCAACGATGACCTGTCCAAAAAGACACGTGAATCTTATCATCATCTTTTGTTCCTGCCTATGAACCGGCCACTGCTGCGATCATTCGCCGCCAAGACCTTTGATGGATCAAAACAGTCCGCGTCCACTGGTACATGGACACCTCACATCAAGGACATCCACAAGCAGCTATCCCTCGACTCAACCATCGGTGGCACTGTCTCACTAGTCAAAGGCTCCTACGACTACTACCATTACAAGCAGGATCATACCAATGATGATGTAACTGTCACGCTCATACTCACCTCGTTCCCTCACTCACTTACTCTTTGATCATGCCACGAATGACAGGGATGGGGATGTGCATACAGATCAATGCAAACGATATGCTCTTGGCTCAAGTATCAAGACGTGACACAGAAGGGAGTACCAACTCATCATGAGATCCAAAAGATATTAGTTGACATGAAGGATAAGAAGGCATCATTCTACAAGTCTGCTCAATGGATTGGCGCATTCGAGATCACTCTTTGTCTCCAACAACTCTATAATGTATGTTGTCGCTCGCCTTTGGATGGTCCACCAATCAATCATCTAACTCACTCACTCGCTCGCTCACTCATTCATAGATTGATTGTAAGATCATCAATGTAACATCTGGAGCCGAGGTTATATTCAAGACTAGAGAGTTGGCACGCCACTTTGATAGGGATGGCAGTCCAGTGATGATTGGTGGAGGCGTGTTGGCTTATACTTTGTTGGGAGTCGACTTTAATCCAGAGACTGGAGACTCTCGCTACCTTATACTCGATCCACATTACACTGGTGATGCCACCGATGTCAAGACCATCAAGGAGAAGGGATGGTGTGGATGGAAGTCGGCCGATCTATTCAGGAAGGATGCATTCTACAACTTCTGTCTTCCACAAGTGCCCGACGAAATTTGATCATTCATCTTCACCTTCATTCAATCAATCAATCTATCTATCGGGCGATCAATCAATAAAGATATAGTTAGTAATCAATCATGAACTATATATGCCAACGATTGGCACTTAAGAGAACTACTGTGTTGTCGCAATGTGCAAGGCGAATGTACAGCAACAGCAGCAACACTTACTCCTCGCGTATCAACATCAACAACAATGGACAACATAACATGTATATATCATCATCATTCACAACACACAGATCATACAGTAGTAGTACCTCATCAAGTAATAGCGAACAACAACAACATAAAGATAACAAAAAGGAAGACAAGAGCGAACAGGTACAAGAGGACAACGATGTCCAACAACATAGTTCGTGGAAGATGTTACTATTGACAGGTGTTCAGATTATGGGTTATGTATACTTGATAAGAACATACGTACTTGATTACTCAATGGTAAGTAGTCTAAGTCATTCACACAATCAATCAATCACATACTCACTCGTCTTGAACTCAATGTAGTGCACAGGTTCATCAATGTTACCAACACTCAATGATCATGGTGACTTTGTATTGGTTGATAAGACTCAGTTGAGACCTATCAAGAGAGATGATCTTATAATGGCAGTGTCACCAGTTGATCCTGCTGGTAACATTTGTAAGCGAGTCAGGTATCTGGCAGGCGATGTCATTGAGTATCAAGGACCACTTGGCATCGTCAGACGTATGCAAATACCCGAGGGCTACGTATGGGTTGAAGGAGACAATGCCAAGACATCATTCGACTCTCGCAACTATGGTCCTGTTCCACTATCCCTTGTAAAAGGTCGTGTAATATGTAGAGTAAGGTCATTCATTCATTCTTCATGTCTTTGAATTGTTTGATTGGTTGATTGCTAACAACATGATGTTTGAACACTTTGTTTAGGTATATCCATTCTCATGGCTTGATACACCATGGCCTGCTTCAACATCCACTACAAGAGTAGAGTAGAGTAGTAATAACAAATAATAACATATATATATTATCTCTTTCACAACAACAATGTGTTGTGTTGATAGATAGTGAAATGAAGGGGCATCGAGTTGTGTTTTTGATTCGATTCCAACCAAAACTAGATCTTTTGATTCAATCATTGATTCATTCATTCACGTGACATCATCATCATCAGTTATTTATATATATATATATATAATACATCTTAGAGAAGGAAGGAAGGATGACAATCACAGCCAAGCTTAGATTGTTAACAACAACCAAAGATCAAGATGTAAAGGAATATGCATTGGAGTTTGGTTCCAATGTTATTGGTAGAGGTCGTCCAACATTCATATCAGACAACAGAATAAGGTATGTTGGTCCAAAGTTACAGGCCTCCCAAAGATGATTGATAATGATATCTGACACATATCTTGATTAATTTAGTCGATCACATGCTGATATAGTTGTTTCAAAGGACTTGTCTCAAGTCACATACACACAACTGCATGAGAACAAGAGTCTGTTGACAAGATTGAATGATGGCGATGATGATGACGACGTTGATGGTGATGACCATCAGGATAGTAACAATAATAGTAGTAATGGAAGTAATGGTGTCGAGAGACCAGACACTTCAAACACAAGTGATGATGACAACAATAAGAAGAAGATATCGGTCAAGATAACAAAGGGACAGACTATCATCCTGAAGAATGATGATCATATATATCTTAATCCACATGTACAACCATTGGTCATAGTCATTGAGGATGACATGATGGAGTCGATGGAGACCAACATCGATGATGAATGTGCCACGCAGATCGATCACACCGAAGAGTTTGATGACCTACATGATGATGAAGATGATGAAGATGTTGAGAACAACAAGCAACAACAACACCATGCCAATCATAAGCCACACCAAGCAGAGTCAAACAACATCAATAACAATAACAAGAGAGAGCGTGATGATGATGAGAGTCACTTTGTCAAGAAGTTAAGAGTGGAACATCCATCAACAAGGACAAAGACAGTCTCTGCCAACACGACAACGACTACAACAACGACAACATCAACAGTAAGCAGGTCAAAGAAGGATAGCTCACCAGTATACGTAACAGACGAGTCAAGGATGAATCTGTCAGAGGACGAACTTGTCTATGTCAAGCAATTGGGCAAAGGATCATGTGGCGAGGTCAGTCTCTACGAATGGCGCGGCACACAAGTGGCCGTCAAGATCATCTTTCGGTCACTATTACACAAAGAGAAGAATGGAGAGTTTGAGAAGGAGACCCTCATACTCAAGTGTCTGAGGCATCCCAACGTCGTCCTCTTCATGGGGTAAGTCCTGGAACCATCCCACCCACACCATTAATCAATCACGAGTGATTGGAACCATTCCAAACATCACCAACTTTGTCCATTCAATCATTCAATCTATCACTGGATCTATTCCAATCACTCAATCAATCAATCAATCAAACAATCACTTACACACCCTCCCACAACCTCCAGAACATGCCTATTGAAGGGCAACCTGGCAATCATCACAGAGTACTTGAATAGTGGATCGTTGAGACATGTGTTGGATGCAAAGAAGGAGATTGGTTGGAATACAAAGGTGAAGATGTGTCTGGACATTGCCCAAGGAATGAACTATCTGCATACTTATAATCCCAAGATCATACATCGTGATCTAAAGTCTGTCAACTTGTTGGTGGACAATAACTACAATGTCAAAGTGTCAGACTTTGGCCTGTCTAGATTCTCAAGTGGTAACGAGGTGGCCAAGACCTTCTGTGGCACACTCCCATGGATTGCACCCGAAGTGTTTGGTGGCTCTGGATACTCGACCAAAGCCGACGTCTTTAGCTTTGGTGTAGTGCTCTGGGAGATCCTCACACACAAGACACCAAGTGGAAACATCGCTAACTCTGAGCTTGGACATCCCGTCATCCCTGATACATGCCCCCTCCCCTACGCCCAGCTCATCAAAGATTGGTATGTATCGCGATGGTCGAGTGTGTTCGTCTTGCCACAGCCCATCCACTAACTTACTCCCAATCACAACAGCTGCAAGAGGAAGCCGGAAGATAGACCTGACTTCCAACATATTATTGGACGTCTAAAGTCAATGTTTGTGATCCACGAGGACACGGACAAGACAGAGTCAAATAATGGTAGTGGCGCGGTTACAAAGCCAGTGGCTGTGGCTGTTGAGAAACAGACACTGTTCAACTGGAGAATCGACCCAACTGAGATATCGGACATGAAGTTCATCAAGAAGACAGAGTCTTACATATTACACTCTGGCGTGTACAAGACAAAGCAGGTACTGATCAAACAGATGAACTCAAGTGTTAAGGAGTTTGAGTTGAAGGAGTTGGACATCCTGGCGAGTCTTACCTCTCCAAGAATATTCCACTTCTACGGCGTTGTCTATAATGACAAGGAGTTTGCCACCATCTCAGAGTACACGCCCAACATGTCACTACTCGATGCAATGAAGGATGAGACCATCGCTCAATCATTCACATGGGAGAACACTCTGGATGTGGCAATACAAGTGGCAGTATCAATCAATGAACTTCATCAACACAAGCCAGCCATCTTACACAGAGGTATAACGTAAGTACTTACATATAACTCTTCATTGTGCCCTAATTAACATGCCTTATTGTCACAGCAATGAGAGTTTTGTATTCGATATAGAGAAGAGCATCAAGATAACAGACTTTGGACTTTCAAGGTTCAACATCCATGAGAATGACGTATCTCTGGGGTTGATAAAAGGAAAGTTTATGTACTCTCCTCCAGAGCTGTTCTTGTAGGTAGTCAACAAACAACCACTTTCAATTGCGACCACCTAGCACTACCTAATCAATCTTTCAATCATTCATTTAGCTCCAAGAAGTATAGTACCAAATCAGATGTGTATAGTTATTCGATTGTATTATGGGAGCTGATCCAACGATGTATCAATGGAAGTTACCAAGTGCCATTCTCCCATCTCAAGCTAGACTATGACTTCCAGATAATCCATCATACTGCCAAATATGTAAGTTACCAAGTGCCATTCTCCCATCTCACGCTAGACTATGACTTCCATCATCCATCATCCATCCGATAGATATACCTGTAACTAACATTACATTTATCACAAATATAGAATAAGAGACCATTGGTTGATGAGACCAAGGTACCATTGCCAATTCAACAGTTGTTGAAACAATGTTGGGATGCTGATCCTCAAAACAGACCAGACCTCGACACTGTTATCAAGTCACTCGAGTCGTTCAAGACCAAGATTGTCCTTGCCAAAGGCAATCAATAAAGGTGTTGCAGCAATATGAAATGTATATTACTCATGTTTCCAAAATAGGTAAAACCCTGGGACGTCTATTGTTCTCAAAACGAGTTCTGCTCAGTACCTCCCCCACGTTCCTGAATCGATCACCCCACGATCTTCAACAAAACATCGTTTGGAGTGTGTCATTCATGAAGCAAAGGGGGTTCCATTCCAAAGACTTCCAATGATCATTGGAATGAAATAAAGTAGTATATAATCCTCCTTCGGTCATCATTAAACAATCCATCAACAAACAAACAAACAAACAAACAATTATCAATCAATCAATTAATCAATCAATCATCAAACTATTAATCAATCATTCTATTAATTATAAATAATGTCTACTTTATCTAAAACAATTATTTTTGAACAATACGGACCATCAGATGTACTAAAAGTTAAAGAGGTTCCAGTACCAACACCAGGTGATGGTCAGGTAAGAGTGAAGGTTGCAGCAGTTGGTCTAAACAGAGCTGAGGCTTTAATTAGAGCTGGTTTATTCTTTATCAAACCAACTTTGCCCAGTGGAATAGGATATGAAGCAGCAGGCACAGTCGATGCAATTGGAAATACAGTAACCAAGTTCAAAGTTGGAGATCGTGTCGTAGTCGTACCAACTTCCAGTATAACCACCAACTCTGAACACATTGTTCTCCCAGAGAACCAACTAGCTCACATCCCAGTCGATCAATCATTCACTGATGCAGCTGCCACCTGGACTGCGTACCTTACAGCATACTTTGCAATATATGAGTATGGCCTTACTATCAAGAGCACAGACACTGTAGTTGTCACCGCGGCTAGCAGCTCAGTTGCGCTTGCATTCATCCATTATGTCAAATCATTTGGAGCCACTGTGATTGCACTAAGCAGAACAAATGCCAAGAAGGATCAGATCATTGCCCAGGGTGCTGATCACTTCATTGCCACTGGCGAAGAGGACTTGGTCAAACGAATCAGAGAGCTCACCAAGGGAGCAGGTGCCAACCTATTCTTGGACCCAGTCGGCGGTCCTCAGCTCGAGAAGTTGGTGTTTGCAGCAGCTTATGAAGCAACATTAATCCTATATGGAATGTTGTCGAGTGAGCCTACTGTACTACCTGTTGGCGCAACCATTGGTAATCACTTGACCATCAAAGGATATAGTGTATCATCATTCTATCCTAATCCACAGGCAGTTGAACGTGCTCAACTATTCATCACCAAGTTCCTCTCCACCCAAAAAGTACCATCTATAGTTGGACAAGTACTCAAAGGAATTGAATCAGTACCCGCTGGTCACAAGATCCTTGACTCTGGCGACCTCTTTGGAAAAGTAGTTGTAGAGTTCTAGAACAATGAATGGATGTATATAAATAAAATAAATAATCAGTAAGATTGTACCTTGTATTTGCCACCTTTCTTCAAGACGAATCCTTGATGATTGAGTGTCTCTAGTATCTCTGTAAAGTTCTCCAGTGGCATTTTGTTATCCTTCATCAACTTGTAGATCTGATTATCAGTGTACTCGTCCACACCAGTCTTGTTGCACTCCTTGCTCAAGAGTGCTGAGACCTTCTTCACCATTGATGACTTGCCCATACGAGACGTTCGCCTAAAGTCCACCTTGCCATACTCATCCTCAAACACCTCCATGATCGACTCCTTCATGATTTCCACCACGTCCAACGCGTCATCCTTGGTGACCTCCTCTCGCAGCTCCAGCTTGGCGCGAGCCTCTGATAGTCTGATCAATGATTCAAGTTGTCTCGTTGTGACTGGGGCGCTGTCCTGCTTGGTTGAACGATCACGTAGATCCAAGTAAAACTCCTGTATGACCTTGATTGCGTCCTCGGAAAGCACTGGGAACACGTACTTCTTTGCATAAGAGATGTACTTGCGTAGGATCAGCGGTGCTATCGCGTCAAACTCTTCACCAGACTGCAGTATCAGCCTATGAAGTATAGATTGTCTACCTGATGCCTGACTACTATTGGTCAGTGGTGTGAAGAACTGTTGACTTGGTGTTGCCTTTCTTTTATGATCGTTTCCTGCAGAGTGTAGCTGTATATGAAGGTAAGTTTGTGTTTCAAAGTCAATGACTTTTCATACTTACATCCAAAATATGATGAGAGATGATCCTGTCCATGCCCTCATTGGGCTTGTCCAGGAGCACAAAGATGAGGTCGAAACGAGACAGCAAAGGTGAGCTCATCTTGATGTTCTCTGACACAGTCTTGGCACGACTGTCAAATGTTGATTGATTGATTGATGTAAGTCATATGAACAACATTGATTGGTGCTGAGGGACAAGAACTTACTTGTAATGACCACCAACAGGATTGGCTGCAGCAATGACTGATGTCCTGGCTGGTAGGTTGCAGACGATTCCAGCCTTGGCAATACTGACGGACTGTTGCTCCATGGCTTCTAGGAGGGCTGGATGCTCTTTCTTCATCTTGTCAAACTCGTCAATGCAACAGCATCCTTGATCACCAAGCACCAATGCTCCTGCCTCAAGTGCAAAGTCACCTGATCCACTCTCTCTGTGCAGTGACACTGTCAGTCCTGTTGTCGTTGTGTATCCTCCACTGACGTATACACCTCGAGGTGAGATGGTTTGGAAGGCCTTTAGCATCTGACTCTTGCCGAGACCAGGATCACCAACGATCAATACATGAGGGTCGCCTCTTATTGGCAAACGATTCTTATCCTGTAGGTTCCGTGGATTGCCACCAAAGAGCGCCAGTGACAGACCTGCCTTGACCATCTCCTGTCCATAGATTGACGGGCATATTGAGTTGACGATCAGTTTGAACAGGTTTGGTTGTTCTGCAATCGACTTGATTCCATACATGTCTTTGATTGAGAAGTTGGTGATATCAGCTTTGCCAGCAGAATCCACCTGTTTGTTTGAGTCAATCGAGTTGGCATCCAGGTACATAAAGTATATTGCCTTGTTGCTGCTGCTGTTGCCACCTTCCTCTTGCTTGAGCACCTTGATGATTCCACAAACTGTCACAATGTCACCTGGTACGACGGTCTCGACCAAGTCTTCGGTGAGCTCGCATTCAATGTTCTTTGGGATGCCACTCTTCTGATCCTTCTGATCTGCATCCTCTTGAAGTCTGATCTTCTGCCAGTCTACCGTCACAGCGGTCGACCGCAATGGCTCGAACGACTTGCTCGGACAGTCATACCCAACGCATGATGTGGGCATGCTCGTGCGTCCCTCGTTGAAGTACTTGAGCTGAACAGTCGAGCACAATGGACACTTGTATGACATTGACTTGACGAATGGACGAACATTGCCCACACGAATGACAGTGCCCTTGATCGCCACCAGCTTGCCAATGAGGTTGGATTTGAGTGTTCGAATGTAACATGAAGGGTAGTTGAAAATGCGCACATTGACTTTCTTCTTTGTTGCCAATGACATTGCTGTGTTCTGACTGAATGTCACGGCCTTGTTGGGGCCCTTGACCAAAGGACAGTACAATATCTGATAGAGTACCACACCAATACAGTCAAAGACGAACTGAGGTCGATCAAAGATCATCCTCTCAAAGCCATCATCCTGTTTAAACACAAAGCTCTTGAGTGATACAAAGTCCAATGGTATTGTATTGTTCTCATCACATGCATATATATTCTATTTCATGTCATTGTTAGTTACAAATTCAATCGACCAATCGCATCAATGACAACAATCGAACATACATACTTCTTTACATAACTCTCTGAAACATGGCATACATCTTTGAATGAATCTGAGCCTGTCTTCATTGAGTAGGGACTCTTTCTCCATGGCAGTAGAGAGGTCATCACCGGATATTGTTGATGTGTTGAATGGTAGGAAGTACAAGTCCCTTCCAATCAATTGATCCAATGTGTCAATGTTTGGATATACATGTTCAATCACTTCTTCACCATCATCATCCATTGCAAAATGTACCAACTGTGTACTGTGATTATGTTTTACATCATATTCATCGTCATCCATTATTATTATCTGTATCTATATTATCTGTTAGCCAAGTTCAATTTGAGTTGAGGGAAGAACTTGAAAGTGAAGATCTAACCTTGATACCCATAAATTAAGTTTTAATTCTTAGAAAAAGTAATACAGATAAAGATACAGATACAGATACATACAATGTCTACATTTACATTGAGTGCACAAGTCGGTGACCAGGCAGAGGCTACAACAGTAGTCGATAATACATTGTTGGCAACAAGTGTTGGCAGTGGTGATGTGGAGGTCTATTCAACACCTTCGATGATAGCATTGATGGAGCGTGCTGCTGTGTTGACACTCAATGGCAAGCTGGACAGTGCTTGGACAACAGTTGGCACATCGATCAATATCAGTCATCTCAGTGCAACACCCGTTAACATGTCAGTGCGTGCAGTGGCCACCATCACAGCCATTGACAACAGAAAGATCACGTACAATGTTGAAGCCTTTGACTCTGTCGAGAAGATTGGCGAAGGTGTCCACGAACGATTCGCCGTTGACAAACAGAGATTCATGTCTCGGACAAACAGCAAGGGTACCCCCGCCAAGTAGATGATGATCGGCTCATTCGTTCATTCATTCTCATCAAGTTGGCGCAACAAACAAGCGAACAACAAACAATCGATCAATCAATCTACAATGTAATGTATAGGTATAACAACATTAAATCAAACTCTTTATTCCATTTAGAAGTTGTGTTGGCAACACAAGGAAACACTCGCGGAAACACAAGGAAACACGCGGCAACACGTGTGGTAGCGAAGACATCATCAACAACAAGTTTGTGGGGGACTACTTCCATCATCAGGGGATGGTCTATTGTACATGCTCTTGGGCCAGTTGCTTGGAGTGCTCATAGCGTTGAATCTTCTCGATGGCAATCTTTCTCTCCTCGATCAATCTGGCATTGTGAGCCTTGAGCTCTTGCAGCTTCCTCTCGAGGTCGTCACGCTGCTCGTTGATTGTTGGATTGGCCGGTGCAATGAGCGATGAGAGCGAGTCCAGGATGGCAGACAACTCATTCTTGATGCTTGTGGTCAGCGACTTGACATTGTCCTTGATGTTCCAGCTCTCGATCTCCTCCAATATCGTCTTGAGCACCTTCTCAGACTTTTCGTACGAGTTGCTCAACATGGACTCCAACTGCTCGATCGTGTGTTCCAAGTCATGTGACAACTTCTTGCTGAGTGTCTCCTCTTCCTCATCCACCTCATTGTTGTTGTTGTTGGGGTCCTTCTCCTCAATCACCTCCTCGACTACAACTTTCTCGACAACTTCCTCGACTTTGATGACTGGCACTGGTACTGGCACTGGCACCTCCTCAATCTTTGGAGCTGGCAGGTCTTCCTCTGGTTCATATGTTCTCTTCTTGATGATCTCAAACTCGAGTGCCTTGAGTGAGTTGGCGATACGCTTGAGGAGGTTGAGGTCACGTTGTGGCTCTGGTGTGATCTCGGCAGCTTCAATCTTCTGGGCAGTCAATGGTTTGGGCAACTCAATCACCTCGACAGGCATTGGAACCGGCTCAACACTCTGAGGCTGTGGAACGATCTGTTGATTAGTTTTCTCGACCAGTTGCTTCTCCAGCACCAAGAACTCCTTGAGTATTCTCTCATTCTCCTCATCTTTGGCGGTGTTGGTGTTTGTTGTGGTTGTGATAGTTGGTTGCTCGACCAGCTCAGCTGATGACTCCTTCATCTCAATCTCATTGACTGCGGTGGTAGTCAATAAATAATCTATTGTTTGGTCAAGGTTCCATGAGTTGGCCTTAAGTGCATTGATTGCCTCCTCTGGAGTTGACTTTGGGAATATTAAACGGATGGTATTAAGTTTTCCTTCCATTATTATTTTAAATTATTATTATTATTATTAGTTTATAAATAAATATTTGATCGGATAACTTATAATATCGATTTAATTAACTTAGTAGTTTATGTTATTGATTTACTTTATACCAACTACTGAGTACTTAAATGTAATGTTGTTGGAACGCGGTGAACATCACCAGACCCAATATTGAACTGTACCATCGACGAGCGATGACCCAAGGTTGACCAACAACTTAAACAAAGTTAATGAATTGGATATACAATCAGCCGATGGTCAACCAGAATATCTTGATATGGAATTGGAATACATAACATAGATTGATTGTGGGTGATGGTGTGTTTGAGTGTGTGAGTGTGTGAAGTGTCGTTTCCCAAAGACGACATGTCGTGTCCTGGATAGACATAGTGTGTGAGTGATCGAAGTGTGTGATCATGTGATCTGCGTATACATGAGGACATAATGTACCTCAGGACGATGGAGTGAGATGGAAGCCACACGCGCGATGAACGTTCCCTGAACCAACAATGAATGAAAGAAGCATGCACATGGTTGATGATGATGTTGGATGAGGAGTGGAGTCACTCACTGACTCACTTCTCAAACACAACACTCCAATGACCTGACTTTACGCCAGTGTTGTATTTGACAATGATTGGAACTGTAAAGTACTTGAGTAGACTCTCAGTCGCTTTGGTATCCAACGCGAATCGCTGTGCCAATGTCTGAGCATTATTAGTCACTGGGTCCTCTCTATGCAATTGATATATCGTATTCATAATGTCCATTGTCACACGCCCACTCGCAACCTTATTCTTTACCATCCTCTGTTTGATCTTTGATATCCTTGTCGAAAGGTCCTAGTTTGTTTAAAGTTAGTATGATTGATTGAATGATTGAATGATTGATGGGAGTGGACATACATCATTTGACTCTATGTTTACATCTGGTAACTGATCAGAGTAGTGAGGTATTTGATTGTCTTCGGGTTTGTTGAAGTGAATGTGTTGTGATTCATCGACGACGGAGAATCGATTTGAAATAGTATTGTACAGCTCGACCTTCTGATCGTTCTTTTCGGTAAAGTCACTGGGTGTCATCTGATCAAGTGCCTCTTGTTTCTTCTCGTACTCAACCTGCCATCTCTCTTCAAGTTGTTCAAACGATTGGTAATCATCTACTTTATGTTGTTGAGGCATTACACCCATCAACAATGGATTATTTCTTTGTTGATCTTCAACCATTGCCAATAAACGTCTATCACGTTCATCCATTCCATCGTCAAACTCTTCATTGTCTTCATCATCTTCGTACTCATCCCTTTCACCAGGTAGATATACACCAATGCCTCTCAAGTCTAGGTTTGGAATTCACGTGTAAGTCATGTGAACTGGACCATATTTGATTGATTGAGTGATCGATCTTTGATCATGTACTCACTCTTATCAAGATGAGCATGTTGTTGAATGCTACTACTACTGTCTACAGGTCTGTCATTGTCATTTTCGGTGTTGTTGATCGCATTGTTGTTGATGTTATTGTTGTTGTTGTTGTTGGCAACAGATGTGTAGCATCTGGTCAAAGTGGCCAATGATCGATTAGCATTCAAACTGCCTGTATATCTAAACAATGAACACAGTCTTATCATCTCTCTGTGTGTCTGTATGTGTGTGTATGTGATGGTATAGATAATAGAACAGATACAGTGAAGTGGTGTGAAGAGATAAAGGAGCATCAGATTACCCCCTTTTTTGAGGTTTTGTGATTGATCAAACCTCAAAAACACATCTTGTGGTCCTGGATACCAAATCAAAAGTGGGCTGGTCAAGCCCTCACTTGTAGAGATAAACAACACAACCACAATCAAATAAGTCAGTCTCTTGATATCTGAACGGTTACCCTTGTTGTTATGTGTTTTGTACTTATATTTAACCTAACTCTTTAAAGGATTTTTGATTGGTGAGTTACTATACGACACTTCCATGAAGCAATCCGTTAATCTGGCTGGACTTTGATTGATTGATCGTATGTATATGTACTATGATGTTAGGAAGAGTGTAGTATGTGATTGATTGACTGATCCAATACACATCCTTAGAGCTGAGATGTAATGGTGATATGACCACACGCAAATCGTGATCATGTTGATTGCTTGATTGATTGATTGATTGATTGAATGATGGTAGTATTTAATAATGGACATAGTATAGTATATTATTGTTGTTTGTTACAGATATATATATATCTTTGTAGAAGTAGAAGGTAGAAGTTGGAGTAGTAGTTTGTTGTTTGAGTGTTAGAAGAAGTAATGAGTTCATTGTATAACTATGATATTGGTGAAATCGATATTGGTAAGCTAACAGCTGCCATTGGACTAGACCTAAGGTTCCAAGGATTCAACGAATGTTTCCCAAAGATACTCAAAAGGAACCTCTGGAACACCATCCAATTCACCCGTAGACATCAATTACTCTCACATCCAGCATACCAAGTATGTACACTCATCCAAACAATCAATCATTCAATCAATCACCAACTAACTAACTGGAACTATTCCACTCCACACCCATCCAGGAACGATTGATCCCACCTTTGGCGAGAACTGCAATATTTGATATGTTCACAAGGTCCATCGCAGCTCAGAGAGTTGAGAGTAGATTGGATAACAATCTAATATGTATGTGCCATAAGGAATTATACCATTCATATGCACTCAAAGTGATCATCGACTTCAAACAATTGATATCGACTGCTGGTACAAAGTTTGAGATACCCTTGCTCCAGGACAAGTCGGCAAGCTGGCCATCTGACCTAATGGACGTCGTCCTAAACTCATACCGTCCGAGTGATCTTGAGCCCAGACCCATGAACATCGATCCGATGTCCGACCCTTACGAGCTCTTCTACGACTTTGGTTACCTCCAAGACTTGCTACATCTTCGTTGCTACCTCCGCATCGAGCATCTACGCATGCTGCTCGAGATACGACGCCTGGAGTTGGCTAAGCATGGCATGACCGAGGACCAGCACACTGCCCTTAGCAAACTTGGTGAGTGGACCTCCAACACTGCCATCGCCTACCTCGACATGGTTGTATACTCGACAATATTGAATCTTGGAGACAAGGTGTCACCTGTACCACATCTCCTAGTACTGGATACATTGGTCAAGCTACAGAATGACCTTGGCTGGATGGTCACCACCTTTGTCCGTCCAGGAATCAGTCTGATTCCAGCAGGACATGCTCTGGAACTACCGGTCATCATCAACGACCTGTGTGCAATGGTGGAGAAACACTCCATCGACATTGTCAAGTCGTATAACGAACACGAAGTGCACATCCCACCCGGCTGTGCTCCATCCGCTGTGGCCACCATCCCAGCAGTAGTGCCATCGCTTGCACCACCTCGCGCTCATCTCAACATGATCCGTTGATTGATCAGTTTTAGTTTGTAACATTACCCCATAATAATAAAGATTGATTGATCGAATGAATGATTGATTGGAATGATTCCATCACCTTTCCAGGTGGAATGGTCTTGTCGTGTATTTTAAATATGGATAGCAAGTCATGTGTTGTGAGTGAATGAGTGATGGGTGAAGGAGAGGAGGAGTGTCTGTACATGTTGTTGTTGAAGGAATGATAGAGTCCAACTCTTCATTCAAAGTCTTCGTTCATAAGCAGGTCCTCGTTGCCGTACTGGTAGTTGCACACGATCGATTGATCGTGGTTAAATGTCGGCTGCTTGGAATAGCCGCCCGCTGCCATCAGACGCGATTTGATGGACGACGCCGACGTGACCGAGGACGTGGAGATGGACGAGGATGTGGACGGCGCCTTGGTGGAGCCGTTCTTCAGCGGCGACGACACCAACAGCTGCTTCTTCTTGACGTTGATCTGCTCCTTGGTGCCCGAGGGCGTCGGGTTGATTGTGACCACCTTCTTCTTGGCAACGTGGCCATTGCCGTTCAGTACACCGTTGGCCGCGCCATTGTTGAGTGACAGTGGAGACAGTGGCGCACGCTTCTTGGCGGCGGCTGGCATGGCGCGTTCATTGTACGGAGACTGAGCTTCATCCTTCTTGATGGCAGCCACTCTTGGTGTCTTTGGCGTTGATGGCGTACCTGGTCCGACTGATGCCGAGGAGATGGCATTACTGCTGCTCTTGGTCAGGGCAGGTGCGGCGACAGACTTGGATGGGGTCTTGGTCGTGGCGGTGACGACCTTCTTGGTGGCAACCGGTTGCTTGGCGTCTTCCATCTTGTTTTGACGCTCCTTCTCCTTGCGCATCTTCTCCAGGTCCTTCTTGATTCGCTCATTGTCGGCTTGCTGCATCATCAGCTCGAGGTAGTTGAAGCCGTCGTAGGTGAAGGCAAAGCCTTGGGTGTTCTGCCACTCGATCAGATCCTTCTTCAGACGCTCCTCAACCGTCGGCAGCTTGGCCATGGCCTTGCGCATGTTCTCCTCCTGAACAAAGCGGTTGCGATCAAACTTCTTGGACAGAAGACGCTCCTTGTCGCCCAGCACATTCTGCTCGTACTCGATCTTGGCGTTGCGGATATCCTCGCGCTTCTCAATCAGGTCGATCAGGGGCTTGGCCACCTCGTACATCTTGGTGACGTCCTCCAACTCCTTCTCGAGCAGCTCCAAGTGTTCCTCTGTGCCCTCCTCGACGCCCTGAAGTAGCTCGTCCAGTCTATCATTGGCCATATGCATCTGAAGGTATAACTCCTCAATGTCCACCACTGCCTTGTCAATAAGGTCTGAAAGGCATGCTCGTCTAAGTTCCTCAATTCGGAACAGTTCCTCATTGCACTAAAATGTGATTGATTGAGTGTTAGCTGGCTGGCTGGCTGGCTGGCTGGCTGGCTAGAGATGGCTGGCTCGATAGCCAAAGATAACATACTGCTTCAATCACATCTGGACCAAGTCCAGCAGTCTTGCTAAAGAATGAATCGCGCTCATCTTCGGGTGTGCCCATCTTGTTCCAGAGATTGGTGATCTTTGATGCCAACTCGCAAACGAGTGCTTCACTCTCCTTCTTGATCAGATGTAGCTTGTCAATCTTTTGTGACAACACGGTGATGGTTGACATACTGAGTGAGATTGGCGATACATGCTCCTGACTGGACTGTATCATCCTCTCAATGGACTTTTCAAACTCTGTGTCTGGCGCAATCCTCAACTCTCCCCACAACTCTCCAATCTCTGCGCACAGTTTCTTCACCTTGGTAAAGGCATCATTCTATATGTTGGTTGTCGTTGGTTGTTGGCAAGTTAGTGGACATGAACATGTGGAGCATACTTGTTGAGCATACTTACACGTTGTAATTGCAACTTCTTCATCTTCTTTTGTAATGATGAGATACGCTCCATTGAGTAGTCGTTGCCAGATATGTCACTCTCATTCATACGACTGTGATTCAAGTCCTTGAGCTCCAACTCCTTCGATATGTCCTCAATCTTTGTCTCCAAATCCTCTATCATTACAACTCTATCCTCAGTTCTCTGATGTTTGATTGATTGATCCAATGTCAGTAAAGTATACTTAATTGATTGAATGATTGAATGATTGAGTGATACCTTTCGAAGAGCACCAAGTTGTGACTCAACGTATGATTCACGTTGTAATAAGTTCATGTTGGCCAATGGTTTGTTTGATTCCTTGACAGTCTCGCCAAGCTCTGTCGTCATGGTACACACAGACTCCAATCCAGTAAGGATATTCTTTATAACATCATCCTTATACTTCTCCTCTCTCTTCATTAATGTAGTGTATATATTTACAACCTGTTGTGATGCTCTGTTGTTATCATGTCAGATCATATAATGTCATGATGATGTTAGTCAATGTTGTTGTAGTTGTTGTTGATTGATGTATAAACATACTCATCACATTGTTGTGCTCTATAGGTGTTCTCTACACCGAGCTCATCCCATATCTTGACTATCTTTCTCAGTAACTCTCTGACACAATCTTCTGTGTTGGACATGTTTGTTCAGCTATTCATCTATTTAGCATATAATAAATATGCTATATACTTCCAATTCCTATGTTATATCTATATATATGTATATATATTATCTCAAAGTTGTAAACGTTAGTTTGAACAAACAACAGTTTAACATCCATGTTATGATCTTTGTCTGTTAACGCGCCTAAATTTTAACGGACTTTTTGAATTTGAATTTGAATTTCTCCAACATACCCTCTCACACTTACCCTCGCATTGTTTGTGATGTACTTAGTTTATTTAATGGTAAATGAGACATGAGCCAAAGGATGACCTTGATTCAACAGGGTCAGTGCCATCAAGTGTCATCCATTTCTCTGCTATGTTGCTGTAGATAAAGTTATCTCCAACTCCATTGAGTGTAACTAAACCATGTGATTGGGTATATACTGTTGGCATTGTGTTGTCATAGTCCGTGAGCTAAACGATGGGCTCGTGTGCTGGCCAAGGCCAATTGGAACCAGGTGGCTGTGTTGCCTCCAACAATCATCGTATGACCCTTTCCAGTGTAGCATGAGGCGATCTTATCATCTTGAGTATATGTTGTTGGGATGGGTTCGTCGCACTTCTTGCTGAGAATGTCAAACGACAGGATGTCCACGAGGGAGACCGTGGACTGAGCATCCACAAAGCCACCAATGACAAAGATCTTGTTCTCATGATAGATAGAATGTGAATCAATGACTGGCGATGTGAGTCGTCCAATGTTGGTGAACTGTTCCGTCTCAATGTTGAAACAATCGACTCGGTCCAGCATATTGCCATCGTTGCATCCACCAACCAAGTAGATGAGCTTGTTACCATCGTAGCATGTTGATATGCTTTCACCTCCATCGACACCGATGATCTCAATGTCATCGAGCCACTTTTGATCGACGAGTGAGTAGCGAGAGTATGTGTTCGGTGATCCACGACTTCCAAACACATAGACTTTGCTTCTTGCGTATTCAACCGATCTGAATATGCAATCTCTTGTTGTGTGCTTGTCATTGAGCACAGTCCACTCACCAGTGTCCAGCGCATAGATTGAGCAAGAGTCTCGACCCAAAGAGAAGATGTGATTCCTGAAACGATGTTCAACCCTTGGAGCCGTTTGAATTTGAATGCATTTTGCAATGGTATCACGGATACTAGTCTCCAAGATAAAGCTATCAATATCGATCTGTAATGGTTGGGTCAGAGTGTAGTTGGTGTGAATGAACTGTGATCCTCTTCGAACAAAGTCCAGCAGTTGATCGTTGTCCCATATGACGTTGTTGGGCGTCTTGAATGTCTTGTCAAAGAATTGCTCCATTGATGTTTGAATCCATTGCACCAACTAGTCCATGCGGTCCACCTCACCATCATTTGTTCCGTTCACACCGTTGGAGTTGTTGAATGATTTTTTGGTGAATTGTGCACTGAGGTTGGTAATCTCATTGATGATGTTGTTGATTGATGTTGTAGTCTTTTCAAACTCGTCATTGAGTTTCTTCTTGAGCCTCTTCTCCTGCAGAACGAGGTACTCATGCATCACTCTTAACTGAATGGCGAGTCGTCTCTGTGAGATCTGAATGGTGTAATAGGACCACGCCAAGCCTCCCATAGTGTCTCCAGTCTGGTATCGAACCTCTTTATCCTCTTGTTACTGGAGAACTGGTGTTTATATTACTGAAATGGTCAAAGTCATGTCTACTATGTTGTGCAGCCAAACAGACATCACAGACAATTTGATGACAGTCATAACAAACAAACATCTGTCTTTTATTGTGTAATTGACATCTTTGTTGAATTTCATTATCCATATTAATTATATATATTTTTATTATTATTTATTGAATATATATATATTTTTTTATGTTTAATATTTAAATTATCTCTTCACTGTTTTATGATGAAGTGAAATGAATGTAAACCATGGTTTTGTGTCTCTTCGCCAACTTGGACAACAACCTCTCACACTCACACTCATATTAGGATACACCAATGATGATTGATTTTTTAATTAATGACTTATATGACATGTCCCAAACTTTAACCTTGACTCCACGGGGTCAGTGCCATGGAGAGGTGTCCACTTATCGGTCATTCGGGAGAGACGGAAGTTATCACCTTCGCCATTGATCAACAGCAGTCCATGTGATTGGGTGTACACACAGGGAATATTGGAATGATAACCAGTGTGGACGATTGGCCTGTTGTCGGACTTCTTCTTGGACAGATATACCTCGGTGGCAACGTCATTGCCAACAATAAAGATGATGTCTTTGCCATTGAATCCCGAGATCATGCTTGCATCGGGTCGGTACACGGTCTTGATTGGGAGCTCGCACATTTGACTGGCAATGTCAAACACCACTACATCGGTGAGTGCGACTTTGGACTCGGTGTCGACGAAGCCACCAACAATAAAGATCTTATTATATTGAATGAATATGTTGGAGTCTATTGATGGCGTTGTTAGTCCAACCGAGAACTGTTGAGTATCAATGTTGAAGCAATCTATTCGATCCAATAGTTTGTCATTTTGAAATCCACCGACCAGATAGATGAGCTTGTCACCATCGTAGCATGTTGATATGTTCGTTCCACCATCGACACCGATGATCTCAAGGTCATTGTGCCACTTCTGATCGATGAGTGAGAAGCGAGAGTATGTGTTCGGTGATCCGCGGCCTCCAAACACATAGACATTGCCTCGCGCATATACAACCGATCTGAATATTCTTGTTCTAGGTGTGAACTTGTCATCGATCACAGTCCACTCACCAGTGTCCAATGCATACATTGAACACGAGTCATTCCAGAATGAGAAGATGTGATTCCTGAAGCCATGTTCTATCCTTGTTGGAGCCTTTAGCATTGTAAAGCTACTGTTCAAGATCCCTTTCAAACTAGTCTCCAAACCAGACTTATCTATATCCATGTGTAGTGCCTCGGTCACAGAGTATGTGTCTCGAATCGAAAGCGATCCCCTTCGAACAAAGTCCAGCAGTTGACCCTCGCTCGGCATGGCCTCATCCGATGACGTGAACTCCTTCTCGAGGAATTGATTCATTGTCTTCGACGAGAGTATCGATTGCACCAGCTTATCCATGACGTCCACCTCGTTCTTCATCTCATCATCTTGATCTGTACAACCACCGCCAATGCCATTGACATTCACATTGTTGTTGATGATGACAATCTCATTGATGATGTTGTTGATTGATGTTGTCGTCTTTTCAAACTCGTCGTTGAGTGTCTTGTTGTGTCTCTGCTCGACCAACATGAGATACTCATGCAGCTCCCTGAACTGATTGGCAACGCGTCTGTGTGAGATCTGAATGGTGTCGTAGGACCATGCCAATCCTTGCAAAGTCTCCCACAGTGTGTCCAATCTATCATCGAATCTCTTTATCCTCTTGTTCTTATTGTATTGTGAGTTTATATTATTGTAATGATCAAAGTCATGTCTACTATGTTGTGCAGCCAGACAGACATCACAAACAATTTGATGACAGTCATAACAAACAAACATCTGTCTTTTATTGTGCAATTTGCACCTTTGTTGTTGTTGTTGATTTTTATCATAGCTACTACTATAGTTGTTATTATTATTTTGATTGTCCATGTTGTTATTATTATATATTACAACAAATATGAATGGAATATGAACAACACAATTAAACCCATCCATCTGAATGAGGGTGACAATACGATTTTGAGTTTAATATCAACAATGTTTATTGATTTGTTTTTTTTAGTTCTGGATTGGATGACAAGTCCCAAAGAGGAAACAAAAGTAATTATTTGACTAACTCATATCAATTCAATCATTGATATATATAACATGCTCCGTAAGATATCCTTGACTCTACAGGGTCAGAGTTGGCGAATTCTAGAGGTGTCCATTTGTCATCCAAAACGGAGAATGTAAAGTTATTCTCATCTCCACCAAGTAATACAAAACCATGTGTAAGAGTGTTGATTATAGGAAAGTTAATAACTTCCCCTATAGGCATTACATGTCTTTTGATTGACATACTTTCCAAATCGATCATGATTGCCTTTTCAACCCCGAACATAAAGAGATAATCCCTGCCATCATAACATGACTGGGTGACCATATCTCCATTGAATCCAGTCTTGAGGAATTGATAACATATTTTTTTGTCGAGTTGGAATGTTAAGATGTCAGTGAGCGAGACTTCACATTCAACATCAACATATCCACCACTCACTATGATCTTATTTTTATAAATGATTGAGTGAGATGCCCTGGTTCCAAATGTTAGTCGTCCAACTGTTGAGAATTGTTGAGTGTCAATGTTGAAACAATCAATTCGATCCAGTAGTTTGTCATTGTGGAATCCACCGACCAAGTAGATGAGCTTGTTACCATCGTAGCATGTTGATATGCTTTCACCACCATCGACACCGATGATCTCGAGGTCATTGTGCCACTTCTGATCGATGAGTGAGAAGCGAGAGTATGTGTTGGCTGATCCTTCACCTCCAAACACATAGACATTTCCTCGTGCGTATACAACCGATCTGAATATGCGCTCTCTTGGTGTGCACTTGTCATCGATCACAGTCCACTCACCAGTGTCCAAAGAGAGCATCGAACATGAGTCCTTCCAGTATGAGAAGATGTGATTCCTGAAACCATGTTCAATCTTTGTTGTACGCATCTCAATGCAATCGTTCAAAAGTTTAGTTAATCGATATTCTAACTTATACTTATCAAACATTATTAATAATGGCTTATAATCGACAGTGTGAACGGTTTTGATTGTTCGAGATGCTCTCTGGACAAAGTCCAATATCTGGTCTTCATCCCATTTGACATCATTATTATATGATGAGTTGTACACTTGATCAATGAACTGGTCTCTAGATTTGGAGAAGAATATAGTATTCACCAACCTATTCAATCTCTCAATGTTCTCGACATCTTCAATATCAACGTTGAAGTTTTCATCCTTGGAATAACTTGGCTTGATTTGGTAATGATTGATATTTGCAATCTCATCAATGATATTGTTGATCGATGCTGTAGTCTTTTCAAACTCCATCATTATATACTTTTTGTAAATCTGTTCCTGGACGACGAGATACTCGTGTAATTCCCTGAATTGATTGACCAGTCTTTTGTGTGAGATCTGAATGGTATCGTAGGACCATGCCAAGCCCTTCAATAACTCCCATAATGTATCCACTCTAGTATCGAATCTCTTTATCCTCTTGTTACTTCTGTTGTTATTACTTTTGGTGTTGGTGTTGTCGTCGTCTTTGGTTTCATTGAAATGTGACATTATGTTCTCGACTTGATCAAAATCATGTTTATTATGTTGTGCAGCCAGACATACTTGACAAACAATCTGATGACAATCGAAACAAACTAATCTCTGTCTCTTATTGTGTAGAGGGCATCTCTCAATTTGTTTGTCTTCATTGGTGTTGCTGAAGTTGTTGTTGAGGTTGGTGTTGTTGGTGATGTTTATGTTGTCGGTGTTGATGTTGTCAGTGTTGTTGGCTTTGTTAATGATGTCGATAATGTCTTTAGTCTTTAAATTCATCTTCCAATATCTATCTCTATCTCTATTATCTCTATTACCTCTTTGAAATGAAGTGTATTAGTTTGTGAAATGAACCAAATAATCTGTGGACTTGTCAAATTAAATAAAATTTACATTTATTTGAAGATGTAGATGAAGATTGATTGAGACTGACTGGTGGTCAATGATAAATATGACATGTTCCAAAGAATGGCCTAGATTCTAAAGGGTCATCACCTTCAAGTGGTATCCACTGGGATTGAAGTATAGAGTATATAAAGTTATCACCATCGCCATTGAGCAAGACAAGTCCACGAGATTGTGTGAACAGACATGTTAGCGAGTTGTCATAACCAGTGTGGATCGAGACAGAGGTGAGCGCCAGCTTCTTGGACAATGACACCATGGTGGTGGTCTCATCGCCAACGATGAATATACTGTCCTTGCCGTCGTAGCACGGCAAGATGCTCTCGTCCGGCCGGAAGTTGGTCTTGATGAAGGTGTCACATTTCTTGCGGGCGAGGTCAAATACCAGGATATCCGTCAGTGTGACGCGGCATTGCACATCGACGTAGCCACCAACGATGAATAGCCTGTTGTTGTTGACAAATGTGTAGGGCACTCGGGTCGTCACTGACAGCCGGCCGACTGTGGCAAACTGCTGGGTGTCAATGTTGAAGCAATCAACTCGGTCCAGCATACGGTCGTTGTAATATCCACCGACCAAGTAGATGAGGTTGTCGCCATCGTAGCAGGCGCCTATGTTGGCGCCACCGTCAATGCCGGTGATCTCCAGGTCATTGTGCCACTTGAGCTCGGCCAGAGAGAAGCGTGAGTATGTGTTGGGTGTGTGATCGCCGCCAAACACATAGACATTGCCGCGTGCGTATACGACCGATTTGAAGATGCCCACTCTTGGTGTGCACCTGTCGTTGATCACGGTCCACTCGCCAGTGTCCACGTCGAGTATTGAGCACGAGTCGTTGTAGAATGAGAAGATGTGATTCCTGAAGCCATGATCGACCCTTGGCGACTTTTGGAACTCAAAGCAAGTGCGCATGAGCTCCTTGATGCCGTGCTGCAGCTTGAAAATATCAATGTCGATCAACAATGGTCGGGTCACAGTGTGGACGGTCTGAATTGATTGTGAGCCTCTTCTTACAAAGTCCAGCAGTTGGTCGTCTGTCCACGTGATATCATCGGATTCCTTGAACGCCTTGTCGATGAACTGATCGATCGACTTTGATGTTTGAATCGATTGCACCAACTGGTTCATACCGGCCATGTCCACTTCATCTTCATCCTCATCATCATTGTCATCATCTTCATCATTATTATTGTTGTTGTTGTGGTTGAATGTTGGTTTGGTGCGATGAGCATTGAGGTTGGCAATCTCATTGATGATGTTGTTGATCGATGCCGTGGTCTTTTCAAACTCTTCGATGAGTATCTTGTTGAGCTGTTGCTCTTGGGTCACAAAGTAATCCTGTATCTCTCTGAACTGATTGGCGATACGTCGCTGTGATATCTGAATGGTCTCGTACGACCATGCCAAGGCCTGCAGCGTGTACCACAGTGACTCGAGTCGTGTGTCGAACCTCTTTATCCTCTTTGTCCTCCAATTATCCGTGACTTGAGAGGACTTTAGATTCTCTGATTGATCAAAGTCATGTTGATTGTGTTGACAAGCCAGGCACACAGGACATATTATCTGATGACAATCGAAACAAACAAATCTCTTCTTCTTATTATGTAATGAACATCTCTGTGTGCATACGTCAGAGTTGTTGTTATTGCTATTGTTATTGTTGTTATTGTTGCAATTTATATTGTTGATATTGTTGTGGTTGTTGTTGATATTGTTGTTGATGTTATTGTTATAATTATGGTTGTTGTCTTTGTTGTTGTTGATATTGTTGTGTTCGCTGCATTTCTCCATGTGTATGTACTACATTCACTCACTATATATCTCTATCTCTTCTATCTCTATTATGAATGTCTTTGACTTTGTGGTTAATTCCAAATTAAACGACTTTAATGTAAGTGGCTTTAGCCATAAACTCACGAAAGGGTGGTATTGACGCTGTGAGATAAACCTGCCTAATTTTAATTATTTATGGTTTTGTGACCTCCGATCCATCCACCAATCAATCAATCAATCAATTAAGGTAGGTCGAACAGTCAGCCGATCGATCAATCAATCAATCAATGATAAATATGACATGATCCAAAGTTTTCTCTTGAGTCCACTGGGTCATTGCCATTGAGTGATATCCATTTGTCTTGCAACACTGAGTATCTGATACTGTTTGCACCTCCACAAAGCGAAACAAATCCATGTGATTGAGTGAAGATGAAGGGGTTGTCACCATCGTCATCCTCACTCAAATACAATTGAGAGTGTTGTAATGAATTTTTGGCGCACAGATTGACCGTGATGTACACTTGATCAATTCCATTGTAACATGTTAGGAGGCTCTCATTTGTATTGAATTCGGTCTCGCAGTGGACGAAGCATTTCTTGGTCTGAGTGTAGAATGACAAGACTTCTGTGAGCGAGGTATCGCAATAAACATCAACATGGCCACCAACGACAAAAATCTTGTTTCTCCGGACGAATGAGTATGATCCTCTGGTAGCCACGCTCAATCTTCCAACAGTTGAGAATTGTTGAGTGTCAATGTTGAAACAATCAACACGATTCAATACTATATCATCGTTGCATCCACCGACCAGATAGATGAGATTGTCACCATCGTAACATGTTGATATGCTTTCGCCTCCATCGACACCGATGATCTCCAGGTCATTGTGCCACTTCTGATCGATGAGTGAGAAGCGAGAGTATGTGTTCGGTGATCCTTCACCTCCAAACACATAGACACTGTCTCGTGCATATACAACTGAATTGAATATGCGCTCTCTTGGTGTGCACTTGTCATTGATCACAGTCCACTCACCAGTGTCCAAAGAATACATCGAACATGAGTCCTTCCAGTATGAGAGATGTGATTCCTGAAGCCATGTTCAATCCTGGTTGGTTTATCATGAAGAGCACACTGTCACTGAACCATTGCGTATCGGGTTTGACTCATACCGTTTGGAGAATCCGCTCACGGAGCTCTTTGATAAATAAATATTGTCTGGCATTGAGGTTGGCAATCTCATTGATGATGTTGTTGATTGATGTTGTCGTCTTGTCAAGCTCATCATCGAGTTCCTTCTTGAGCTTTTGTTCCTCCATCATGAGATACTCATGCAACTCTCTGAACTGATTGGCGACACGTCTGTGTGAGATCTGAATGGTTTCGTATGACCATGCCAATCCTTTCAGCGTGTCCCAGAGTGTGTCAAGTCGAGTGTCGAACCTCTTTATCCTCTTGTTGCTGGTGAACTGTGTTTTCAAGCTGTATGAATGCTCACAATCATGCTTGTTATGTTCAGTTGTATGACACACTTGACATATGAGCTCATTGCAGTCATAGCATATTATTCTCTTCTTCTTATCGTGCAAAGTACATCTCTTATGATCATCAATAGTATTATTATCTTTACTATTATTATTATTAGTAATATTGTCCATGATTCATTCACAATGCTTTGATCATCGCATTTTGTCTATCTTGTAAATAACAAAAAATGACATGATGGAAGTCACAATCTTCAATATCTCTCACTATATATATATTATATTACTAAATAACAATGAAGATAGCAATAGAAGGCTGCTGTCATGGCGAGATCGAGACCATATACAACTCACTGGTCAACATCGAGCATAAGACTGGACAGAAGGTCGACCTGCTGCTCATGTGCGGCGACTACGAAGCACTGCGCAACCCCGCCGACCTCGGCTCAATGGCCGTTCCCGACAAGTACAAAACGCTAGGCTCATTCCACCATTACTACAGCGGTCGACTGGTGGCCCCTGTGCTCACATTGGTGATCGGTGGCAACCATGAAGCATCGAACTACTTCTCTGAGCTTCCCAACGGTGGCTGGCTATGCAAGAACATCTACTATATGGGCAGGTCAGGCGTCGTCACCTTTGGAGGTCTGCGTATTGCTGGCATCTCTGGAATCTACAAAGAGCACGACTATCAGAAGGGACTGTACGAGCGCGTGCCCCTCGATCACAGCACGATGCGCTCGATATATCATGTCCGCGAGCTAGATGTATTCAAGTTGTTGAATGTATGTTAACTAATGTGTGCGCGCGACATGAATGCCAGTCGACTGACACCAACCCACCCTTCGTCATCGACAACAACAGATGCAAGAAACACCAAGACTTGACATTGTATTCTCACACGATTGGCCACAGGGCATCGTCAAATATGGCGACAGGAGAAAGTTGGAGCAGTTTAAGCAACATTTGTTGAGTGAGGGTGATGAGCTTGGCAACCCAGCTGCAACACAGTTGATGTGTCAACTGCGGCCTAAGTACTGGTTCTCTGGCCATCTGCATGTAAAGTACGCCGCTGTCTATCCACATGCACATAGACCAGAGGACGGCGCTGAGCAGCTGGTCACAAAGTTCTTGGCACTAGACAAGGTGCTGCCTGGACGCGACTTCATACAAGTGATCGATGTAGTACAGACCGGTCCGCTGCAGCTGTCATACGATCCACACTGGCTGGGCATCCTGAACAAGTGTAGACAGATCACCAACACACATACCAGCAGCTACAAGACTCCATTGTCCAGACAGCAATTCCAACAACAGTGTACACCTAACAAAGAGGAATGTGATAAGATCAACAACAGAATGATGGATATCTTTAAGATGAGATTGCAACACACTGGTGCTGCTGCTGCCCCTGTTGCACCATCAGCTGATGACGGACAGAGTGCGCCCCACTTGGAGATACCCTTCAACTTCATTCAAAATGTGATGCCATTCGATCCTGCTCAACCTCATGCTCGCTACATGCCTCGTAAGTTCATCGACTCAATCAATCAACATTAATGACTAACTCGATGATCAATCACCAGCATACCCAAACCCTCAACACATTGTCATGAACAACCTGTTGGAGATCCTTGGTAGTGAACAGGCGATCGATGCTAGCAGTCTACAGATGTTGGATACAGAGACATTCCGCATGGACATGACAATGCCAATGCCGAACAATCAACAACAACAATCAGCATTCAAAGTACAGAAGTTGGAGCAAAGTGACAATGTCAAGACTTATAAGGACTCTGCAGAGATAGATATAGATGACATTGAAGACAAGGATAACCAGGGCGAAGGCCAGGATGAGGGTCAAGGCGAGGTAGACGATGATGTCCAGGCAGGACAAGAAGAGGAGAGCAACAACCTGGCTGCAGGTTAGGTGCTTATCTGTCAATCAAACAACCAATCAATCAATCAAGGATGATAATGTCCTGGGCAAAACCCATGTCCACTGAGTATCCACATGTGGCGCATAGTGCTGTTCAACCCGACACCGACATCCCGACACCGATACCAAACACAATCATTGACGACCCGCTGTCGATGTTGATGTCGAATACTCGTTGGAGGATGCTCTTATCGCGTCTACATCTCTGTTTGGCAGACGGTGCCCCATCCCAACCCAATGCTACAGTAGACTGGCTCCCAGATTGGATTAAAGTCAGAAGTTTACATTAATACCCAAAGTCCGACCGTCCACTACGCTTATTTTTGGAGCATGCGGGGGCATTCAGATTGTCCAGTCAGTCGGGTCATTCATTCAGGTGACATACCATGACACGATGTATGCTGTTCCAGCTACGAAGAGCGACCCGTCTAGTCGACCTCTGGACGCAATAGGCAACAGGACACACCATCAAAATGGGTGAGCTTGTCAACTGACAGTTGGGACGACGTGACCCTCAATCACTCACTCACCTCACTCCTCACTCCTCACTCACACACATCCAATGTACATTCGTTCATCATCCTTTCATTCATTCTTTTCTTTCAGATATCAGGACTCTTGGACATAGATCGCCTGGTGTCAGTTCTCCGTATTGGTCTCGGGGGTAGTCGAGGCCTTGAAGGTCCCTCGAGGGAACCAAACCCTCAACCCCCACCCCCAATTGTAGACCCCATAACCCACACTTTTGATTCGTTCTCCGGTGAGGACCGTGTTGGTAAATGGGGGGAAAAACAGAGAGGACCGAATGGGTCCAACATCAAAAACTCCCCACATCTAATTCCCGATTTGGAAAGGTAAGTGCTAAAGACCAGATCACCAAACTACTTAACAGTTCCAATGATAGTATATGCAAACACTCTACATCAATCAATATCATATACTACTCCAAAGTTATTATTATCATTATTATTATTATTTGTAAGATATATATATTTATTAGATAATACTTTGTAATATTTGTATAATAATATAATATAATATAATATAAGTTGTTGTAATATAGAATATATATATATATAATCATGACTTATCCAACAAATTCAACTCATACCAATAATGAGGAAAACTTGACGTCATTGCCAGACTATGACTATGAGATGGACTCCTCCAAACCAAGTAAGGAGATTGTTCCCGAGACATCTGGTGCCGAACTGGATACCACCGAAACACTAGACAAGAAGGCAAAGTTCAAAGATAGTTCATTTCGTTACCTTGGTCTATTCTTTATGTGTCTAATGACATTTGGAAGTTATTATATTTATGTATGTTATTCAATCAATCACTCGTTCTATCAATCAATCAAAAATCGACACACCCTAACACTCGACCAATCAATTTTGATCAAAAATTTTATAGGATATTCCATCAGCCTTGACACAAGATACTGTTGATGAATGGTATGGAGTGACTGAGGTGAAATATGGTCTGTTGTACTCTGTGTACAACTTCCCGAACATGATCATTGTATTCTTTGGAGGATTTATGATTGATCGTGTGTTTGGACTTCGTCTAGGCTCTCTATTGTTCTGTGTGTTGGTACTTGCTGGCCAGATCATCTTCTCCATCTCTGCAAGCTCCAAGACCTACTGGTTGGCCCTGCTAGGTCGTATCATCTTTGGATTCGGAGGTGAATCCCTAAGTGTTGCCCAGTCGACATTCACCGCCACCTGGTTCAATGGTCGCAGCGACCTCAACCTTGCCTTTGCCATCACTCTAGGCTTCTCTAGAATTGGAAGTGCCGTCAACTTCCAGGTGACCCCCGCACTGATAAAGTCATCGGGTCTTCCATTCGCAGTATGGTTCGGTACCATCTGTTGTGGTGTCTCAATGGTTGCCACCGTCCTTCTTTGTACTGTAGACACAATCCGTCTCAAGAAAGAGAAGTTCACCGTCAAGAACGATCCAATCTCCATCAAGGACATTGCTAAGTTCCCTCCAATGCTCTGGGTATTGATAGCTGTTGTAGTCTTCTTCTACATCCCTCTCTTTGTCTTTGTTTCCATCGGAACGTATGTTTATTACATTGATCAAAAATATTACCTCACCTCTCACATCAAACTAACAATCACTCAATCAATCAAATCTATCTATCAAATATTCTTAATATACAGTCAATTCTTTATTGACAAGTTCGGTGTTACTGAAGACTTTGCAGGCGTGTTGACCAGTATTCCATACTATACCGCCGCTCCATCACCTGTGATTGGATTCCTGATCGACCGATTCGGAAGGAACTTGTCCTGGTTGTGGGGATCAACCATTCTCCTGCTACTCTCCCACATCGTCCTGGGCTTCACATCTGCCGACCCATATGTTGGTATGATCCTGATGGGCTTTGCCTACGCAATCATGGCTGCCTCGATCTGGCCCTGCTTCCCTGGTCTTGTCTCATCCACCCGTCTTGGCACAGCTTATGGACTGGCATTCGCCTTCCAGAACCTGTGTATTGGACTTGTTGGTATGGGCATCAACTCAATGCTCGAGACCTACGACAACAACTATGACTACGTGGAGGGACTCTTCATTGCCAGTTCTGGAGTGGCTGTGATCCTCGTCTCTGTCCTGATCTTCATGGATCTCAAGGCCAAGTGTATCAATGTCAGTGCCAAAGACTTCAAGATAAACATCATTGCCCTCAACACCAAGACTGATGTTCAGGAGCTTGAAGACGTTCCAGTCGATTCCGAATCGTCAGAAAAGGCCAATTCCGAGACAGAATCAGTTAACAACTATGATGGTAGAGATGATTATGAAGTTGTATTGGAGAAGAACAAGGAGGTCGAGGCTTAATTTTAGCATTCACTTCCTTCTCCATAATCAACACAATGTATAATGTATGTTTGTTGTACAACAGAGGCATGCTAATAATCATTTAAATAAAATGGTTGGTTGGATGCAATATATATAAGAGGATGTATGTTTATTTTGACTTGATTGCTGCTAAGGTTAGCTTGGGTTCTGCAGGGTTCAACGGGTGTTGTGGGTGGATTCTTCAAATATTTGTTTTGGAATCCAAGGTCCGACCCGTGATGACCCTTTGCAACCTCCAACATAGTAATAGCGACCAATTAATACATATATATAATACAACATCTGATGTCTGAGGAGCTAACCCAGTTAATAGTCACCAGAGTTAAGCAAGCAGGTGTCAAATGCTTCTTCTGCGGTACTGAGTTGGATATCTGGGTCTTGGGCAAACACCTGCCCGTGTGCGCCAAACTGTGTTACAATATCATCATTGATATGTTCCAGACTAAAGAATCACAGGAGGAGACTCACACGTTGAGGCTGCGTATAGAGGAGTTAGAGGGAATCATCAAGTCATTATCGCAACAACAACAACAACAACCACAGCCACAACAACAACAGCCACAACAACAACAGCCACAACCAACATCGTTGTCATCAACACTCACGCTTCAGCAAATGAAGACGCCAACCAAACAAGTGCGGCAGAGAACAATAGAGAGCTGATGAATATCACACATACCAAGAAGTTGATGGATGGAGAGACTAGCAAACAAACCAAGTGCTTCCTGCATTCCAACGTTCGAGACCCAACCAATCCCAACCGGATTATAGTAGAGGCGACTTGCAATTCACCAGAGAACAAGATCGAGAAGAAGATCATTGTCTACTATGGCGACCAAAAAATGATGATGTGCAGTGTTGGACATATTACAAACCATACCAGGTCAATGCCCTATTTGAAGCTTGCTGTACCTGCGATTGGAGAACACGATCCAGAGAAGCCTATCATTGGAGATTCTGTCCAACATTGCCAGAACTGTTCAAAGGGTTGTTCTCGCATCTTGAAGTGTTGCCATCCAGACAGCACGTTTGGCGTCTTTGTATACTTCTGTCGATGGAACTGCCTTGTCGAGTATCTAACCAACAAACGAGAGAAATGGACTCAATGGTGCGAAGCGAACACCGGTATCTCCAGCAGGGCAACGATAGATATCGACGATAATGCGATGTCAACAACTACATCACCACCCATCCCAGCACCCAGCCCAGCAGCACCAAGCCCAGCAATAACCAAACCAGTGTCTAAATCAAAGGCCAAGAAAGCAGCTGCAACACCAACACCAACAACAACAACAACAACAACAACAACAACAAGGAGGAACAATAAGAGGAAGAACAATACCCTTGAAGAAGGTGAAGAATAAATATGCTGCCAGCAAGCTAAGTCCATTAACTGACAAATGCCATACCCTCAACTCTGCACTTACAGATCAATGGTTCAACCAAGATGAAGAGTACACAAGTTACTTCAAGCTCTCCCATAGTCAAGTGTCTCAGCTCTGTGAGAAGCACTCTTTTGAACACAAGGACATGCTCGTCTTCCTCATGAGGTGCCGCCACAACCTTCCCTGGTACATGATGGAGCGTGTGTTCCTATATCAATTGACAATCGCTCAGCTCAGGTACTCATTCACCAAGGTGTTCGATAGATTGAAGTCGTACTGCCATGGGTACTTCCAGGATGTGGTTCACAATGGAGAGCTTCGAGACAATCATGCAGAAATATGGAAAGATGGTATTAAGCACAATGTTCATCTCATTGTGGACGGGTCAGAGCAGAGGATTCAAGTGCCGCCACACAAGACGATCAAGGATCTTGTTTATTCTGGCAAGAAATCAATGTATTCTTTGGCAGTGTTGGTCATTTGCGATATACGTGGCAAGATCGTGTATGTAGGTAAGACAGAGGGAGGCGCCCAGCCTGACGTCTCGCTCTACAAGGATGCTGCACCTAGACTACAGGCTCTGTTCGATGAAGATATTGTCATTCTCGGTGACAAAGGATTCAAAGGAGGTCAGAAGTACTACACCAACACCATCACCCCCAAGATCAAGTCGGCTTCATTGATCGATCATATGGAGTACACAGACAAGATGATCAGAAAACGCACGCTCGATGAGCATCGCCTGCGTCAAGGAAAGGAGGCGACCAAGGTATCTAAGAAGTTGAAGGCATTGGAAGCCAAGGTCACCAAAGAAGGATTCGATGCCGAGCGTATCCTGAGAGAGAAAGATGAGAGCAATCGAATCAAGAAGGTGAGGATCATCATTGAGAATGTCTTTGGAGAGATGAAGAAATGGAACATATTGTCAGACACAATCAGATCACTTGGCGACCTTTCTGACAACATTCAACGACACAACGCACTCTGGACAATTATCGCATATTTGACCAATATGTTCCACTCCTTTGGACGAGACGACGATTTCTTTAAGGTCTAATTTATCATACAACAACAACAACAACCACAACAACAACTACAACAACAACAATAAAAATATAAATATTTAATTAACATCAGATAAGGTTTGAAAGGGTTCCCCTTGCTGTTCCAAGGGTTGTCCAGGGTCGAACCAGCTCGAACCCAAGGATTGAGACCGCTGAAAAATGAATTCTCTGCGTAACCTTGACTATCCCCTGCAGAACCTTAGCAGCAACCAACTATTGACAAGTTGATTGATCAAACGAAATTGATTCTTGATCGAGAATCTTTGCAGTGTGTGGGCATGCAATGTTTGATTGGTGCCACACCCGCCCTCATCTTAGCATCAATCTTTCATCTTGTTTATTTATTCATAAAACAATTGTAATAATAATAATAACAACATTAGATAGAGATAATAGTCAGATAGATGAGCGAGAATACAATCATTGACGACATTAAAATCAACGATAACAACAATGACAATAACAACTTAATTGACAACACAACTACTACTACAAATACAACTTCTACTGCAACTACAAGTACGTCCAGTCTACAAAGATGTGATACACATAATAAGAAACAAAGGTTCATATGCTTTGATTGTAATCAAATCATTTGTGCTCTGTGTCTGGCGGCACAGCATACAAGACACGACTTTGACCAAGTCGAGAACATTAAACTACAGTGTGACAACTCTGGTATCAAGTACCAGCGATTCACTTCACGCTTGAACTCGCTATGGGACACATTACAAAAGTTGGCATGGTCCTACGAGACGATGCAGACCTCTCAAAAGATGGTGGCCGATCAGTTCACTGAGCTGCATCACTTCCTCGTCGTGGAGGAGCAGAGGATAAAGAAGCCGTTAATCCTAGAGCTCGAACAAACAACATCCACAATCAAATGTATCATTGATGAGATTGAGCGGCTGACATCTCAGACGCAGACCGAGCCCAACCCACCAGACAACGCGGCTGATGACGAAATGGACTCCATCGATCGCTTGGTCGAGTCAATCAACTCATCCGAGTCAATGGAGCAGTTCTTAAACAACTCATTCCTGCCTGGTGATGAAGCTGCATTCATGCGTTGCACGGATAATCAGCTGTTGGCATTCGTCCAGCGTGGCTCCCGCTCCCTGTCGACCGTTTACAAGGTCACTAACCCATATCGCGTTGACACAATGACCTTCAAGTTGAATGACGTCAAGGAGCACATTCGACTGTGCTTCGAACTAGTCGAGGCCAAGAAACGAGATCCCGCTCGCTCGCCCACGCACAGCTTCAACAATCACATCTTCACCTCGCTCAAGGACTCTTGCGCAATGCTTTCATTGGACACTGGCAAGTGGATTAAGCTCAACGATGCGTTTACAAACAGACGACGCATCTATGAGTCGGCCGTGTACGCTCGCGGCTGCGTGTACATATTTGGCGGCGATGGCGCCCCAACAACCTACTCTCGCTACTCACTCACCGAGCAGCAATGGCTCAACGACATTGAGATCGTTGGTGTGCCAGGTGGACGCAGCATATCCTCTTGTTACGATGGCGGCAACTTGATCTACCTGGTTGGTGGCTGCTTCAACGAAAAGATGCTAGACCGCATCGATTGCTTCAACCTAGACACACTTCAGTTCTCGCGAGTCGGTCGCATGCCCCTGTCCCTGGCCAACCCTCATACACTCATTCATGACACCAAACTGTACATTGTTGGTGGCTACCAAGACGTGTCGCATCCCAACAAGAACATCTACATGTGCAGCCTGCAGACCAAGGTCTGTACGGTGTTCATGGAGAGCGCCGTTAACGGCTGGCTCTTTGCATGCTGCTTTGATGGCAAGGATCAACTGACGATGACCGTAGGCTTGGCCACCATCAGACTGTCACTGACCACAAAGCTATCCAGAACTATCGCGTCATCCCCCATCACCAACAACTACTACCATCTTGTCTACACCACATCGAATGACATCATCCAACTTGGCGGCACGGGCAACAACTACCGATACTCAAAGCTCAACGATCAATGGATCCCCATCAATGACGATGATCCAGTGCCCACAAGAATGGCCTACAGCACATGTCTAATACGTGATGATTGATTGATTGATTGATTGATTCAAATACAATATATACATTGATGAGCAAGCAGGTTGTTGATTGATGGTTTAGGTTGTTATTTATATATCACAGAATACAGGCTTTGATGGATCATACCACCAGAGCTTGACGGTGTTGTCGTGTGAGCTACTCGCCAGGACGGATTGTTGCTGACTCCATGCCACCGAGTAGACCATGCCGGCATGGCCCTCCAGCTTCTGAAGGATGTTGCACGTCTCGATGTCCCATATGTACACGGAGCCATCCTCCGAGCCTCCAACGACCAGCGACTCATTTGGTCCGAACGAGCTGCGAATGAAGTTCTTGGATGTGTTCTGATGGCCCTTGAAACGCTTGAGTGGGCGCGCCGTGCGGATGTCCCACATACGATTGGAGTTGTCCTTGGAGGCCGACAGCAACAGCGATCCGCTGCTGTTAGTGGCCACCGATGTCACCTCGCCCAGATGACTGGTCAGCGTCTTGATGCACACGCCACTTACAATGTCCCAGAACTTGATGGTGCTGTCCTTGGAGCCAGATATGATGAGGTTGCCATGTGGGTTGAAGATAACCTTGGATATGGACGACGAGTGGCCGATGAATGACTTGACCAGTTGGCCTGTGCGCACGTCGTGTAGGTGGATCGTCTTGTCGTAGCCACCGCTGGCAATGTGGTCCTGTCCAGGGTGGAACTGGACGGTGTAGGCGTCACCCTCGTGCGCCTTGATCGTAAGTGGACACGTTGGCTTGGTAGTCTGGCTGATGTCCCAGATGTTAACGAGGCCATCACCTGATGCGCTGGCCAACAGCTTGCCCGACGCCGAAGACGACAGATCCCAAATGCGCGATGTGTTTCCTGTAAGATTGGACAGCAGTGCGCCTGTCTCTGTGTTCCAAAGCTTGATTGTGTTGTCGCTAGAGCCCGAGGCGAGCGACAGGCCATTGGTGCCGATGAACTCGACACACTTGACATTCTTCTTGTGGCCGCTGAGAGTCGTGCGCAAGCTGTTTGGCAGCACGAAGCAGCTATAGTCCTCCAACAGCGACTTGATCCTGGGAACGACCTTGGGATGGTAGCGACCAAACTCGATCTGATAAGTGATGGCCTGCTTCATCAGCGTGAGCAGGCGATGAGGGGGCACGCGGAACAGGCCCGTAGTCTTGGTGCCCTCGAGGTCCAGCATCGACTGGAACTGCTCGACCAGTTTCTCGCGCGACGAGCCCTTGCTGCCGTCCCAGTTCTTGAATGACGGCACCTCCTGCACTGAGCGGCAGGTCAGCAGGTAGCACAGCTCCTTGAACTCGTCGGCGTTGGTCTGGCGGCCCTCGAGCGGCTTGAGTCGCTTCGTCAAGTATGTAAAGGCCTTTTGGAACTCGGCCTTCTCGATCAGCTCGAGGTAGGCCTGCTTGTAGACCGCGTAGAGGAAGGACTGCTGGTTCTTGAACGTGGTCTTTGAGCTGAGTTTCTCGACCTCGGTCCAATCGCCCTCGAGTATTGCCTTCTTCATCTTCTTCATGCGAGACGCCTTGTAGTGCTGCTCGGTGAACTTGACATTGGCCTCGTCCTGCACAGTGAGCAGCGACGCTGTGTAACCCTCGTCCTGCAAGTATTGGATGATCATTCGAATGATGTCCTCTTTGAGTTGGGGGTCGCTCGGATCAAAGATCTGCGGGTCATCCTCAAGGTAGATCGTGCGCTTGGGCGGGCCGCCGTACTCTGTGCCGCTGACCATGCCCTTGATCACCATCTCCCTGTCGGTCAGTGTGGAAGACGACGATACATTGAGTGCCGACATCATATCCGACATTGAGAACTGATTTGACATCTCCTTTATATCGGATGATGTTGAGCCTAGACTTGTCGAAGTTGTGCCTGGGAATCCTGTGCTTGTCCTTGTACTCGCACCGCCTACAGGTGTTGTAGACGTTGTATTTGATGTCGATGTTTGTCTATTATCGCTCATCCTATATATTATATCTGTATAATGTAATAAATAAATAAGTCAATGAATGAATGATCTAACTTTGATCAGATCATTACGAAGATCAACCCGCACCCCACATTGAGCAACCCCAAATTGTTAGATTATGGGACAAAGTGATAGTCCACCTCATGAATGATCAATATCATTGTACATAGTTATTATTATGATTATATTGTAATAACTTATATTTGTAACCAATTTATGATGTATGGATAACATTTATAACTCTTTGATTGTAATTATCTCTTTGGAAAAATCCAAAGATCTCTCAAAGTTGTGTTTTTTGCTCATTGGTCCAGATTTTTGTTCAAGAAAGAGGACCATCAGTCTTCATTTAGTTCATTATTACTTACATATACATATTCATATATATAAGTATACGTTCATCAAGGATCGTATATATACACAAACAGATTGATATACAATGGTATAGATCATCAATACATGGAATGAATGAATGAAGGTTATGACAGAAGTACTAACATTAAAATGAATGATTGAATGATTGATAGAGGTTCAAATTCTGTGGAGAGCTTGATGCTCCAGACTGGTTGCTCAGAGAGATAAGCACAATGTCAAAGATTGTAAGTTGGGATCATCGATCGGAAAACAACAGAAACAACAGACAGCCAAATTGTTAACCAATCATTCAAACTCTTACAGACCAATATAAGAATCAAGTTGCTCACTGTACAGGTTATCAACAGTTTCTCTGGAGAGAAGATTGATGTAAGTGTCATCTCGATGGTCTCACTAGGTATTGATCACAAACACTCACACTACACTCAATCAATCAATCAATCAATTCAATTGAATCGAATCAAATCGATAACAGTTTGAGAAGGTTGAGAAGTTGGTCAAGGACGCTGGATTCGTACTGGGCGATATTAAGGCACTGATCGCTGCCATTCACTTCATTGTATTCAACGCTGTAAAGAATGACGTCGACGAAACTACTCTGTCCAATGAGCTGCAGCAACTCGGTCTGCCCAAGGAGCATTGTGACTCTATATCACGTGCATTCCGTGAGCACAAGGACAAACTCAGATCCATATTCCACAGCAATACACTAAAGTGTAACGTGTCTCGTGATTGTCTGGCAGTGCAATGGGCCATCTCTAACTACTCTCCAACATAACGACAACACTTTATAGTGAACTCGATTGAGAACATCGACTGGCGAGTGGACTATTTGCTGAGCTCCAACACAGTGAACGAAGTCAACACACCAAACATCCAGCTCAACCTCAAGGTCAGGAACCCATCAACTGGCGAGACTACCCTTCATCCATTCGAGATCAGTGCAAAGAAATTTAATGTATTATATTATGGTATGTGTATCGATGTTTCCAGCCATCCAGTTGCCCGGACCATCACTCACACGGATCCACCCATCAATCAATCAAACAGAACTTAAAGCGTGCAAGGCATTGATGGAGGAATCAGTATGATCATTGAATTGGACTAGATGTTGGACACGAACAGGTAACTCCAAACCTCTCTATTGGCAACTTGATCAAACACGACTACCATTAAATCTGTCGTTACCGATAACACGACATTCATTATTTGAGTTTGTTTATTTGATTGATTGATCAAGAGAGAGAATGGAATGGAGTCACTATCAATTTATATCCTACAACAGATAACCAAGCAGTTGGATGATGATATTGATGTTGCATGCTTGTGTTTGACTTGCCACTCACTCTTCAACCTGTACATCAATGGCAAGATACTGCGCCCCATGTGCACCTCACGATCCACACTATCAACGATGAAATGGTCGGCAAACAAACCTATATTGGCAGGTTCATTGCAAGAGAACCTACTCATTCTAATACTAGGCGCAATTTACAATCTGCCTCTGGAGCGAAATGTCCTTCCATCATCACTTACTTCATTGACAACAGGATACATGTACGATCAGATCATTGTCCAAGGTGTTCTACCACCATCGTTAATCAAGCTAGTCTTTGGATATCACTACACCCAACCCATTGCACTCGATGTACTGCCACGATCACTCCAATACTTAAAGTTTGGTCATCGCTATAAAGCTGCTATCGATCCTTACGTGCTTCCACAATCACTTCATACCTTGAAGTTTGGATCATTCTTTGACAATCCCCTCAATATACCTGGTATACTACCAGGGTCACTAAGAAAGCTATCATTTGGCTACAACCACAGTCAACCATTGGACTTAGTATCCTTACCTCCAACTTTAATATCATTGGGGCTAGGTAACAACATTATCGTTCGGTCTACATTCCCTGACTTCCTGATGACACTGACGACATTACTTCGACTAAAGATCCGTTCATTCTTACCCCTGGTTGACATTGGACATCATCCAGCCTTTGATGGTCTTTGCCTGACAATAAGGTTCAATGTGATCCTACTACCAGATATATTAATCATCCCCGCCCAACTGAAGGAGCTATATATTAAGTCAAAGTACGGTCTTCTCAACAAGAGCCTCATCCAACAAGTGATCAAGAAGCTACCCAATGTACAAAGTTACCGCGTCACAGTGGAAGAGACGGCAACGAATGTTTGTTGGCGTATGATTACCCCAGGAAGAGCACTATGTGTTGTCTCCAAGCATCTTACGCAACCTAGTCGTTCAATCATCAAGATGGTGGACCTGTGATAATCGACATGTACATAATAAACATCATCATCATCATCATCGATCTACATGTATGAGTGCATAGCGAGGTGGTAGAATGCCACACTCAACCCATCGCACTCAAGTCTTTGTTATTGTTGTTGGATGGAGCTACAACTCCACTCTTACAAGAGCTTCTCAATCTGTTGCTCAAGCTTGACGAGGTCCTTGGCAAAGTTACGGATACCCTCAGCAGTCTTGAAGTGAGCCATCTCGTTGTTGGTGAGCTCCCAGTGGAAGTTGGCAGCGGTTGGAACATGCTTGGCTGGCACGTTGCCTGGGATGTTGGTGGCCGAGAGCTTTGGAGTGACCAACGAAGCGTCGGCAGCCTGGAGAGCCTCGAGAATGTTTGGTGAGAGGGTCAGCAAGTCACAGCCAACGAGCTCCAGTGGTTGCTCCTTGGTACGGAAACTGGCACCCATGACGACGGTCTTGTAGCCGTGCTTCTTGTAGTAGTGGTAGATGGCCTGGACCGAGAGGACACCTGGGTCCTCCTTGGCGGGGAAGTCCTTGCCCTCCTTCTGCTTGTAGAAGTCGGTGATACGACCAACGAATGGACTGATGAGTGTGACGCCAGCCTCGGCACAAGCCTGAGCCTGCACGAGCGAGAACAGCAGAGTCATGTTGCAGTGGATGCCCTCCTTCTCGAGCACCTGGGCAGCCTGGATACCCTCCCAGGTGGAGGCGAGCTTGATGAGTACACGGTTTCTGTTGATGCCAGCGGCCTCGTAGAGAGCGATCAGCTCACGAGCCTTCTTGATGTTGGCCTCGGTGTCGTAGGAGAGACGAGCGTCGACCTCTGTGGAGACACGGCCGGGCACGATCTTGAGGATCTCCAGACCAAAGTTGACAAAGAGCTTGTCGATCGACAGAGAGAGCTGTGTCTGCTTGTCAGTTGAGTTCTTCTTTGCGTAGGCGACGGCATCATCAATCAGATGCTTGTACTGTGGCAACACTGAAGCCTGGAACACCAATGATGGGTTTGTTGTGCTGTCAACTGAGCCAAACTTGGACAACACTCCAAAGTCAGCAGTGTCTGCTACCTACAGCATAAATCATATCGATCAAACATTGGACATACATGTAAGTTTAGTCAGTCAGTCTGTCAATTCGTAAGATTGATTGAATGATTCAACAACATACGACAACAGTGAATTCCTTCAATTTCTCTAATGCGTTGGACATCTTTTGTTTATGTTTGTTATGTTATATTAAGTTATGTGTATGTATGTTTGTATAAAGAGATAAATGATATCCTTTGAAATGAACAACATGTGTGGTGCAAGTTCACAAAGTGCACTTTGAGCTCAAGTTCGGGAATGGGATCGAACGTGGATATGAGTGTGTGTGAGTTGGATATGGTTGACATTAATGTGGATAAAAATGGTTAAAAGGTCAATGAATACGATCTACATTTAGTTTTGGTTAGTGTTCCAAAGGCGTCGAGAGCCACCATTGACAACAGAACAGACATCCAACCAGCGGGTGGAAGTAGTCTCTGTCACATGTGACAGCCTCAATGAGACTTACAAAACATATTTAGAAGGGGATAATGATAGATAGTTTGTTTGTCATCATAATACAAAATATAACTTTGAATATATTCACTCCATTCCATTCTGTTTCAGAGCCAGGTGTCTCTGCTAAGCTACCTAGTAGGTGACCTTCTGTGTTCGAAACATATCCCACGACACGACAGACATTGGTTATTTTGGTACTTCATTGTTTTGGGCAATCAATGACATGAACTAGATGTAACCTCTGGTTGAGGTGGAAAGTTCCGGAGCTAGATTTGCCCGACACGTAGATTATAGTTCTCATAGATACAGAATAACAACGAATATCGTTGTCCTGTTCTCCGGGGTTTCACCTCTCCAATAAGAATATCTTGAACTTCAAAATAAGTCTCTGTCTGTCTGTCTGTCTGTCGCTGTCTCTCTTTGATAGTGAGCACTTATAATGCCCATTAATAATAAGAATGAATGTTTGTATGAATGAATGAATGATCAAACCAATCAACAAAGCAATCTCCTTCATCCTTTCATTCAAAGCAAATGGTCATTATGATGATAAAAGTTGTATTTGATTTGCATCATTGGCACTTTTATCAATCAATCAATCAGATAACTCTCTGTCTTTCTCCTAAACAAAGTTGACGTGGCTATTTATATTGTAATAATGGACTAATTCTTGTGAAACATCCATCAAAGTAATTAGACACTGGACCCTTCATAACCTGGCTACGTTGTTGTTTGAAAAAAACACTCAACAACAACACTAAACTCAGCCATGGCTGTGACCACTTGTTCAACCAACTCATCTTGGTGTTGAGCAATCACACCTACAAAACACCAACAAACACACACACAACAACATAATACAGATATTTTTTATTATTCGTCTGCAGATCGTTGCCTCAATTTATTTCACCAACAACACAAATAGGTTGACAGGAAGGAGGTTGTGTGTCGAGGTGGTTATTGGTTAATTGAAGGTGAGAACATTCCATCGTGTTGTGTTACATCCTTTACTAGTCTCAAACACATCTTATCATTATCACTTAGTTATAACTAATATCAAAAAGAGTTATTACTTGATTACACATACTATATTATATTTATATCATTATATCATTAATATGGTGAAAGTAATACTTCACTTGTAACATTATTTATTCAGATACATATATACAGATACAGATATATAGATACAGATACAGCTTATATATTAGTTTTCAATCAACATGTCAACTAATCATACAGCAGCAATCAATGGAGATATAGATAGTAAATATTCCAAAGGTAGCGGCAGCAACAACTATAAGAAGAGTAATGGATTCTTGGGAAAGATAACGGCAGAGAATGTTTGGAAACGTATTGTGATGATGGGTGGCATGGACTTGCGCTCAATCGCTTTGTTCCGTTTCGCAATGGCCTTTTGTGTGATTGGTGATAATATCGAGCGTATGACCGACTTGTTCGCCATCTACACGGAGGAGGGACTGTTCCCCCGCTCACTCATCGTCACCAAGTACTCGTCAAACTACTTCTTCCCCATCCATCTCATCAACACCAGCTGGACCTGCCAGCTGGTGCTGTTCCTCATGCACACATACTTTGCCTTTTGCATGGCCATTGGCTACCGCACCAAGCTGATGTCCTTCCTCACGTGGGCCTTCACCATCTCGCTCCAGGCCTACATCGGACTGGTGGGCCACGGTGGCGACGTCTACTTCCGTCTCATGCTCTTCTTCACCATGTTCCTGCCGACCACCGAGTTCTTTGCAGTGGACACATGGACCTTTGCCAACAGTGCTCAGCATGGCAAGGAGGAGGAGGATCATCACAACAACGACTCACCACGCTTCATTGTCGTCGATGGCTCATCATCAGGCGATGATGTCGTCGGCAACAACTCGCCGATCATCAACGATGCACCCGTGTCACACACCAGGAAGGCACTCAATCCCGATCGCTACCGCTACATCTCCATGGCGACAATCTGTGTTCTGCTTCAGATGTCTTGCATGTACATTGCATCCTTCTTCCACAAGTCTGGTGAGGAGTGGCACAATGGAGAAGCCACTTTCTACGCCATCAGTCTTGATTACTTCCAAACACCAATTGCTCGCATGGTAATCCCATGGAGGACAACTCTAAAGTATGTTTAACTTGATTAGGATCGAGTGCAACACAGCTAACACATCCCACCCCATCAACAGGACATTGACCATCGCAGTTGCCAAGTGGGAGTTGCTTGGACCATTGTTCTGGTACTCTCCAGTGTACACTGACTACTGCCGTCTGCTTGGCGCCGTTGGATTCATGGCATTGCATCTTGGATTCGTGTTGTTCTTGCAACTTGGATTGTTCTTCTGGGTCACCTTCTGCGCACAGTTTGTCAACATGCCACCATTCGTCTGGGACTACACCTTTGGATTCTTTGAGAAGAAGCTGATGAAGGGACAGCGTCCAGTGCGAGTCTATTACAACATCGAGTCACCACTCAGCCAGTACACGACGCTCATCATGAAGACCTTCTTCATCATGCCCTCGTCGGCCACATATGCACCACTGGACAAGCTGGCGGAGGAGCCCTCCATGTCGACCACAGTTAACAGCGACGTGTATGGCGAGGACTGGTTCGTCACGATCGACAGCAACGGAATCCGTCGCAAGAACCTTTCCGCCCTGAACTTCCTCATGAGCAAGTCCCCACTACTATTCTGGCTGTCGTGGCTGTGCACACGCGTGTCAGCCGGCGTCAGCTCTGTTTTCTCGCGCTTCTTTGTTCTCACCCACAAGCAGGGCAAGCAGTCGCAGGCGCTCTCCAAGCGTCCATCGCTGTACGTTTTGCGTCGCTCGCCACGTCGTCGCCCATCGCGCGTCTGGTCTGTTGCCAACAACATCTTTTGCGCACTCTTGTTCTACCTAATCCTTGGCTACAACCTCAACATCTTCTCGTACCGCGTGCCATTCTGGAGCTATCGCCAGCAGCAGGTGGCCTTCCTCATTCGTTTCGACCAGGGCTGGAACATGTTCAGTCCATCTCCACCCAAGATCCATTGGTGGCACGCGATTCACGGTGAGACCGACAACGGCACCAAGATCGAGCTGTTCAAGGACAACGCCTTCCACCAGATGCATCTCACTGACAAGGTCAACATGGAGGTCAACTTTGACAAGCCGGTGCCCTTCGACACGACGTACGGCAACCATCGATGGTTCAAGTTCTGGGAGAATGGCTACAACTCGGCCAATGCGAACGAGCTGCGTCTCGAGACGGGCCGATACATCTGTCGCCAGTTCAATAGCGCGCACTTTGGCTCGATGAAACTATACACCTTCAAGGTGTACTTTATCTACGAGTATATGAGTCTTGATGGCACTGTATCCGCTCCATCGATGCAGACTCTTTGGGAGCATGTATGTTACGACAAGCCTAAGCAAGAGTAGAGTAGTGTTGTCACTACATTCATTCAATCATTATAATGTATCTAGGATCGATCCAGCCAATGTACATAGCGTCATCGCCATTCGCACATCGGCATCAGTTACCAACATAAACTTTAAACCATTCATTCATTCAATCAATCAATCTCTTATACATGTTGCCAATCATTCAATCTATATTCTTTCATTCATTCATTCCATAACTATTATATGTACATGTTACATGTTGTAGGCTGCGCAGTATTCCTTCATCATTGGAACTATCTTGGCGGACAATGTAGGTAATGGATAGGTGACCAGCATAAAGATGTATGAGCCAGACTTGGTCGGACACTGATCAGTAGTATTAGTATCATGTCTAGTCCAACTCCCTCCACTCCACTCCACAACATAACATTACCTTTATGAATGCAACACCTTCTCCAGTGGACTCTTCACCTTTTCTTCCTACTACCATGTCTTCAAAGCAACGGTGTAGTTCATAGTTGGAGTCATCAACGTTGATACCTTGTGCAATGGCCTTGTTACTTGTTTCAAACAGTACAATCAATTCATTGACATCATCCTTGTGATTGTTCCTCACTGGTGGCTCTGCGAACAGTACATCACCATTGGCAACAAACAGTTGTAGTCTACTCGTCACTTTCTTTATATTCTCCAACTTATCATTCTTTATCAACTGGATATCATTGTTATTGCTACTGCTACTCATTCTATATCTCTCTTTCTTTATATCTTTATATCTCTCTCTATCTATGTTGTATTACACTTGTTATTGATATTGTTATAAAACAACTTGATGATGGAGTGATGAACTTAAGTAGTGTAGGGTGGAGGGTGTAATATGTGATGGTTGAACAGTGTGGTGAAGGGGGGGGTGGATCTGACAAGACGACACTTTAGCTTTGTATTGTTATACTTGTTGATGTTCAATCCTAATTAAGTGCACTTAATTAACAAGTTGAGAGCCTCACATCATCTTGTTTATTTGAGACCCAAAGGAATGAAATATTCTTTGAATAAACCATGCTTGATAAACCAAGATATAAACAATGTTCCATCATAATGCGGTGTGGATGACCATCAATTATTATTATCTGTTCGTTTGGGTATATACCATCTATTACAGCTACCTAACTGTGTCCAGTTTTGGTCTTTTTCTTTCTAACACTCACAAAAACTGATGATCAGAACTTGTTCACTCGGGACTCGTTTCATCATTCATACATCACAACACACAACTATAACTTATACATATATATAAAATGAATACGTTTAGACTACTGAATAAAGCTTCTAATAGTATATCACGGGCTGCCCGTGTGTCTACATCAGCATCGTCTTCAGTATCATCAAAGTTTAACATTGCAACAGCAACAAACAACCTGTTTAAAACGACGTCGACGACGACTTCATTCGCCACAGCAACATCAGCTTCAGCATCAGGAGCAACATCGAAAATGAATACCAATATCCCATCACTAAAGCCATCAAGTAGCAACACAAACTCCAACAATATATTAAACAATGGTGCCAATGGTAACAAATCACTAATGTATGTGTAGTCATGTCAGCCAGCCAGCCAGCCAAAAGGGAGGGGTACTTCCTTTTTGTTCCTCGCCTTGCCTCCACCTCGCCCTCCCTCGCTTACCTAATCTATCATATTCAACAGAGTCAGATCAGCATTTATGAACGCACAGATGCTCCTGGAAATGATCGCTGCTTTAGATGGTACGTAGCGGGGACACTCTGCAGTAAAAATAGGCCATTTGCCACCTTGACTTGGAGGGCCTCAATGCGAGCTGGAGGATGAGCATTATCAATACATACTCTTTCATCATTGTTCCTCGTCCCCTTGTGTGTTGTGTGTCACTTGTCAATCGATCAACATCCACTCGTCAATCCCATCATCCATTACCGATCCCCACCCACTGCCATCCTCCATCTATCCACCATCCATCCCTCATACTATCCATTCAATTCAATTCAATTCCATCTCGCCCCAGGGTATGCTCGTCCGACCTCTCATTCGTCCCCTCCAAGGACGCGCCAGCCTCACAGCCAAGCCATCCTAACATCTTCATCTGCCCTCCCACTCTCACTCTTCCAACCAAACAGAGGACGATGATGGTCGATAACTAGCAGCTTATTCCTTTTGGTCATGAGTACTTTGTTGGCCAACCATCACAATGGCAATGACGCGTCAATTGTTGTTGGCGCATGCCACTGGCGACTGGCTACGAACGGAAGTGATTGCGGGAATAGGCGACCCAGGTTAGGGATTAAACCAAAGATATGAGCTCGTCCATACAGACGGCTCGTCTACAGATAGATACGAAAGAGAAGAGGAGAAGGCAGCGGTTGAACTATGTGACAAGTGGACCAAGTGACCAAGTGACAAGTAATAAACAGGGACATCGCTGTCGCATCCATCATATTATATATATAACTATACTATATTGTCGCCATCGGATGACGACCTATTTTATCGATTGATTGCAATGATGATTGATTGATCGACCTTATTGCTTGTCCGACAATGGTTTGTCGAGAGCGGGAGGTGGGTTGATGGTGACGCTCTCGATGAGCTGTCTGTTGGCTGTCTGTTGCTTGTAGAACTCTACCACACGCTTGCTTGCCTTTGACACGAGCTCAGGGTAGCAGTAGTACATCGATACACTGAAACCTAGCACTGCCAATGCTGGGTCCTTGACTGAGGGAACTACAATGACAACCAAACGTTAGTCACATCCTTCTCGTCGCACATATCATAGAGTCTCTATCCTACTTACCCTTCTTGAACAATACGATTGGCAACAAGGTTGCTGCACCAACAACAAGTGCGGGTGGTGCCTGATCCAACATCTCCATTGACTTCTTGTAGTTGTTGCGCACACTGACAACGTTTACAGTGTCAACGAATCCCTTTGCGGCGGACTTGAAGCCATCATCCATTGTCTGCTGTACCTTCTGTTGTCATTGAATGTGTGAGTCAGGAATGAGAAGACGAACGAATGAATGAAAGAAGACTTAAACACATACAGGAGTAACCTCTTTGGAGGCATTAAAGAAGCTGATGAGTGTACGAGCCACTGGTGTGAAGAATGTCTCGTCCTCTCTTGATGGGACATTGGTAGAGGTGATGTTGGTGATGCTGTTGATGATGTTGCTGGCGCTAGATGGGGACGACGAGTCGTCGGCTGACTCGCTTGTGCCCAGCTTTCCTGATGCCTGGAAGTTGCTCGATATTGATTTATACAAGTCCGACATGTCTTCTCTTTATATCTATTAATGTATATGTATCTATCTATCACTTATCAAATGTTGGCAATCAAGTAGGTGTGTCAGTTGTCATCAAAGTGTGGGGTGATCATCACACAAAACGAATGATTTTGAGTGCACTCATTCAATCAATCAGTAAGCCAATCACAAACAATCATTGTAATAGTTATAACAGTTTATAGAATCATTTTATCCTTTCCAACATAGTATACTATGATAGAGACATTGTTGTTGTTTAAAGTAACAACCAAGTAGCAATCAAACATGTTTAGTGCCGATCTAACCATGATCGAATCAAATCAATAGAAGGGTGGCATTGGAATGGATTGATTATCTATTGTCCCCAGGATAGGCTTGGTGACATATGTCAACAAAACACCAGACCACTGGTGACCATGACCGAAAGCCCCGACAAGTGCACCTACACTGTCACCAAATCATCAATCATTGATCCCGTATCCTGTTGATGTTGTTGTTGTCAACAAGGTTGTAGGGATGTGATGTGTTGGTCATACAAACAATCCTACCCATTATGGTAATAATCATACATTACGTGAATGATCAACTAATCGGAGCGGAGAGAGTGCAAGATCCAATTGTTGCACTCATGATTAAAGGCCAGTCACTCATTGTAAGTAAATTAATACCCCGGTATCGTCGGGTAATCGCTCGGCGATGTTTGCAAGTTGCGCGAAACAAAACTTATTTGTTTGTGCTTGTTTTGAAAGGCCTTTGAGCCTGTTTTGCACCCGAGATAAAGGCCTCAACCAATGTTGACGACATACTAACCAAGCTTCAGATCACAGCTGATCCATACATCGAGATGAGTAGACAAAGAGATGTTTAATGGGCCAACCGTGGCTGGACGCCACCCTATTAGCGGGCAAACCATCATTTATCTCTCTCCCCTCCTGTCCCCCCAACACAAGTGACTCCCCAACCGTGCATGCCATGCATCCATTATACCTCTACAACAATGGATGTTCAAGATCAACTCATGAGGCGAGTGCCACCTGGTACAAGATTTACAAAACATGTCTTGGCGTGTCTGCTGCGCTGAAGTGACGTGCCGAGATCACCCGAGAATATTGCCGTAATTTGGTGTTTTCTGTGACCTTGATCATGGTCACTCTTGTCCATGCATCATGCCGAGTTCGTTGACTGGCTTTTCTGTGGAGGGTGGGCGCCCGCAGGCCATCACATCTAATCAATAATTGTCCTCAATTATTGCGTCTCTTCCTCTTCCTCCTCCCTTCCTCCTCCACATCCTCACTCTTTCTTTCCTTTGCTTTATCCACGTGGAGTCATGCAAATTCCTCTACCAACTCCAGTCCTAGTGTCATCCGATCACTACTCAATCTCAACATTGGATATTCATTCTCACCTACTTGTAGAGATAATTATTATACAAACAAAGAGATAACAAGACATTATAGGAAAATGGCAAGATTATTAACCTCTCTATATTTATTAACAACTATCATTGTATTTATCACCCTGTCAAATGGTGCTCAACGTAAGTAGTCATTCATTCAATCATTCAATCATTCTCTCCCGATGAATAATTAATTAATTAACCATGCTACACTCCAATATCATGAATAGAACCATTTACCATCCCTGTATCTATATTTGACCAATACCCATCGTTCAATCCCAACTTTGAGCCAGACATCAGTGTCAATGGAGGTATGACCAAGGGATTGGTTGCAGACACTCTGGACGAGGTTACCAAGATCCCCGTCCTCAACCCAAATTCGCCAGAATCTGTATTCCAGAAAGGATGCATTACCAACAAGGCCCTGTTCGCCAAGTTCTTTGTGAACGACCCCGCCATCACCAGGTTTGTCAACTACGACATGACCTTCACACCCATCAGTCCAAGCGTCTATGAGCTCAACCAACAGACCTTCTTCCCAATCAACTACCAAGGATGGGATACCGACTCCTCCAAGAGACAATACTCTGACTACAACGGTTATCAGAACTTCCACTACTGCATGAAGGTCAACATGTACTTTACCTTTGTTGTAAGTAAAATTAATATTAATATTAATATTCCAATTGATATTAACTCCTCTCCAATATCTCTCACCTCTCAATCTCATCAGGGTAATGAGGTATTCAACTTCAGAGGAGATGATGACGTCTGGGTTTACATTGACAACAGGCTTGTCATTGATCTCGGAGGTATCCACACTGCCGATGAGCAGAACGTAACCCTTAGCAAGCTTGGACTTACTATTGTATGTATCTTTAAATTTGTCACGTCACTTGTCTAATTTCCAATCGTCACCTGGAATTCCAATCACTCATCAATCTAACACACTCATACCACTCACCAATCATAATCACAGGGTAACACCTATGCCTTTGATTTGTATTACTGTGAGAGACATACCTCCACATCAACAATCAGAATCAACACCAACTTGGCCGTCAAGTGTGGACATATTGATTACTGCAATGTGTGCAATGGTGATGGATCATCTTGCTGCATTGCATCCCGTGACTGTAACGACAACAACCCATGTACCATCGACAAGTGTCCCGCCGCCAACACACCAGGCATTACCAGAAATAACTGGAAGACCTTCTGTTCCAACACACCAATGAACTGCGCCAACAGCACCGACCAGTGCAACAACTACGGCTGCACAGGCGGCTCATGTGGCATCGTCTCCAAGAAGACATGCGCCGAGCTCTCCTGCCAGGTCAACACCATGTGTGACACCACCACCGGCTGCCGCTACCAGGACAAGTGCTCCCCAGCCGACGCCTGCCACACTTCTGTCTGTGTTCCAGGCGCCTCCGTCGCCCAGGATACCTGCAACGTCCAGGCCATCAACTGTACCGGCAATGATGTGTGCACCCTCTACTCTTGCGACCCAGTGAGCGGATGTGTTACCAGCCCACGCAACTGCACTGACCCAGCCAACACCAACCCATGCGTCATCTACAAGTGTGGCGTCAACGGCTGTGAGAACAGCACTCTCTCCCGCGAGGAGTGTGACTGCTGCAACCCATTGTCGACCCCACCATGCATGGTGGCAACTTGCAACAACTCCACTGGCAAGTGCGAATACTCGCCAATCAACATTGACGACGGCAACAACTGTACCGTGGACCACTGCAATGCCACCACTGGCGTCATCACCCACACCCCAATGCAATGCCAGGGCTGCCAGACATGCAACCAAGCCCTGGGTCAATGCCAGGACACCCTCGCTCTCTGCAACAATGGTAATGGCTGCAACAATGTCATGTGCAGCAACGGATCGTGTATCTACACGCCAGTCTCCTGTGACGACAAGGACCCATGTACCGAGGACAGCTGCGACATGCTCACTGGCTGTGCCCACACCAACATCACTTGTCCAGAGCTCAACCTCTGCCAGGTGCCCCAGTGCGTCACCGGCGTCGGCTGTGCCTACACCAACCGCACCTGCCAGTCGGACAACTACTGCAATGACACCATGTGTGACCCACGCTTTGGTTGTGTCCAGTTCGCGCGCACCTGTGTGCCAAGCAACCCCGACTGCCAGTACGGCGTGTGCAACCCCGAGTCCCAGAAGTGCGAGTTCCACGACTACTCACCTCTGCCATTCGGCTGTAACAAGGCTGCCATCATCTCGACCGGTGTCATTGCCGGTGTTGTCGTGGCTGCTGCCGTGGCGCTGGCCATCATGATCTTTGGAGGCAAGAAGGGATATGACTACTGGAAGCAATCGACCAACAACAAGATCAGTGGCATGAGCTCCAACCCACTGTACAACGAGAAGCCAGGCAATGGCTCCAACCCCCTCTATGAGGAGGCCAACTAAAGTGTAGTTGTTGTTGTTATTATTATTATTATACCTTCCTCCTCTCCTTCCTCCTCACAATCAGCACTATCTTCTCACTCTTTATAATAATATTGACCTGTACACCTCAATGGTTAACCTATTGTTATCACTATCCAGATGGAACAAGATGCCTTCAAGAGTCGGGGTGAGGGCAAGGGTAGGGTTAGGGTAAGGGCAAGGGCCAAACTTAAATGTTCACTTTGGCAGCTCAACTAAGTCAGTGTGATGTTTGTTCATTCTTGTGTTTGAATTAGAAATAAAGATAGAGATAAAGAGATGGATGCCTGTAAAGGTATTACCATGAAGAAGAATGGTAATGATAAAGATGATACACTCAGATGTATTATTCATAATAAGAAGCAAAGGATTATTTGTTATGACTGCAATGTGGTACTATGTCAAGTGTGTCTCACTAACACTGAACATATTAAGCACAAGGTTGAGCATGTCCATAACATCAAGACACAGCTCACAAGTGACAACAAGAGAATAAAGAGGTTCGAAACTCGGCTCGACACACTCTGGGACACATTGCAACAATTGGCATGGTCATACGACACCTGTCAGATCTCACAACGACGTGTCGCCAATCAGTTCAGAGAGTTGCATGAATATCTCATGATGAAGGAGCAGAAGATAAAGAAGGTACTGGATGATGAGCTTGACAAGACGACAACATCACTCAACAACATCATCAATGAGATTGCCAACCTCACTGCACTCGCTACCCACAACAACAATGTGAACGATATCAATCACAATGATGATGTTGGCGATGGTGTTGACGTGATGAGTACATTGGTGCGATCGATTCAAACATCAAAGTCAATGGATCAATTCATCGACAAACAGTTCAAGCCATCCGACGATTTAACTTTGGGTGATGATCAACTGTTGCACTTGGTTCAAAGAGGATCACAGGCCACTAAAGATGTTCATACTGTCACCGCAACAACACGTGTATATTTCGATTCACTAATGTTGGAGACAGGCCTCAGTGAGCTCATTGATAAATACACCCTTCATGATAAACCAACAAGGATTGAACATGGCTTCAGGAATCACATCTTCTCACTGTGGAATGACTCGTGTTCGATGCTCGCATTGGACACTGGTGAGTGGACTGTGATCAATGACAAGCTCACACCAAGAGAACGCATATACAGATCGGTTGTGTATGCCCGGGACAACGTATATGTGTTTGGCGGTCAAGGATCACCGAACACATACTCTCGATTCTCACTCATCGATCAGAAGTGGCACAATGATCTCGAGATCATCGGTGTCGATGGTGGTGAAAGCATATCAACATGCTACGATGGTGACAATCTCATTTACTTGGTTGGTGGATTCCACAATGACAAACTATTGGATAGAGTTGATTGTTTCAACATTGACACTCAACAATTCTCAACAGTTGGAAGATTGAATGTGCCAACCAGAGCACCACAATCAATGTTCCGCAACAATAAGATCATAGTCATCGGTGGCTATGTTGATATAGAATATAAAGTCTCACTAACCAACATCTTGTCGTTCAACATTGAAACCAGGAATAGTGTCGTACTCCTCGAGACTGATTTCAATCCAGATGAAATTATCAATACATGCTTTGATGGCATCAATCATTTCCTCATCATGGGCAAGGCATCCACGATCTTGGTAGATCTGACCAACATTAAATCAGTTAAGGAGAATAGTATACGTGCAGGTTTAATACGGCCATTTATTTATACACAATCACATGGATTTGTTGCCCTTTGTGGAGGTGATAAGAATCAAAGATTCTCATTCTTAAAGAACAAATGGATGCAACTTCAAGACAATAATGACCCTGTCAAGGGAAGGGGCTCCTTTGGAACATGTCATATCTATCATTGATCGAAGCCAAAGCCAACTTATTAATACTTCCAATCCATAAATCAAAGTCAAATGTTCTCCCTTTTTCATTCATTCAAGTATAAAGTTATAAGATTGAGATAGAGATAAAGATGGATGTAAATAATGATAAAGATAATAATGTGATGATGATAAAATTAGATATTTGATTCATAACAAGAAACAAAAGGTTATATGCTATGATTGCAATGAGCTCATCTGCACAGTGTGTCTCACCACTCAACATAATAAGCATGATGTTGAACATGTCGACAGCTTGAAGACAGTTCACCAGCAACAAGAGGATAAAGAGGTTCGACACTCGACTTGACACACTATGGGACACATTGCAACAATTGGCATGGTACTACGACCTGTCAGATCTCAAAGAGACGTGTCGCCAATCAGTTCAGAGAGTTGCATGAGTATCTCATGATGAGGGAGCAGAGGATAAAGAAAGTACTGGATGATGAGCTTGACAAAACCACAACATCAATCAACAACATCATCACATTTTCATTCTTTTTGTTCTCTTCCCAGCAAGATAGTTTAGAGATAAAGATGGATGAATGTAACGGTAAAGATAATAATAATAGCAAGAAGAATGATGATGATGATACACTCAGATGTTTGATTCATAACAAGAAACAGAAGGTTATATGCTATGACTGCAATGAGATCGTGTGCACAGTTTGCATGACCACAGAGCATGTTAAGCACGAAGTTGAGCATGTCCACAGCATCAAGACACAGTTCACCAGTGACAAGAGGATAAAGAGGTTCGATGGCCGCCTCGATACACTTTGGGACACATTGCAACAATTGGCATGGTCCTATGACACCATTCAGATCTCACACAGACGTGTCGCCAATCAGTTTAGAGAGCTGCATGAATTCCTTATGATGGAGGAGCGAAGGCTCAAGAAGGACCTCGATGATGAGCTTGACAAGACAACAACATCAATCAACAACATCATCAATGAGATTGCCAACCTAAAAGCACATGCTACCCACATTGACGAAGATTGCGATGGTGTTGACGTGATGAATACATTGGTGCGATCGATTCAAACATCAAGGACATTGGATCAATTCATCGACAAAAAGTTCAAGTCATGCGGTGATGATGTCACGATTGGTGATGATCAACTGTTGGACTTTGTTCGAAGAGCATCACAAGCCACTCTGGCCGTTCAGGTTGTCACCAAACCGATACGTATCGAGTATGATTCACATATGTTGGAGAGAGGTATTGTGGATCTCATTGATAAATACACATTTGATGATGAACCAACCTTGATTGAACATGGCTTCAGGAATCACATCTTCTCACTGTGGAAGGACTCTTGTTCGATGTATTCATTGGACACTGGTGAGTGGACTGTGATCGATGACAAATACACACCAAGAGAGCGCATATTCAGATCGGTTGTATATGCACGAGACAGTGTCTATGTGTTTGGAGGCAAAGGATCACCGAACACATACTCTCGCTTCTCACTCATCGATCAAAAGTGGCACAATGACCTGGAGATCATTGGAGTCGATGGAGGTGAAAGCATATCAACATGTTACAATGGTGACAATCTCATCTACTTGGTCGGTGGATACAACGATGATAAAGTATTGGATCGAATTGATTGTTTCAACATTGACACTCAACAATTCACATCAGTTGGACGATTGAGTGTGCCAACCAGAGGATCATACTCATTCCTCTACATGGATAGGATCATTATCGTTGGTGGCGATGTTGATGTTGAATGTGAAGTCTCGCTCACTGACATCTTGTCATTCAACATCGGCACCAAGGAATGTGACGTCCTCCTCAAGACTGAATTCCATCCAGAGGAATTCATCATTGCTTGCTATGATGGCTTTGATCATGTGTTCATCTTGGGCGATGAGTCCACTCTCTTGGTCAACCTGTCCACCATGAATTCAATTCAAGGTATTGGAATGTACACAATAGGATGGCCATGTATTTATACACAATCACATGGATTTGCTGCACTCAGTGGCACTGGAAAGAATGAGAGATTCTCAGAACTGCAAGACAAATGGATATCACTCGATGACAATGACCCTGTGGAGGATAGGTCCTCCTTTGGAACATGTCATATCTATCATTGATCGATTGATTGATCGGTTTGAACCGTTGAAGTTGACATTTTAATTCATATTGATGGTGGACGACACTGCAGTAATAAATAATTATTCTTGGTCAAACTCCTAACATCACATCATTCATTCTTTTTTGTATCCACCTACAACAAGATAGTTTAGAGATAGAGATAAGATGGATGGATGTGACGATAGCAAGAGGAAGAATGTTGGTGATATTATTGATAATGATGGTGATGATGATGATGATGATACACTCAGATGTATGATTCATAACAAGAAACAGAGGATTATGTGTTATGACTGCAATGAGATCGTGTGCACAGTTTGCATGACCACAGAACATGTTAAGCACGAAGTTGAGCATGTCCACAGCTTGAAGTCACAGTTCACCAGCAACAAGAGGATAAAGAGATTCGACAATCGGCTGGACACACTCTGGGACACGCTGAAAGGATTGGCATGGTCCTATGACACCATTCAGATCTCACACAGACGTGTCGCCAATCAGTTCAGAGAGTTGCATGAGTATCTCATGATGGAGGAGCAAAAGCTCAAGAAGGAACTCGATGATGAGCTTGACAAGACCACAACATCAATCAACAACATCATCAATGAGATTGCCATTATCACTGCACACGTCACCTACAACAATGTGAACGACTCTTATCACAATGTTGAAGATGGCGATGGAGTTGAAATCATGAGTCAGTTAGTTCGATCAATTCAAACATCCAAGTCAATGGATCAATTCATCGACAAGCAGTTCAAGTCATGCGACGATGATGTCACGATTGGTGATGATCAACTGTTGGACATTGTTCGAAGAGCATCACAAGCCACACAGGCTGTTCATGTTGTCACAAAACCAATACGTATCGGTTTGATATACATTTGTTGGAGAGAGGTATCGTGAAGCTCTTTGATACGCACATCTACGAGGACAAACCAACCAGGATTGAACATGGCTTCAGGAATCACATCTTCTCATTCTGGAAGGACTCATGTTCGATGTATTCATTGGACACTGGTGAGTGGACTGTGATCGATGACAAGTGCACACCAAGAGAGCGCATATTCAGATCTGTTGTATATGCACGAGACAGTGTCTATGTGTTTGGAGGCACAGGATCAGCCAACACATACTCTCGCTTCTCACTCATCGATCAAAAGTGGCACAATGACCTTGAGATCATCGGTGTCGATGGTGGTGAAAGCATATCAACATGCTACGATGGTGACAAGCTCATCTACTTGGTCGGTGGATTCCACAATGACAAACTATTGGATCGAATTGATTGCTTCAACATTGACACTCAACAATTCTCATCAGTTGGAAGATTGAATGTGCCAACCAGAGCATCACACTCATTCTTCGACAACAAAATGATCGTTGTCATTGGTGGCAATGTTGATGTCGAGTGTAAAGTTTCACTCACAGACATCTTGTCATTCAACATTGACACCAAGAAATGTTACGTGTTCCTCAAGACTGAATTCCATCCAGATGAAGAACTTACTTCATGTTATGATGACTATGATCATGTGTTCATAATGGGAGATAAATCCTCTATCTTGGTAGACTTGTCCAACAAGAATTCAACTCAAAGAATAAGAATGAACTCATCAGGATTACCATGTGTTTATACACAATCACAAGGAATTGTTGCTCTTGGTGGTAACGGAGAAAATCAAAGATTCTCAGAGATGCAATGCAAATGGATACAACACGAAGACAATGACCCTGTCAAGTCAAGGGCATCCTTTGGAACTTGTCTTATTTATCATTGATCGATCAATTGATCTTACCAATCAAATAAATGATTGTTTATTTACTTTACTCAATTACATTTTTAATGGAGTCTTGGTTTGAACAAAGCAACGCCAGCTTTGAAGGTGAACTGTCTGTTGAAGATGAAGGCCAACAGCTTCCAAATCAATGGGATGAGCACGGCAGCAATGATGATCTTGAGCACATCGCCAACCAGGAATGGGGTGAGACCCAGCTGGATGCACTTGTTCCAGCCGACGTACTTGGCGAGCACGGGCACACCAATCACGTAGATGGCAACCTCGCCCAACAGCATTGCTATCAGAGATGAGCGCCAGCGGAAGGCGTACACTCTGTCGTTGCCGCGCTCGGCCATGAAGCCGACGATGAAGGCCGCCAAGATAAATCCGTAAAGGTAACCAGAGCTGGCACCGTACAGGACCTTGTAGCCACCGGCGTGCTTGGCAAAGAAGGGAGCGCCAGCAAGACCCATGATCATGTAGACGATGATAGCGAGTGGACCCATCTTCCAGCCGAGCAGCGAGCCGATCAAGAAGACGGCCAGAGTCTGGAGTGTGACGGGGACCTTGCGGTCAGTGTCGTGTGGCAGGTAGAAGGAGACTTGGGCAAGGGCAGAGATGAAGAAGGCGGCAAAGATGACGCAACCGACGCGCGCCACCCACTTTTGCCAGGTGGGGAAGGGAGCAATGATGTGCTCGACGAGACAGGAGTATGTAGTTCTGCGGATCTGGACGGTGTCCTTGACCAGTGACTCGGTGACGACGTCGTCGTCGGCCAGCTCGCGACCCTCGTGCAACAAAGTGAAGTCTGAACCGACCTCACCGTCGTACTCGTACTCTGAGGCGATTCTCTGTCTGAGTGCTCCAACTCTCTCGTTGTTCTCTGAATGAACAGAGATCTTTCTACCAGAGAGTGTCTCCACTTCGTAGTCCAATGTGTTGGTCATAACATGTAACTCCATTTTGTTATTGTATTGTGTATGTAAGTGTGATTGATTGATTGGATTGATTGATTGAGTGTATATGTATGTATAACTTTGTCGGTCGTTCAGTCAGTCGAATAAAGAATGAATGAATGTTTGAGAGAGTGTCATAAGGACGACGAGTCGTCTGCAGCAGGCAGCTCTACACATTCAGATTGCGTAGGAGGGACCTCCGATGTTGTTATTGGTCAATCAAAAAATATATTATGAAGTTTATATATTAGGGACCTCTATCGGGTCCCCTTGTTCCCATGGGGTTGGCAATGTCATCCGTTCCAACTCGTGTGTTTCACTCATTCTTGCCTCGTCCAAGGCAAAAACCGAAAGTCTCGCGCCCCAATCCCAAAACAAACAAATATCTCTATCGGGGCACAATGACCAACGTTTTTGCAATCAGATAATAATACACCCTTGGCTCTTATCTTTGCCACTTAATTCATTAATGTTGCCTTTTGGTAATGGCACCAGAGGTCGATAGCGCCGATGTTGATGCGAATCGCTAAAATCAGCAAACAAGTAAGGTATGGTCATGGGCGCGAGAGCTCAAGAGACCTGGCGACGCCCCGACAATCACCCGTAACAAATAAATGAGAAGACGACAAATAGATGATGGTGGACACGATGAATGAGTGAATGAATGAAAGACGACACGACACACATGGCAATTGTTGTTTGCCAGTCAATGGGTTTGGTGATGGTTAGATAATATATATATTTGTACAGGACCGTCTAGTTAATTAATTGGGATAGGTGACGAGAGGCTGGGGATGTGTCTGTATCACCTGATGCTGTTGATGCTGTTGTTGCTGTTGCTGCTGTTCGTGTGATTGATGGCCACTGCCACTGATTGTCTCAACATCATCCTCATCATCATCGTCATCCTCATCATCCTCTTTGTCATCATCCATAGATGCTAAATCTGTTCTACTGTTGTTTAGGTCCTCAGGTTTGCCATTTGTCTTCTTGCCATCCACAGACGACGACATGGCCAGTATCTCCTTCTGCTTCTCATTCTTCATCGACTTGGCCCACGCCAGACCACAAGCATTGCACAGCGTCTTGGCGCCATTTGGTCCACGACGCCACTCTGGTGTGTTAGTGACGCCACACTGGTGGCACGTCAGCTCGGTATCGCCAAATCTTGGCTTTCTCCTTCTGGGTGGCTTCTTGGATGGTATGTTGTTGTACAGGCCGCCCACGGCAGGGCCACCCAACGAAGAGTTGGGCGTCATCTGCCCGCTCAAGATGTGCTTATTCATCATGGCAGCAGCGGCTGGGTTGTAGTATATCGAGTCTGGCAGCATGTGGTTGGGGTAGACCTGGCCCTGAACGCCGGGTGATGCGCCCAGCATCACGGGTGGCATGTGCTGCGGGCTCTGAGCCATCATCTGTGCGTAGAACGGCGCAACCTGCGCCTGGCTGCCAAGGATCGGTGTGTTGGATATCGATGACATGCCGGGTGGCGTTATCTTGCCGCTCTGCACCATCATCGAGTAGGTGTTGGGATCGATTGGGTTGGCAGCCTTCATGATCTCTGACAGGTCAGTCATGATGGCGTGGCACGATGTGATGCCCTCAGTGATCTCGTGGAAGGCGATCGACTGGCCCTTGGTTGCCTTGGTGGTCGTGTGTATCAGCACATTGAGGTACTTGTTGATCTCGCTCCACAATGCTGGGATGTCCATCTCGCGCTTCATCTCTCCATGTTGTTGTTGTTGTTGCTGTTGCTGCTGAAGTTGTTGCTGTTGTTGTAGATGTTGATGCTGTCTCTGTTGCTGCAGGGCTGCTGCTGCTGCTGCCGCTGATGCTGCCGCCGCTGCCGCCTGTTGTTGTTGTTGAGGTTGAATGAATGAGTTGGGATACTGTCCAGCAGTGGCGGGCGTTGTAGAAAAGCCGTAGGCGTTGGTGCCACGGAATGGACTGGATTCGATCTCTGATTGCATGCCTCCGGCACCGTATGCGCCCGCGGCTGAGGGGTAGGCAGGCTGAGCCTGTCTCGGACTGTCCTCCTTCTTGTTGTCCGGCTCGATCTTTGCGCGCTTCTTCTGTGAGTGTGTCGATGTCTTTAGCGTTGGTGATGTCTTCTGCTTGGATGACTTGGTAGTCTTCTCCTTATCTTTTTTGTTTGTGTTTGTGTCTGTTTGGCTTGTTTGTTGTTGTTGCTGTTGTTGTTGTTGTTGTTGTTGGTGTGCTTGCTGTTGTTGTTGTTGGAGAGCATGTTGTTGCTGTGCTTGTTGTTGTTGTTGTTGTTGTAGAGCATGCTGTTGATGAAGCAGCTGTTGCTGGTGATACTGTTGTTGAAGTTGATAATGGTGTTGAGCTTGTATATGTTGTTGTTGCTGCTGTTGATGTTGATGTTGTTGTTGCATTAGATATTGTTGTTGTTGTTGTTGTTGCAGTTGAAGTTGTTGGGCTCTGTGTTTGTGAGTGTGGAAGTTAGTATCCATTATCCATTATCCATTATCCATTAGCCGGGTAACATACATTGTTACCATTCTTCTCAGAGTTTAACTGTTCAGAGTGAGGTGATATTGGAGAGGTGTTGCTGTTACCATCGCTGGCATCGCTGTACTCTGATGATTCAATGTCAGATGATATCTTGGTGGGCGTCATGCGAAGTGGTGACGGCGCCAACATTGTCTGCTGACCAGCGCCGCTAGGCAGAGCAATGTCGATCTTGCGTGGCGAGGGGAGGTCTGGCGAAACACCACTGTTTGTGTTGTTGGCCGCAGCCACCGTTGGCGATGTATCTATGCTTTTCTCACGTGCCTCGCGCTCAGCAATCTTGGCGTCGACGCTTGCGCTGGATGTTGGAGGCTTGAGTGATGAAACACTGCTGGATGGCGCCATCAGGTCTTTAAGATTGGTGGAGGAGAATGACGGCAGGATTGACATGGGAGTGGACACTGATTGCGAGTCGCCATTGGTGCCATCGTTGTCCAGGAAGGAGTGTGCCGAGGGCATGCTGTTCTTGTAGGTGGGCGAGAAGGTCAGGCCACGCCAGATGTCGTCCAGACTGTTGCTATTGGAGTTTGTGATGCGGTTGGGCGTTGCCGTGCGCCAGTTGTCCTCGGACACCAGCAGCAGGTCTTCCAGACTGGACTTGGACTTGACGCGCTCGATGCGATGTGGTGTGTTGGAACGCAGCAGGTTGTTGCTGCTTGGGCCGCCGTTGGACAGCATTGGCAGCGAGCCCTTGAGCAGGTCCTCCAGACTGCCGTGGTCGCCCAGTGTGATTGAGTTTAGTCGCTTGAAGCTGTTTGAGCTGCTGACGCCGATGCGGCTGCCCTGTGTCTGCAGGGGTGGCGACGTGTTACTGTCCTTTATATTGAGCAGGCTCCTCAGACTACTTGAGCTACTGCCACTAATATTACGTGACAATCTACTACTATTATTATTAATGTTGTTACTATTGTTGTTACTGTTGCTGTTGGAAATGCTATTGCTGCTGTTTCCGGAAGTGTTGTCACTGCCACTTGTTGAAGAGTGGGAGTCATCCATCACTGAGATGTCCATCATCCTTGTTGTATATATGTCTATCTCGTGCGCGTTCTTTGCTTTATCTTGCTTGATACAAGTACAATGTATTTGATATGATTGATTGATTGAATGAATGAATGAATGATCAAGGCTGAGATTGAGAGATAGAGATATCTAAGGATCGAGATGTGATATTGATATTAGGTTAAGATTGATTAATTGATTGGTTGATTGACTGGTGTGCGTGGCTAGCTAGCTTGATTGATTGATTGACTGACTGCTATGTTGCTGTTTAGTCCTAATATCCACACGTGTGAAGTTAAACAAATGTTGCTGCTGCTGCTGTTGCTATGCTATGCTATCTGTTGCTGTTGCTATACTGCGCCTGATCAGTGGTGGATGGTGATCAGTGGTGTGTTGTTTGTTGTTGTTATAACAAGTTGTCGTCGTATTAATACAAGGTTGGGAGTTTTGTGAATGAATGAATGGTGAGTGTCGTCGCGACTTGTGTGTGTGTGTGAGTTGGAGTTGGAACCAGAATACACAACTTGATGGTTTGGACTGGATTGGACTGAATGGACTGGACTGACTGTATTAGCAAGCAGTCAGGTTGATTGATTGATTGAGTTGGTTGGTTGGTAGGTAGGTAGGTATGTGTGGTGCGTGTGTAGAGTGTGTAGTGATACAACACAATCAATTTTTTAAAGAAGAAGGAAGTAAGGAAGGAGAGGACACACCCGCGTGTCGGTCACGGTATGTGTGTGAGTGTGTTTGAATGTGAGTGAGTGTGGTAAAGTGAAGTGATGGTGATTGATTGATTGACTCTCTCCCAACCAACACAAACACAACACACTAACTTGCACGACTGACTGACTGAATGAATGACTGACTGACTCAATCCGGTGTTGTTGTCAAACAAACAACTTAATAATACTAGTAATAATATAGTATATAATATATATTATATATTATATTATCTGTATGTGTGTGTGTGTAATATTATGTGTATGCTATCGAGAGAGAGTGTTTGTTTGTTTGTTGTAATATATGTGATGTGTGTGGGGTAGTGATGGATGGGATGGGCATACATGAGCGAGTTCGGTTGAGCATTGGCAGGCAACTCATCGACCTACCAAAGGTTGTATTGAATGAGCTGCTGACTTTGAGAACAAACGATGTTTTTTTTTTCGCTCACTCACCATCAAAAAAACAGTGTTGTGTTGATCAATCACACACTCACCAAAAAACTCCCAACTGTTTAGGTCATGTCCTCTCGACCAACCACCAAACACCAAACCATGTAACTGACTGATCTGAATGAACAACAACAAAACATACTACTTCTACTTATTTGTATGTTAAGTATATATAAATATATTGCAAACTTAAGTTAACTGAAACTGATGTCATGTGAAGTGAAGGGAAGTGAAGTCAAGACAAGTTGAGATAGTGGTAAACTTCTGTTGTTGAATGCCATGTCATATGTGGGGGTATGTATGATGCCAATACTAGAGTGAATGAGATTGATGGACGGATGGATGTGTGGATGGAGATGGAAGGACAGATGATGGTTCTGCAGATACGTCCATCCATGATGATGTTGCGTGCATGTGGGCCACACTCACTCACTCCGGTGAATGTACATATATATCCATAAAAGAATATTGCTAATACTGATTAGACTTACCCTTTAAAGTAGCTTGTGGATCTCGATCTTTAAAAGAGGCATATGTGTTTGTATGTGTCTGTGTTTGGTGGGTGGGTGACTGATGCTGATCCTGTCTTGTTCCAATTCCCYTGTTGTGCCTGTTCCCAATGTCCTTCAACCTGCTGATGTATTAGAGACTATTTTGGTTTTGGCAACATATATATGTATGTATAAAGTTGGTAAAGGATCTATGACTGCTCCAGCTTCTGCAATGTATGGATAGATGTTATAATTATAATGATTGTTCGTTGTTTTCGTCAACAACTTGGTCAATGAATGATTGATAGAGTGAGAGAGATTGTGAGAAGGTCAACAACTAGCAACCGATATCTAGGTCGTTTGATGAATCAAAGATGGTACTGGTTGATGAGGGCCTGGAAGTGAATGGTTCGCAATGTTGGGGTTATTAGTTGTCTTGTTTGCACTCACTCTAAGTGTGAGTGATCATATTGATCAAATCTAGCTATCCACCCCACAAAGGTATCTCCATGCGTACCATCGTCTGGGAGGTCTGTTATTGTCCTCGGAGAGAAAGATTAATCGTTTCGTTCAGATAATTTGAAAAAAATTAAATACAAAATCAAGCATTCAATCAATCTGGAATAATAATATTCATCACCATCGTCACTAAAGAACGACCTTAGTATTGTCATCATTCAACCATTATTATAACAAATAAGGTCCTTCCTTCTCTGTGTCTCTCTTTTCTCTTTCTAGAATAAGAAGACCAACTATTGATTTTTTTTGTAGAGTGATCAGACTATACTATTTGATACTTACTCGTGATCTAGATGGATCTTCCCAGGGTAGTCTACTCATTAATTCATTCATTCATTCATTAATGCTCTAGAGATGTACCGATGGCAAATCTAAGGTCCTATTACTTTGGTCCAGCCATGTTGGCGTGCACTACACGGTCAACTATTGGGGTCCACAAGACTCCAGTCTGCATCAACTTGGGATGTAGATCTCGTAGTTTAGTTTGTCCGACCATCAAACTACGAAATGAAGTAGCTTGGACACGGAAAGTGAGAACACAAAGCCGGGCAATGTAGGGACCGGTTAGTCTTGTATTTGCACCTTACCATCTATCATGATAATTTTGGACCGAAATGACTGGGTACGCAGTGTTCCCTATTTTTAGGACTTGGTTTTTTTGGATCAAAAACTCTTTGGATCGTATGAGAGCTCGTTTCGGATTATTTGTGCTTGTAGTCTGGTGAGACTTTGGATAGGATTTGGCCGAACGTGGTCAATGGTCACTGCTTGGTGATTGACCATCACGACCCATTACGCAATTTTTGACAACCTCTACAACTTGGTTAATGTGATCGTTGTCATTCTGATCTTTGTTGCGTGAGACATAGAACTAGTAGTACTATTCCACTGAATCATTCTTCCTCTAACCTCTTAGTAGTAATCAATCATACATACAAAGACATACCTGCACGAGCAGACAGACAATATTTATTCAGCAACAACCTTTCAAGCTTATCCAACCTTCCAGACTCTTGAATCATTCATTAAATCAATCAATCCATTCACTCACTCCGACTTTGACCCGACCTCATAATCACATCAATGTAAGTTGTTACCTCCATCACAATGATAAACACATTTAAATAGATATCTATCATCGCGTGATTTATCAATCTTGACTGGTGACATGGACTGCAAAGTCTGAGGCGCAAGCCCAAGCACTGTCCATTGGGTTATAAACAGATTACCATCGACATCATCAAAGAAACGAAACCACACTCTTATACATACACACACTAGTCTTTGTGTCTCTGTGATACATGGAGTTGCAACCTTCTTGCAAGTCTATGTGATTCCAATCACAATCAAACCACACTCACAAACACCCTCACACACAACACTACTTTTTGATCTGTTTTGCAAGGTCCCCAACTGAAAGGAGCTCCTCAGGTCCTTTTATTTATTTATTTTTGTGTGTTTTGATCGTTAAATATCACGCTGAAAGATAACCTGTCATCTGACCAAGTTGTAATAGTACTTGTGACCTCTTTTAAACTATATTACACATATATTTATACAAATACAACACAAACATATAAGCGCGCGCGATATTACTTCTTCTTCCTTCTTTTAGATAACAAGTAGGTTTGAATAGATTAGGCCTTCAGGGCTCGCGATCAAAACACTATCAATCCACCAAACAGATACACGACACCCAACCATCACTATTTTTAACTTTCATCTCGAAGTGACAGCGAGGACCTTGATACTACACACATAACTTGTTCAATCGTCTTTGTCAAGTCTCCCCAAACATCTCGATCAATCACACATTGAGTGACACTCATCACAACATTCATAATCAATCAATCTATCAATCTGTCAATCAATCTATAAACTACAACAAACAAAGAGACTAACTTAACTTACTTATTTATTTGTAGCATACATACATACATTGATATCAAACAGATAATAATATTATTACTGCAGTAGCATTAACAATTATAACATTACCTAAACAGTACGACACATATTCGAGTGTAGTCGACACAGTGTAATACTTCGAAAAGGCAGTAACAACAGCGCGACAACTCATCTACAACCCCCAACACAACAACCACAACAACAACCACAACAACTACAGCAACAACATATATACAATTACCATGGTACAGAAGAATGAAAAGGTAGTCGTGGTCGAGGATGATGACGACGAGATAGAGTCGGTCAAGTCACCAATCAGATCGAGCCCTTATCATTTGCTGGGCGCATTCTGTTTCATATTGGCGCTGGTGGCGGCGGTGGTCTGCTGCCTCACCAGCACACTGATCAACACAGACTCGGTCAGGATACGCGGATACATCTTCTTTGCGACATTCATCACATTCATCATACTGCTGTTCTTCTGTCTGTGCTGCACGTACTATCTGGGCGCGTCGAAGGAGGCCTGGGAGACGCCGGCCTTCAACGGCGTGCGCTGGAACTTCACCAACATCGTGGCCATGGCGGGCCTCTTTGTGGAGTTCCTTCAGATCTGCTCGTTCTCGTTCAACGCGACGTTTGGCGCCTTCCTCGGCTCCAACTACTTTGAGGCGTTCAAGTACGTGGCCACACCATACGCACGCGGCCCCTACTTTGAGGTGGCCTACTGGGTGATGTTCGTCATTGCCTTCTCGCCCTACATCTTTGTCATTGCCATCCGTATCCTTATCTACATCTACGGCATCAAGCGCGGCGCCGAGTCTGCCGCAAATGTCGTCGAGCGCTACCAGGACAACATCTACTCGATCCTCTGGTTCCTGGTCAACACACTCTACTTCCCAGTCATCACAATGATGTTGGCAGGCATTGGCTGCACATTCTCCAACGGTGTCGAAGCCACCCTGGACGCCGACTCGTCGATCGTATGTCTGCGCGGCAAGCACATCGCCTTCCTCGTTTGCACGATGATCGCGCTCATCATCTACTACCCGGCCGCCTCGTTCGCTCAGTCGCAGACACAGAACATCTCGGACATCAAGTTCAAGCCCAAGGTCGTGTTTGTCATGTTGCAAGGCAAGGCCATCATGGGAGCCATCTGTGTGGCCTTTGGATATCAAAAGTACTGGGCCTACATCTCAACAGTGGTCGTGATCAACTTCTTCTTCCTGACGCTCAACATCTTCTTCCAGCCATGCCTGCTGACCTGGGTCAACCGAGTGCGCACCGTCTTCTTCTCGCTGTCGTTCTGGGCGTCCATTGTGCTGGCCGTCACCAACATCCGCTTCTTCAACAAGAAGACCGGTCAGCTCGACGAGCAGCTGGCCGTCACACCACTGATCATGCTGCTGGTTGGCTGGATGGTCATCATTATTGTGCTCACAGGAGTCTTCCTGGGCTATCGTCACATCTACCAACAACTGCGCAGCAAACTGAGCGGCAAGGCGACCCCCGAGAAGGAGTCGTCCAAGCGCGCCAACAGCATCGACAACGAGCTGGACGAATTGGACACGATCACCCCGGCCGCCACTGGCGCACCCACGATCACGGTCACGAACGCCCCGCTCTCGTCCTCGCCCAAATCAACAGAGTTATCATCGTCGGACCAGAGCAACAGATCAACGCTGTCCAATCATACACATGATGGTCTGTCCGATGGTCGTTAATACATTTATTATTATTATTATTATATTATACATACAAACATACACATATATACATACATATATATACACACACATACATATAAGATTCAACCATGGCCGATATCCTGTCCAGGTTATTTATTATAATAAACTGTACCTTTACCAAAACAATATTTGTATTACCGCCACACATATATTGACATTAGTGTTGTAAAATGGATATCCCCATAATAATTAAACAATTTATATATTTCCCATCGATCTATTTATAAAATATTGAATCAAGTATTATTAATTTATTACCATCAACTTTGAGTCTATCAATGATTGATTGATTGATTGATTGATTGATTGTTAATGAATGAGATACAGATGGTAGAATTTTATATTATTAGTGACCAAGAACATTCAATCAATTTATCTATCTATCAATTAAATAATTATAACTCCAATTATACTTACTAATAATAATAATATAATAGGTTCAAGAATATGAAGACTAAATTTCTTTTATTTATTAGTTTTATCATTTTTGGTTTAATTATAAATTATATTCTAGCTGATGATATCCCGGAAAGAATTCTAATACCCAGGGTAATCAGAATTTATAATAAATTCCGTATCTCAAGATGAATTCTCGATTTCTCTAGTGAATGTAATTGCGAACATTCTTTGATTATTAATTTGTTACTAATAATAAAGATGGACGGATGTAATATCAGTAAGAAGAGTGATGATGATAATGATGATACAATCAGATGTTTGATACATAATAAGAAACAGAAGGTTATATGCTTTGATTGCAATGAGCTCATCTGCACAGTGTGTCTCACAACTCAACATAATAAGCATGATGTTGAACATATCTACAGCTTGAAGACTCAGTTCACCAGTGACAAGAGGATAAAGAGGTTCGACACTCGACTTGACACACTCTGGGACACATTGCAACAATTGGCATGGTCCTATGACACCATTCAGATGTCAAAGAGACGTGTCGCCAATCAGTTCAGAGAGATGCATGAGTATCTCATGAGGAAGGAGCAATGGCTCAAGAAGGACCTCGACGATGAGCTTGACAAGACCACAACATCAATCAACAACATCATCAATGAGATTGCCAACATCAAAGCACACGCCACCAACAACAAGGTGAACGACATCAATTACAAAGGTGAAGTTGAAGATGGCGATGGTGTTGATGTGATGAATACATTGGTGCGATCGATTCAAACATCAAAGTCAATGGATCAATTTATCAACAAACAGTTCAAGCCGTGCGACGATGGTGTCACGTGCGATGGTGATCAACTGTTGGACTTTGTTCGAAGAGCATCACAAGCCACTCAGGCTATTCACACTGTTTCAAGACCATTACGGACATATTTTAATTCATATATGTTGGAGAACGACTTGGTGGAAATCTTTGATAAATACATCTACGAGAACGCAGCAACAAAGATTGAACATGGCTTCAGGAATCACATCTTCTCACTCTTGAAGGACTCATGTTCGATTCTCTCATTGGATACTGGTGAGTGGACTGTGATCAATGACAAGTGCACACCAAGAGAGCGCATATTCAGATCGGTTGTGTATGCAAGAGGCAATGTCTATGTGTTTGGCGGTCAAGGATCAGCCGACACATACTCTCGATTCTCACTCATCGATCAAAAGTGGCACAATGACCTTGAGATCATCGGTGTCGATGGTGGAGAAAGCATATCAACATGTTACGATGGTGACAAGCTCATCTACTTGGTCGGTGGATTCCACAATGACAAGATGTTGGATCGAATTGATTGTTTCAACATTGACACTCAACAATTCTCATCAGTTGGACGATTGAGTGTGCCCACCAGAGCATCACACTCATTCTTCCGCCTCGGTATGATCGTTATCGTTGGTGGCTATGTTGATGCCGAGTATAAGGTGTCACTCAAAGACATCTTGGAATTCAACTCTGTCACCAAGATATGTCATGTCTCCCTCGAGACTGAATTCCTTCCAAATGAACCCATCCATTCTTGTTATGATGGCCTTGATCATTTGTTCATGATGGGCGATAAGTCCACTCTCTTGGTTGACTTGTCCACTATGGAGTCGCCACAAAGTATGAGAATGAATTCAAAAGGGTGGCCATCTGTTTATACACAATCACATGGTTATGTTGCGCTGGGTGGAGCTGGAGAAAATGAAAGATACTCAGTGTTGCAACATAATTGGATATCACTCGATGACAACGACCCAGTCGAGTCAAGGGCATCATTTGGAACATGTCATATCTATCATTGATCGATCGATCTGACTGATATATAAATGATCATAATAAATAATAAATAATGATGAAGATAAAACAAAATAATGATCAACTTGGTGTCCAAAGTATTTGTAGCTAGTTATAGAGATAGAGGAGTGCGATGGAAGTATGTGGCAATAGTAATATAAAACGGAAGAATGATAATGATGGTGATGGTGATGTTGATGATGATATACTCAGATGTTCGATTCATAACAAGAAACAGAAGGTTATATGCTATGACTGCAATGAGCTCATCTGCACAGTGTGTCTCACCACTCAACATATGAAGCATGAGGTTGAGCATGTCCACAGCTTGAAGACACAGTTCACCAGTGACAACCAGAGGATAAAGAGGTTCAATGCTCGACTCGACACACTCTGGGACACATTGCAACAATTGGCATGGTCATACGACACCATTCAGATGTCAAAGAGACGTGTCGCCAATCAGTTCAGAGAGTTGCATGAACATCTTATGAGGAAGGAGCAGAGGCTCAAGAAGAAACTGGATGATGAGCTTGACGATACCACAACATCAATCAACAACATCATCAATGAGGTTGCCAATATCAATACAAATGTCACCAACAACAATGTGAATGACATCAATCACAATGATGATGAAGATGGCGATGGAGTTGACGTTATGAGTACATTGGTGCGATCGATCAAAACATCCAAGTCAATGGATCAATTCATCGACAAACAGTTCAAGCCATGCGACGATAATGTCACGATTGGTGATGATCAACTGTTGGACTTTGTTCGAAGAGCATCACAAGCCACTCAGGCTGTTCATACTGTCACAAGACCATTACGGATGTATTTTAATTCCTATTTGTTGGAGAGAGATTTCGTGGAACTCTTTGATAAGTACTTCTTCGAGGACCAACCAACAATGATTGAACATGGATTCAGGAATCACATCTTCTCATTCTGGAAGGACTCATGTTCGATGCTCTCATTGGACACTGGTGAGTGGACTGTGATCAATGACAAGTGCACACCAAGAAAGCGCATATCAAGATCGGTTGTCTACGCACGAGGCAATGTCTATGTGTTTGGCGGTCAAGGATCACCCAGCACATACTCTCGCTTCTCACTCATCGATCAAAAGTGGAACAATGACCTCGAGATCATCGGTGTCGATGGTGGTGAAAGCATATCAACATGCTACGATGGTGACAAGCGCATCTATCTGGTCGGTGGATTCCACAATGACAAACTATTGGATCGAGTTGATTGTTTCAACATTGACACTCAACAATTCTCATCAGTTGGACGATTGAGTGTGCCAACCCGAGCATCACACTCATTCATCCACAACAATAGAATCATTGTTGTTGGTGGCCATGTTGATGTCGAGGGTAATGTGTCGCTAACAGATATCTTGGAATACAACATTGCCACCAAGGAATGTGTCGTTTCCCTCGAGATTGATATCAATCCAGATGAAGCCATCGATGCTTGTTATGATGGCGTTGATAATGTAATCATCATGGGCGGCGATGAGTCCACTCTCTTGGTCGACATGTCCAGTATGGAGCCACTAAAAAGTATTGGAATGAATTCAAAAGGATGGCCATCTGTTTATACACAATCACATGGATTTGTTTCGCTCAGTGGCACTGGATACAATTATAGATTCTCAGTGTTACAAGACATATGGATATCACTCGATGACAATGACCCTATCGAGACAAGGGCAGTCTTTGGAATATGTCATATTTATCATTGATTGATTAAATAAATAAAACGAAACACCATCAATTAATCATACAAAATAGTGATGAACAACAACGTATCCCAAGTAGTTTTTATACAGAGGAGAGCAATGGATGAGAGTGGCAAAAGTAATAACATCGATAAAGATAGTATCAAACGGAAGAAGGATGATGGGGATGTTGTTGGTGATGATAATGATACAATCAGATGTTTGATTCATAACATGAAGCCGGAGGTTATGTGTTATGACTGCAATGAACTCATCTGCACAGATTGTCTGACCACTACTCAACATATTAAGCATGATGTTGAACATGTCGACAGCTTGAAGACACAGTTCACCAGCAACAAGAGGATAAAGAGGTTCGACACACGACTTGACACACTATGGGATACGCTGCAAGGATTGGCATGGTCATACGACACCATTCAGATCTCACAACGACATGTAGCCAATCAGTTCAGAGAGTTACATGAGTATCTCATGAAGAAAGAGCAATGGCTCAAGAAGGAACTCGATGATGAGCTTGACAAGACCACAACATCAATCAACAACATCATCAATGAGATTGTCAACATTACTGCGCAAGCCACCCACAACAATATGAATGATATCAATCACAATGATGATGAAGATGGTGAAGGTGTTGACATCATGAGTCAGTTGGTGCGATCGATTCAAACATCAAAGACATTGGATCAATTCATCGACAAACAGTTCAAACCATGCGGTGATGATGTCACTATTGGTGATGATCAACTGTTGGACTTTGTTCAAAGAGCATCACAAGCCACTCAGGCTGTTCATGTTGTCACCAAACCATTACGATTCGAGTTTGATTCACATATGTTGGAGAGAGACATCAAGGTACTCTTTGGTAAATACATCTACGAGAGCACACCAACCAGGATTGAACATGGCTTCAGGAATCACATCTTCTCATTTGGAAGGACTCATGTTCGATTCTCTCATTGGACACTAATGAGTGGACTGTGATCAATGACAAGTGCACACCAAGAGAATGCATATTCAGATCGGTTGTATATGCACGAGACAGTGTCTATGTGTTTGGAGGTCAAGGATCACCCAACACATACTCTCGCTTCTCACTCATCGATCAAAAGTGGCACAATGACATTGAGATCATCGGTGTCGAAGGAGGTGAAAGCATATCAACATGTTACGATGGTGGCAAGTTCATCTATCTTGTCGGTGGATTCCACAATGACAAAATGTTGCATCGAATTGATTGTTTCAACATTGACACTCAACAATTCTCATCAGTTGGACGATTGAGTGTGCCAACCAGAGCATCACACTCATTCATCCACAACAATAGGATCATTATCGCTGGTGGCTATGTTGATGCCGAGTGTAAGATGTGGCTAACGGACATCTTGTCATTCAACATTGCCACCAAGGAATGTGTGGTCTTCCTCAAGACTGAACTCAATCCAGATAAACTCATTACTTCTTGTTATGATGGCACTGAGCATATGTTCATCATGGGCTATGGGTCCACTCTCTTGGTCAACTTGTCAAACGTAAATTCAGTACAAAGTATTGGGATAAATTCAAATGGATGGTCATCTGTTTATACCCAATCACATGGATTTGTTGTGCTCTGTGGCACTGGAAAAAATACAAGATACTCTCAGTTGCAATATAAATGGATATCACTCGATGACAATGACCCTGTCAAGTCAAGGGCAGGATTTGGAATATGTCATATTTATCATTAATCGATTGTGCGATCTGAGTGATTATTTGATCAAATAAATAGTGATCAACCTCGGTGTCCAAAGTAATTGTAGCTAGTTTGGTAAAGAGATAGAAGAGAGAGATGGATGTATGTGGCAATAGTAATAATGATGATGTTGTTGATGATGATTCACTCAGATGTTTGATTCATAACAAGAAACAGAGGATTATGTGTTATGATTGCAATGAGCTCATCTGCACATTGTGTCTCACCGCTGATCATATTACACATGACGTTGAGCATGTCGACAGCTTAAAGACACAGCTCACAAGTGACAAGAGGATAAAGAGGTTTGACACTCGACTCGATACACTCTGGGACACATTGCAACAATTGGCATGGTCCTATGACACCATTCAGATCTCACACAGACGAGTTGCCAATCAGTTCAGAGAGTTGCATGAGTATCTCATGAGGAAGGAGCAATGGCTCAAGAAGGACCTCGATGATGAGCTTGACAAGACAGCAACATCAATCAACAACATCATCAATGAGATTGCCAACATTAAAGCACACGCCACCAACAACAAGGTGAACGACATCAATCACAATGATGAAGATGGCGATGGAGTTGACATGAAGAGTACATTGGTGCGATCGATTCAAACATCAAAGTCAATGGATCAATTCATCGACAAGCAGTTCAAGTCATGCGACGATGATGTCACGATTGGTGATGATCAATTGTTGGACTTTGTTCGAAGAGCATCACAGGCAATTCAGGCTGTTCACACTGTCTCCAAACCAATACGATTCGAGTTTGATTCACATATGTTGGAGAGAGGTATCGTGGAGCTCTTTGATAAGTACATCTTCGAGGACCAACCAACAAGGATTGAACATGGATTCAGGAATCACATCTTCTCACTGAGGAGTGACTCATGTTCGATGCTCTCATTGGACACTGGTGAGTGGACTATGATCAATGTCAAATACACAGAAAGAGAGCGCATATTCAGATCGGTTGTATATGCACGAGACAGTGTCTATGTGTTTGGAGGTCAAGGATCACCCAACACATACTCTCGCTTCTCACTCATCGATCAAAAGTGGCACAATGACCTGAAGATCATCGGTGTCGAAGGAGGCGAAAGCATATCAACATGTTACGATGGTGACAATCTCATCTACTTGGTCGGTGGATTCCACAATGGAAAAGTGTTGAATCGAGTTGATTGTTTCAACATTGACACTCAACAATTCTCGTCAGTTGGACGATTGAGTGTGCGAACCAAAGAATCACTCTCATTCATCGTCAGGAATAGGATCGTTATCGTTGGTGGAAATGTTGATGCCAGGTGTACGATGTCACTCACAGACACCATGGAATTCAATATTGACACCAAGAAATGTCACGTCATCCTCAAGACTGAATTCGATCCGTATGTTTACATCCATGCTTGTTATGATGGCTTTGGTTGTGTATTCATGATGGGTGATGAGTCCACTCTCTTGGTCAACTTGTCCATTAACAATTCAACTCAAAGTATTGGTATGCACACATTAGTATTACCATGTGTTTATACACAATCACATGGATTTGTTGCACTCAGTGGCACTGGAAAGAATGAAAGATTCTCAGAGCTGCTAGGCAAATGGATAACAATCGATGACAAGGACCCTGTTGAGTCAAGGTCATTCTTTGGAACATGTCATATCTATCATTGACTTGATCAACTTAAATAAAATAAAATAGTGATCGACTTGGTGTCCAAAGAACACAACACTTTTGTTGTAGCTAGCTAGTTGTAGACTGATGGATGTATGTGACAACAGTAATATCAAACGAAAGAAGGATGATAATGATGATGATGCACTCATATGTTTGATTCATAACAAGAAACAGAGGATTATATGTTATGACTGCAATGAGCTCATCTGCACAGTGTGTCTCACTATTCAACATAAAAAGCATGATGTTGAGCATGTCGACAGCTTGAAGACACAGTTCACCAGCAACAAGAGGATAAAGAGATTCGACACCCGACTCGACACACTCTGGGACACCCCCTGCAACAATTGGCATGGTCCTATATGACACAATTCAGATGTCAAAGAAACGTGTCGCCAATCAGTTCAGAGAGTTGCATGAACATCTCATGAGGAAGGAACAATGGCTCAAGAAGATACTCGATGATGAGCTTGACAAGACCACAACATCAATCAACAACATCATCAATGAGATTGTCAACATCAATTCGCACTCTACCCGCAACAACAATGTGAACGACATCAATCACCATGATGAAGATGGCGATGGAGTTGAAATGATGAGCACATTGGTTCAATCGATTCAAACATCCAAGTCAATGGATCAATTCATCGACAAACAGTTCAAGCTAAGCGATGATGATGTCACGATTGGTGATGATCAACTGTTGGACTTTGTTCAAAGAGCATCACAAGCCACTCAGGCTGTTCACACTGTCTCCAAACCAATACAATTCGAGTTTGATTCACATATGTTGGAGAGAGGTATCGTGGAGCTCTTTGATAAATACATCTACGAGAGCACACCAACAAGGATTGAACATGGCTTCAGGAATCACATCTTCTCACTGTGGAAGGACTCATGTTCGATTCTCTCAATGGACACTAATGAGTGGACTGTGATCAATGACAAGTGCACACCAAGAGAATGCATATTCAGATCGGTTGTGTATGCACAAGACAACGTCTATGTGTTTGGCGGCAAAGGATCACCCAACACATACTCTCGCTTCTCACTCATCGATCAAAAGTGGCACAATGACCTTGAGATCATCGGTGTCGATGGTGGTGAATGCATATCAACATGTTACGATGGTGACAATCTCATCTATCTGGTCGGTGGATTCCACAATGGCAAACTATTTGATCGAGTTGATTGTTTCAACATTGACACTCAACAATTCTCATCAGTTGGACGATTGAGTGTGCCCACCATTGATTCACTCTCATTCGTCCACATCTATAGGATCATTATCGTTGGTGGCTATGTTGATACTGAGTATAAAGTGTCACTCACAGACATCTTGGAATTCAGCATTGACACCAAGGAATGTGACCTAGTGCTCGGGACTGAACTCCTTCCAAATGAACCCATCCATTGTTGTTATGATGGCTATGATCATTTGTTCATGATGGGCGATGAGTCCACACTCTTGGTCAACCTGTCTATTATGGAGTCAATACAAAGTATGAGAATGAATTCAAATGGATGGCCATCTGTTTACACACAATCACATATTTATGTTTCATTCGGTGGAGCTGGATGCAATGATAGATACTCAGTGTTGCAAGACCAATGGATATCACTCGATGACAATGACCATGTCGAGTCAAGGGAATGCTTTGGAAAATGTCATATCTATAATTGATTTAATAAAAAGAAATTATTATCCATTAATCAAACAAATTATGGTGATGAGTTTGTAGTCCAAATTTAGTAGTAGAGTTAGAGAGAGATAGAGTATAGTGATGGATGAATGTGGCGACAGTAATATCAAACGGAAGAAGAGTGATAATGATGATGAAGATGATATACTCATATGCTTGATTCATAACAAGAAGAAAAGGATAATGTGTTATGATTGCAATGAGATCGTGTGCGCAGTGTGTCTGACCACAACTCAACACATTATGCATGATGTTCAGGATATCTACAGCTTGAAGACACAGTTCACCAGAGACAAGAGGATAAAGAAATTCGACACTCGCCTCGGCACACTATGGGACTCGCTGCAACAATTGGCATGGTCCTATGACACAATTCAGATGTCAAAGAGACGTGTCGCCAATCAGTTTAGAGAGTTGCATGAACATCTCATGATGAAGGAGCAGAGTCTCAAGAAGCAACTGGATGATGAGCTTGACAAGACCACAACATCAATCAACAACATCATCAATGAGATTGCCAATATCAATGCACACGTCACCTACAATAACAATGTGAACGACTCCAATCACAATGATGATGATGGCGATGGAATTGATGTGATGAGTACATTGGTGCGATCGATTCATACATCAAAGACAATGGATCAATTCATCGACAAGCAGTTCAAGCTAAGCGACGATGATGGCATGTGTGGTGATGATCAACTGTTGGACTTTGTTCGAAGAGCATCACAAGCCACTCAGGCCGATCATACTGTCACCAAACCAATTGGAATCGAGTTTGATTCATATTTGTTGGAGAGAGACTTCAGGGGACTCATTGATAAATACATCATTGAGAAAACACCAATAAGGATTGGACATGGCTTCCGGAATCACATCTTCTCACTGAGGAAGGATTCGTGTTCGATGCTCTCATTGGACACTGGTGAATGGACTGTGATCGATGACAAGTGCACACCAAGATTTGGCATACTCAGATCGGTTGTATATGCACGAGACAGTGTCTATGTGTTTGGAGGTCATGGCTCACCCAACACATACTCTCGATTCTCACTCATCGATCAAAAGTGGCACAATGACCTCGAGATCATCGGTGTCGATGGAGGAAGAAACATATCAACCTGCTTCGATGGTGACAAGCTCATCTATCTTGTCGGTGGATTCCACAATGACATGATGTTGCATCGAATTGATTGTTTCAACATTGACACTCAACAATTCTCATCAGTTGGACGATTGAGTGTGCCAACCAGAGCATCACACTCATTCTTCCGCAACAATATGATCGTTATCGTTGGTGGAAATGTTGATGCCGAGGGTAAGTTGTATCTAACAGACATCTTGTCATTCAACATTGACACCAAGAAATGTCACGTCCTCCTCAAGACTGAATTCCATCGATATGAATACATCACTTCTTGTTATGATGGCATTGATCATGTGTTCATCATGGGCGATAGGTCCACTTTCTTGGTTGACTTGTCCAAGAATTCAATCCATAGTATTAGAATGCACTCATCAGGATGGCCATGTATTTATACACAATCACATGGATTTATTGTTCTTTGTGGAGGTGCAAACAATCAAAGATTCTCAGTGTTGCAAAGCAGATGGATATCACTCGATGACAACGACCCAGTGGCGGATAGGTCATCATTTGGAGCATGTCATATTTATCATTGATCTGACAAGTTAAATAAGAATAATTTAATTGACTCAAATGATTGATTGATGAAACAAAATAGTGATTAACTGAGGTATAAAGTGGTTGCAGTGTTCGAGAGATAGAGAATAGAGATGGATGAATGTAGCAATAGTAATATCAAACGGAAGAAGGATGATAATGATGATGGTGAGGACACTCAGATGTTTGATTCATAACAAGAAACAGAAGGTTATATGCTATGATTGCAATGAGCTCATCTGCACAGTGTGTCTCACCACTCAACATAATAAGCATGATGTTGTACATATCCACAGCTTGAAGACACAGTTCACCAGTGACAAGGGGATAAAGAGGTTCGACACTATGGGAGACATTGCAACAATTGGCATGGTCATACGACATCATTCAGATCTCAAAAAGACGTCTCGCCAATCAGTTCAGAGAGTTGCATGAGTATCTCATGAGGGAGGAGCAGAGTCACAAGAAGATACTCGATGATGAGCTTGACAAGACGACAACATCAATCAACAACATCATCAACGAGATTGCCAACATCAATGCACACACTACCCAAAACAACTCTGTGAACGACATCAATCACAATGATGATGAAGATGGTGAAGGTGTTGACATCATGAGTCAGTTGGTGCGATCGATTCAAACATCAAAGACAATGGATCAATTCATCGACAAACAGTTCAAGACATGCGATGATGATGTCACGATTGGTGATGATCAACTGTTGGACTTTGTTCGAAGAGGATCACAAGCCACTCAGACTGTTCACACTGTCACTGAACCAATACGAATCGAGTTTGATTCATATTTGTTGGAAAGAGACTTCAGGGAACTCATTAATTACGAGGACACACCAACAAGGATTGAACATGGCTTCAGGAATCACATTTTCTCACTCTCGGATGACTCATGTTCGATGCTCTCATTGGACACTAATGAGTGGACTGTGATCGATGACAAGTGCACACCAAGAGAATACATATTCAGATCGGTTGTATATGCACGAGACAGTGTCTATGTGTTTGGAGGCAAAGGATCACCCAGCACATACTCTCGCTTCTCACTCATCGATCAAAAGTGGCACAATGACATTGAGATCATCGGTGTCGATGGTGGTGAAAGCATATCAACATGTTACGATGGTGACAATCTCATCTATCTTGTCGGTGGATTCCACAATGACAAGATGTTGCATCGAATTGATTGTTTCAACATTGACACTCAACAATTCTCATCAGTTGGACGAATGAGTGTGCCAACCAGAGCATCACACTCATTCTTCCGCATCAATAGGATCGTCATCGTTGGTGGCTATGTTGATGCCGAGTATAAGGTGTCACTCACGGACATCTTGAAATTCAACATTGACACCAAGGAATGTGACGTCTTCCTCAAGACTGAATTCCATCCAGATGAATACATCACTTCTTGTTATGACGACATTGATCATGTGTTCATCATGGGCGATAAGTCCACTCTCTTGGTCAACTTGTCCATCAAGAACTCAACTCAAAGTATTGAAATGCACACATCAGGATGTCCTTGTTTATATACACAATCACATGGATTTGTTACGCTCGGTGGCACAGGAGACAATGAAAGATTCTCATTGTTGCACAACAAATGGATATCTCTCGATGACAACGACCCTGTGGAGGATAGGTCATCGTTTGGTACATGTCATATTCATCATTGATCATAATCAATAATTAAAGGTACTCTAATAATAATAATTAATCAATGGAGAATCTAACTTTAATGGTCTTTTGATTCGTTGTTCGGTACACCAAAGTTGTTATTGTCAATATTGTGCATCTTGATTGATGGAAGACGTTCCCTTCCACCATTAAGTTCATTGCCATTATTGTTAAGAATCCCTTTGTTTGAGTCGCTTCCACTTCCACTTCCACTACTACTTCCAGTTGTACTACTACCACTACTTATAGATGAAGTTAAATATCCATAGAATCTGGATGATTTGAGCATCTTGATGTTGTTGTACTCGAGGCCATAGGCCAAGAAACCTAATAGGCCACCATCAGTAGTGGCTATGGTGACAAGTATACGTAGAATAAAGTCTGGCAAGTCCAACTCGCAGTTCTCTTCTCCATTGATCGCCAAACATCTTACCCAACTCTGCAACGTATTGTTATAAACATTATTCTTTGCAATCGATACAAAGTTGAATGATACCACAAATACAAAGTTGAACAATACTGTTATCATGATGATTACGTGCTTGACCTAAAGTGATTGAGTTAGTGATCGAGTGAATGGTGGACAAATGAATGTCTCATACATTATAGTACAACATGGATTTTGATTCGACAATCTTGTACATCTAGATGAATGAATGGATGATTGAATGATTGATGGAAAGTGAATGAGTGAGTTGGAGTGTTCCATTTAAGTGTGGAATTGTTCCAAACATACAGAGTAAACCTTGAAGACTGAGTAGACAGTCGAGTAAATAATGAATATCAAACATATCCAAGATGGAACTATAGTGATGAAGTTGGGTTGATGTTAGTATGATCATGTGATTGATTGAATGAATCAATGAAACACTTACTATGGAAACAAACAAGTTGCCAATAAAAGCTACGGTGGAGCCAGCATCCAATGGTCTTGGGATTGGTTAGCATTTGGTTGCCAGCAAGAGGGATAGCACATAGTAGTACCAGTGCACCCCAAATAAGTATACGATGATACATGAATGGCCATGGTTTCTTTACATTCCTGATCGACATGAAGAAGTCATAACACATGTAGGCCCACCAAAAGATGATCCCCAGTGCACCGAACTGTACCAAAGTGCCATTGATTCCACAAAGTGCGTCCTTCTGTACCATCCATCCCTTGTCTTTGCCACAGTATGTCTCTTGTGATCCAGCCTAAGTATGATTGTTTGTTAGTTTGTGGTGTAGGAACTCTGACTCATTGGTCACTCACCATAATGTATGAGATTGAAAGTGGGATGGAACAGAGAGCAAAGGATATTATGATCTCCATCTTGGGCGTTATCTCTTTCGGTAGTAGACCAAATACTATGATGAGTAGGACTGCTCCAGTCAGACTGAGTGCCACTGATATTGTTTGAACAATGTAGAGGTCATTCATTTTGTAGTCTGGCCACATACTGTGTGGACATGGCAGAGCACATTTGTTCACCATCATGTAGTAGTACTGAGACTTGGACATCTCATCACTGACATATATCAAAGGGTCTGGACATAGACTCGTTGCATAGTCAACAGATGTACATTGAACTTGTAGAATATCCTTTGTTGATGTTATATTATATGATGTCGATGATGTTGGATATAGGTCTTGGCCATTGTCGTCAATGGCCAGACAATCGGATTCAGTATTCTTTGTCGTGCAAGCTGAGTTGGACAAGTCGCAAACAGGTCGACAAGGTCTGGATGGCAATGCAATCGTTTGATTATTTGAAAGTCGATATGTCTTGCATAGTTGGTAGTTCTGATCATGTTTGTTAAGGGTGGGGTTGGGTGAGTTAGTGAATGGAATGGTTCCAGGGTGTAGAGCAGATTTAGTTATCTCCTTACCTGAGTGCAAATCAGAACCTTGGAGTATAAGGTACAGTTGGATGATGAGTGTGAGGTGTTTAGTTGGGCAAGTTGAGTTGCAACTCTGCTGTTCAACTGTTCGATACTGTCTGTGCTGTTTAGATATATGGAGGCATAGTTTGACAGTACTCCAATACATGGTGATGTGATATCAATTGGTAAGCAAGATCCATTCAAGTCTACCAATGTAGTTGATGCACTACATGTTACACCTAAAGATTGTATAACAATCAACACCCATAAAAGGGAGTATTTGATCACTCCTGTATAAGTAAACATAAATAAATATATATAAATAAATATGTCATTGAATGTAAGGTAAGATGTTATGTTCTCTCTTCATACTCTTGGAATGTGATGGATGGAATGAGTCTGAATCGGTGACACTGATTGCCCTTCACAAGATGGTTATGATGTGGTGTGTGGGATGCGTTGCCCCATCAGTGAAACGACACGCCTCCCTCCACAACACACGAGTTCCCGTTCACCAAAAATTGAGATCGTCAATAGCAAAATATTAGAGGGAATTCAATCCATTCAGAGTCTTTGTTCAATCATTAAGTAAATTCTATCAGTAACAATTGATCAAGTTGATGATTGATCAGAACTTTGGGTTTGTTCATGGACTGTCAACTTCGTCCACGCCATTAGTCTCGCCCATGGTCTCGCCTTCGCCTTCGCCCTCGCCCTCGCAGTTGTTGATGTTACTTGGTACTCCAAAGTTGTTGTTAATGATGGTCATCTTGGTGGCTGGGATCCATCTATTGCCAATGCCACTGCCACTTCCGCTGCTGCCACTACCACCACTTCCGCTGCCAGTGCCAGTGCCAGTGCCTTTGCTGCCTGAACCAGTGCCAGAGCCACTACCAGTGCTGCCACTGAAACTTCCACTTCCTTTGGAATTCTTTGCTAGGTATAAATATAATTTGGAGTCCTTGATCACTGTTATGTTGTTCCTATCGATTGCGAATGCCAATGATCCTATTATACCAATGTTGGCAATGGCGATTGCAACCATGATGCGAACGACAAAGTCTGGCATTTCCATTGGACATTTATCCAATCCATTGATTGCCAAACATCTTATCCAACTATTCATAACATTTGTGAATGTAGATATATTGATAAATGCAACCAATACATATAACTCTACAAATATAAAGTTAAATAATAGTACTGCCATAAACATTACTTGTTTGACCTAAAATATTAATTAATTAATATTGGTTAATAATAAATCCAAATAATCCAAACAATTAAATAATTGATCAACATACATTATAATACAACATCTTCTTTGATCTGACAATTTGGTATATCTATATGATTGTGTGAGGGCAAGGGCAAGGGTTAGGGCAAGGGTGAGGGTAAGGGTTTGGATGTTGATTGATGACTTACAGAATATACTTTGTATATTGAATATGTTGTTGTGTAGAAAATTACAACGACACAGATAGTTGCAGGTACTATATGATCAAAACGATTGAATATTAGTAAGAATGTGTGACTGGGATAGTTCCAGATTGAAAGTGGACTTACAATGGAAAGCAATGATTTGCCAAATATAACTTTTGTCTATCCAACATCCTGTTCCTTTTGGTGATGATATGTATTGATTGCCAGCCAGTGGTATGCATGTACATAGTACGTCAATGGACCACATGAATATACGATGATATTTGAATGGCCATCTTCTCTTTCCATTCTTGATCGATATATAAAAGTCATAACACATGTATGCCCACCATAATATCATACCAAGTGATCCAAACTGGAAGAATGCACCATCAACACCGCACATAGCATCCCTCTGTACCATCCATCCTTTATCGCTGGTACATGTCATCTCTTGATATGGTGCCTAAGTTGATGTTTGATTGATTGATTGATGTAAGTGAGTGGCCGAGCGAGATGAGTTGGACAAACAACATACCAATAAATATGATATCCTGCAAATGGTGGAACAAAGGATGAAGGAGAAGATGATCTCCATTCTGATGGTCATCTCACGGGCCAGGATGCCAAATAGTATGAGTAGTAGGATGTTGAGTACCAGGTTGAAAGAGTTGGTAGCAACTTGAATGTTTAACAATATGTTCATCTTTTGTTGTGGCCAGAGGAAGTATGGACATGGCAATGCACACTTATCAACGACCATATAATAGTAGTGTTTGGTCGTTCTGGACATCTCATCAGTGATATATATCAAAGGATCTGGACATAATCCATATTGATATTGATACATATTGCATCCAACTGTTATACTATCATTAGTTGTTGTTATATAATATGTTGTTGAGTTGATTGGATATTGTTCGGTATTGTTCAAACAATCAATCACTGCTACATTGGTCTGATCACATGATGAGTTTGCATTTTGGCAAACTTGTCCACAAGGTCTTGATGGTAGTGCCACTGTCTGATTATTGGACAACCTATATATATTACATTGTTGGAGAATCTTATACATGTAATATTAGTATTTCATTCATTCGTTCACCTCTGATTGATCATGACTTACTTGGGTACATATCAACACTTTTGAATATATTGTACAGTTTGTTGTTGATTCTGATGATAATGAGGAGGAGGAGGAGGATGGTTGTTCGGATGTTTGTTGTTCAAGTTGTGATAGTTGTTGTGATACTCTTATGTTCAAAGTATCCATACTCTCAGTCTCATTGATGTATACTGAGTATCCAGATCCAAGTACATCAAAACATTGTGATGACTTATCCAATATTTGACATGAGCCACCAACTCCAACTACTATCTCTGCAGCCACTGTTCCATCCGCGACTATAATGGTTACTACAAGTAACAACAACAACAACAAATTTGAGGTTGTCATAACTTTGATTGAATGTATATGTATAAGTGATTGGGTGAGTGAGTGATCGAATAAATGAAAGAATGAATGAACAGTGCACATGGTTTGTGATGGGAACGATCGATAGATACCATCAAACAATCCATCATTCTTGTCTCCACACCCCTTAAAACTGTTACGAAGAGGTTGAATAGACAACATCACTGATCAGTACGTTGTAAATAAAGGAGGCGAAAGGTCAGTGTTGGGCTAATGTTAGTAAAGGACCTAACTTTTTACTACTTTTGCATAATGGGCGCAGAAGGTCGATCATCGATACCTTTGCAAAAATGACGGGTTTGATCACTCTGTACCTATTCCACGTCATACTTCTAATTACATCATACATATAACCTCAGGTCCATCCTTGCTATCTGTGAGGGTGTGTGATTGGTCCATTTTCCTTGATTGAATGTGTGTCTTTTGATGGATTACCTTGTGATGTGTTGTTGTGATTGGGTGGGTGGGTCACTCATCATCCAAGGAAAGGGTGATGGTGGGCCAAGTTGGATTAAAATAGTCATTTATTCGTTCGTTATAATACTGGTAGTAGTAGTAGTAGGACTGACTTCTTGTGACATCATCTCAATGTCCGTGTTGTTGTTGTTGTCGTAGTCGTTGTAGATGCTCGTTGGTACACCAAAGTTGTTGTCAATGATATTCAATCTTGATGATGAAGGTCTATCACCACGATGATTACTAATAGGACTACCATAACTACTCTTTGGTCTTGATGATACTGGTCTAACTCCACTTCCACTACCACCTCCACTGCCACTGCCGCTACCACTGCCACTGCCACTACCACTTCCATTGCCACCACTGCCACTACCACTGGAAGTTGATGATGTTGATGATAATGGTAGGAACTTTGAAAAGTTGGAAAAGAATGAATATAGTCTTGACTCTTTGATGATTGTGATGTTACTGGCATCTAAACCATATGCAAAGAATCCAACTAATCCATTACTTTGAATTGCAATTGAGATCAGTAGTCTCAGGATAAAGTTTGGCATTTCAAGCTGACAACTATCCTTTCCATTGATTGCCAGACATTTTATCCAATCATCCATTGTAGCTTGGTCTGCGCCCTTAGTTGCAAACGCCACCAATCCATACAACTCTACAAATATAAAGTTGAATAATAGTACCATCATGATCACAACTTGTTTGACCTATTATTGATTGATTGATTAAGTTTGGTGAGTTGGTGAGTGGAAGGAATCATACCATTCATTTTGATAAGTACATACATTATAATACAACATCTTCTTTGACTCTACAATCTTGTATATCTATGTGTTTGATAGTTTGATTGATTGATTGAGTGAGTGAGCGAGTGAGTGAGAGGTTGGAATGATTCCAGTCTCCTACATACTTTGTAGACCTTATAAGTTGAATATATAGTTGCATAGAATATGAAGAATACACATATTGATGATGGCACTGATTGATTGATTAATTGAACATGTGTTAGTGTCAGATTGGGATGGTTCCAAGAATGATTGAATTATTGATTAACTTACAATGGAATGTCAATATTGGCCATATTGCAGTCTTGTCAATGTAGCATCCAATGGTCTTTGGTGATGATATCATTTGGTTGGCCGCCAATGGCAGTGCAATTAATATAAGTGCTGATGACCATATTATAATTCTATAGTATTTGAATGGCCATTGTTTCTTTACACCTTTGATCGATATATAGAAATCATAACACATGTAAGTCCACCAGAATATCATACCAAGTGCTCCAAACAAAAAGAATGCTCCATTAATTCCACATAGCGCATCCTTCTGTACCATCCATCCCTTGTCACCACTACAATACATCTCTTGAGATGGGGACTATACCATCCATGTAATGTTTGTTTGATTGAATGGGTTAGTGATGGGTGAGTGGATTAGTTCCGAGACATCTCCTGGATAACTTACGATGAGGTATGATATTGTTACAAAGATTGATGAAAGGGCAAATGAGAAGATGATCTCCATTTTGATGGTGATTACTCTTGGAAGGAATCCAAAGATTATGAGGAGTAGGACCGAGGGTACGAGATTGAATGAGTTGAGTATTGTTTGAACTCGGTATAATGTTTTTTGATCTTTCCAAAGGAAGTAGGGACATGGCAATGCACATTTATCAACTACCATGTAATAATATGTTGATTTGGACATCTGATCTGTAACATATATCAAAGGATCAGGACATAATCCATCTTGATAACCAAATGAATTACATTGAATTGTAATATTATCATTGGTTGATTGTACATGATAAGTAGTAGAATCCACTGGATATTGATCGTTGGAAGAGCAATCCAAGTAACTTGCAAGACACGCTGAATTCCTATTCTCGCATAACTGTCGACAAGGTCTTGAAGGGAGTGCGATTGATTGATTGTTTGATAATTGATACATTCCACATGGTTGGAAGTTCTAAAGTTTGATTGATCAGTGGTTGTTAGTACCACTGATTGATGATTGATCATAGGTGGATGGAATGAACTGGAATCATACCTGTGTGCATATTAACACTTTGGAGTATAAAGTACAGTTTGGTGATTGTAGGGATGATGATGATGATGATGATGGTGATGGTGGGAGTCCAAGCTGGGCCAGTTGTTGTGATACTCTATCATTAAGTATATCTAGTGTCTCTGAACTGTTGATGTATACTGAGACACCAATTGAGTCTATATCAAAACATGGTGATGTATGATCTATTGTTTGACAAGTGGCACCCATGTCCACGACCATCTCCATTGACTCTGCATCACTGACATTGAGTAATAGACCACCCAAAGTGATCAACAAAACTAACAAGAATACAATCTTGGTCATTGTGTGTATCTCTATATCTATCTACTACTAGTTGATGTTGTTGAACATACTGAAGAGAGGGGAGAAGTGAAGGGTTATCGACCATGAGAAAGAGGACATGACCATCTTCGTGCCCTTCTTCCATTCATCCATTCACCCAACAACCCAACAGGTGATACAGACATCTTTGTGAAGTGAGACTAGTCTTTGTGGTTGTCAACTCAGCCAGCATAAGCTATTTCAGGAATAGGTGCGACCGATGCAAGGGCTGTATTGGGCAAAGATCTTAGGTTAACAACTTTGTGGCTGATGTGTAGCTCACTAAAACACTGATCACCAAGTGTCAGGTTAGACCAAGATCCCAAACAATCGATTCGAACATATATCAAGCACACGCAAAACACATCATCGTTCAATGAAATATCTTTGGCTTGCTCTAACAGATACTGATGAGTGGGAGTTCGGTGCTGACCTGTTTGAGCACACTTGTATGAACTTCAGAAGTTTGAATTTTTTTATTGCTGGCACTGGATGTTTCCCTCAACTTGATCAATCATTGGTATGGTCATTTCATGTTGATGTCTTGTTTTGTGAGTCTTTTCAAGGTGTTGACTTTGTGGAATAGTACAATTGATATAACTATCAATGTTACAGCTACAGCAGAAATTAAAATGAATAATATAATAAATATTGAAACTCTTCCTTGAACATCATCTTCATATTCCTTCTTAGTTAAGTAATCGTTGGAGCTCATTTTAATTCTAAATCAAATAAGATATATATAATCATTAATTAATAATCATTGATTGATTGATTGATTGATTTGTTCGAATGATTACTTACAAAATATTATTATGATTATTATTATAATTATTATTATAACAAGAATGAAATGAGTTTGAGTTGGTCTTGTAGAGTTCTAATGACCAACAAGGTCCTCATAGTCTTGACATATTATTAATAATATTATTATAATAGTTTTAAATACCTCTTCATAAAGGCCACCATGTGATGATGAATGTTTGATTGATTGATTGAAAGTTGGGTTTGATCGTCGCACATTGATTGGAGGAGAGAGTTTTGATTTTGCCCAAAAATGGAATGGGCAGAGGCCTTTAGTTTGAATGAGTGATCAAAAAATGGATATTAGTTTGTTTGTCAGTTTTGCCGAAAAATCCATGTTGTGAAGTGTCTTCCATTCTCCTCGCTCGACGGCAAGGCTAAATCTCGTTCATCATCTCAAGGCCTTGTGGCTCATCTCCTCGGTCCACCACCACACTAGTCTGTGTGTTGTCATTATTGTTGTTGTTGTCATTATTATTTTTGTTGTTGATGTTGAGGTTGGTTGGTACTCCAAAGTTGTTGTCAATGTAGGTCATCCTTACTGATATATGACGGTCTCTCATATTACTTCCAACACTACTATGACTACTTAGTACTCTCGAGTTACTTGATCCTGTTGTACCGCCACTGCCATTGCCACTACCACTACCACTACCACTGCCAGTGCCAGTGCCAGTGCCAGTGCCAGTGCCAGTGCCAGTGCCAGTGCCAGTGCCAGTGCCAGTGCCACCACCAGTACTATTACTTGATATAGTTGATATATTGAAAAATGATGTTGGGAATATATTCTTGATAAAGAATATGTATAACTTTGATTCTTTGATCACTGCAATGTTGTGAATATCTAATCCATATGCTAAGAAACCTAACAAACCATTATTTGTAATGGCAATTGCAACTAATAAACGCAATACAAAGTCTGGCATCGTCGATGAGGCTGTCGAATGATGTTGACTGTTGGAGGTAGTCGTTAAAGAGGTCAATGTAGAGAGACATGTGTATATGATAATAAATGATTGGTGATGATTTATTGGACTGACAGTTTGAAACATCCAAGATTTGTCAGATGATAACCAAAGTCACAGTTGGCTGTCAATATAGGAGCGTATTGACCAAGGATAGAAGCTGCTTCGTTTGTTGATGAACAAAAGTGGGAGCAGCGAGAGTTGTGCATTCGAGATGATATCATTTGAGATGGAATCTCGATTGGTGATGAAGCAGTGAACATAGGTGTCCTGTTTGCGAAGGATTGATCCTGTTGATGCTGTGCAGGCTTTGATGTTGTCGTCGACTTCAGAGAGTGGGAGACCAGCATTGACTGTTGTATGCTTGCCATCGCACAGGAAGTATATCATGTTGCTTGATGTTTGAAAACATTGGAGCCAGTCAAATGGCGCACTGGCAGCATTGCGATAGACATTCTCGGGCACAATGGAATGGTACTTCTTCGGGTATTGATGCTGAAGCTTGGTGAAAGTTGGCGCGGCTGAGGCGGACAGATTGAATGATGTGTTCAGATCAACGATCTTCGTGTGCAGTGCATCACCAAAGTACTCCCAAATGGTGATCGATGTCTTGCCAAGTATCACAAAGGAAGACCTTCGTGCCAAAAGGTACCGACAACAGAATTCCTCCCATGCGTTCGGGTCGTCGGAGATAATGAGGTGCTCAACCATGTGCTTGACAGGGACAAGCAAAGGGTTCGACTCACAGTACTTGCGAAGGAGAATGAGAGGAAGAGTCACTACACGGGAGCCGTCTGGCATTACGAGCGAGCTGATCGTTCCTTTGCTCTCCAGAGACTCGAGTGATTCTTCGGAGACATATTGTGATCTTCGCCAATCATTCTTTGATGTATGGACTGCTGTCAGAGACATGGACACGAGGCTCGCCACTGTATCATTTGGAAGCTTTGACTCCAATCCAGGTGTGGGAATGAATGAAAGCAGTCCGATGAGTGTACTGTCTCGATTGGATGGGTCAAAGTGATAGGCCTCGAGGAACTTGAACAATGGTCGTGCCCATCCTCCAATGAAGGCCAGAACTTTCCTTAGCTTGGCTGCTTGGATGTCCGAGAGATCCGGGTTTGAGAGATACTGTTGAGCGATCCAAAGAGTATCATAGAAGCTGAGGAGACCAATGGGTACCCGCTTGTAAGGGTGCGAAGAGTCGATATGGATGACATCTCTAATGGGTGTGATAATGGTCCCTACCATGGTGACATGGAAAAAGGTGCCCTTGGGGTCAGATGGAATGAGGAGAGGGACGACTGCAAGAATGACCTCCTTCAAGAAGGAACGATTGATTCGGTTTGACTCTTGATCACTCAGTTGAGCAAAGGATTGTTGTTGATGTTGGTTGAAGTAGGTAGTGATCTCTTGTTGGTATCTTTGTTGAAGGATGCTGTCTTTGACGAATAGCAATGAGAACTCGTCGATACCAATGTTGAATAAGATTGTCTTGTTTTGCACCTTATCTTGGAACTGGTCAGATTGGCGCATATAGGACTCGATGATGTTGAAACAGACTGAGGACGTGATGGACGAGAATGAGCCGAAGCCAAATTGACTCTCGAACTGTTGGACAAAGATGTCATATGTTGATTGTGGTTCGAAGAATCGAAACAGTATACGACTGCTGACAGCGTGTACACCTCCATTCATCGCATCCTTGAGTGTGACTCGTGTTCCATTGCCAAAGGTGATATTGATCTGTACAATAAAGTGGTCCTTGAGAGCCCCATGTTGAGAAAGAGCCAGTGATGTTTCCTCGAGCAATCTTGTCTTACCAATGCCAGGAGCACTCGCGATCACAGTCAATGGATGATCCGTACGGTCCTGGCTGGCACGTTTGTTCAAACGACTTGTAACAAGGCCGATGAAATGGTTGATCTCTTGGGTCCTCCCTCGAAATGGAAGATCTTTGTTGGCCATCTGGAGATCTGAATTAGTACTCTTCGTTTGTTCACACAATTGATTCGATAGCTTACCCTTGGGGCAGGATACAGGACATGGGGATGCCTAGTAGCAAACCATTGCAATACTGACGTCACATTAAGTGCTATTGCAATAAGTGAGGCATGTCAGTATCGATCGAACACATCACTCGCTCTCATTTGTACTTACGAGCTGGGGCACCACCTGGTACTGCAGCAGGGGCTTGAGTGTGTATGTTAGTATTGAATGAAGACATTGCGCCGATGTTGTTTGTACTTACGAGCTTGGGCTTGTTGAAGCTTCTCTGCCAAAGGTTGGAGTGGGTTGCCAATGTCAGTCTGATCTATGACATTCTTTGATACATTGAGACCATTGTCTCCTCTGATGGCGGATATCAACACTCCCTTCAACTCATTGCTCAGTGTGTCATTCTTCTTGACGATATCTGCTGCTCTATCTTTGATGTGTTCGTCTGACATCGCTCAACACTGGTTGTATTATTAGAAGTTAGATAATGTATGTACAGTTGTAGTATTTGTTGTTGTTGTTGTTGATGTTGTTGGTCGAATAATAAATGAGTGAGTTGCTCCTTTGAGTGTTAGTGGTGAAGGGTGATCCCCTTGTCCCATTTTGGAGTGATGGAAACAAATAAATAAATAAATAAAATTAAACAATTTATCTCTATCAGATATAACATGTCATTATTCAAAGAGTACTATTGGGACGAGAACTCGGAGTTCAGAGAGCGTCACAAGCATACATCAAACAAAAGGTAAGATGCGAATGCGGCTTCGAAGTCGGTCGCACCAATCTCAATCGGCACAAGCAAGGCTACATCCACAAGCAGTTGATGGCCAACAAATAGGTTCAAAGTGATATAAATTAACATCTCAGTGTTAGTATATAGAATGAGTAGATCAACCAGAGACATTGGTGGCAGATTGAAGAAGACGGGCGTGACCGAGATCAAGATGACCGGCAACTACAGCAGAGCAGACATCGAACGAATCGCGCAGCGAGACAGCAACACGCTCCAACGATACGGCGCCAACGCAAGGATAGAGGTCGTGCTCGACTACGGCAACCATCAGTATCGATCAGGAACATTCACCAAGGTAGGCGAGCCGATAATCATGTTTGATCCTCACGAGTACGACGGCGCGCCCATCCCAGAGCCTGACACATTTAAATCGTTCTACATCTACGTACATGAAGCAAAGGGCAAGGCAGGAGGCTGCGACGGCGAATGGAACAACTGCCTCTATCACTGCCTCCACGATGCCTACCCAGACCAGGTGACTGAGCACTACGGCAAGCCATCACAGCTCAAGAAGGACCTAAAGCTCGATGTCGATCAGATCAAGCGGATCCCAGAACTCGAGGACAGACTCAACATCAGAATCAACGTCAAAGGTGATCACTGCTACGCCTCCACTTCGAGGGCAACCAGAGAGGTCAACCTAATACTAACAAATGGTCATTACAAGCTCGACAAGGAGGGCACCTATGCAGGCAAGGGCATCAGATACACGCGATACAACGAGAGGGACGTTTACATCAAGCCAATCGTCTTCAAGTATCTCAAGGGCGAACAGGTCCAGCTCTACGACTATGGCGAGCACATGACAATCAGCCTGGAGCAGTTCATCAACAAGAAAAGGCGCAAGTACCAAGACAAGTGCGAGTACATCCGTATCCTCTCAGGCATGACCCTCAAAGCTCCGAAGGGTTCGGTCTGTATCCATCGACCTTTGTCAACCCTTGAGTTGGTTCAATAACTGAAGGATGACCATTGTGTTTGGGTCACAATAAGTTGTTGAGAWTCAAGTTGAGTCGAACTTGTACCTTCAACATGACAAGTCATCCTTAACTGGGGTCTGGACCAATTCCATCAAGAGCGCAAAGAACACAATGCAGCAACAGAACTAGTCAAAGTGCAAGCACACTCTGGCATTACTGGCAAGGCAGGAGCATCTATCAACATAGAGGCTACAACACCACCATCACTACCACTACAATTCATTCATCGAGACAACATCATCCCATCAATCGGCAAACACATTGCCAATGAACAATCAGACACTGTTCAACCAATGGAGATCACTCAAGATACAAGGATCACTTATTGGATACTCATACGACAGAGAATCATCWCGTAAAACAACAGCAAGCATGCCAAGGAACCTCAGACGTCTCCAACGAGACATGATCATCGACAATGGACCATGGAGAAGAACACTACATCTCATCAATCATCCAAAGGTCAGCACTCCCTACTGCCTTCACTGTGAGGACCAACTGGACACCGTGGAACACACCATGCTCCACTGCATAGACTCAAGTCAACATCAACTAGCAATTTGTAACATWTACAAGGAAGCAGCGAACAATGCTGGACTCAACAATCCAGCCTGGAGAAACACATCATGGCTATTCGACAGCTTCAAATCACCACCGATCAACAACTTCAAACGCATTTACAATCCCCTTCTAATTATGGTTGGTCTGATCCCAAGGGACTCAGGACAATGCTCACAGAAGGATTCAGCTTATCCAAACAACGAACAAGCTCAACACTCAACGAGATCACCAACAAAACAATGGAATACAACCGGTCAATAATCATCGAGAGAATCAAACACTCAATCGACTGGGAGAAGGAGTTCTCACAGTACTGACGACATCACACTCAACTATATTCAAACAAATCCAGTAGGGAGCAGATCGGGCACCCGCTGGTCATAGATGGGAGAGGAGAGGTGAACACCTGCMGCAGCAGACAAAGACATGGCCCACCAATGAGACTGGATTCACCTGCAACAACAGTCCAGTCTGAATCCATTGAAGACAACCATTCAAACCTTATGMGGTGTAACTTAGGGCAACCTAAGTCATTCCAGGCGTGGATATGAACACAYAAGCTGTACCAAGAACAAGATTCGACGGCACTTATTGTCAGGTCCGTCAGTAAGGAGAGAGAATGGGTTATGGAAGAGAGACTTCACAATCTGCTACTTTTATTAACATTGATCCCAATGGCCGAGTAAAATATGAATAAAAAAAAAAAAAAAAAAAAAAAACAAGTGAACTGTGGAGAGGTTGGGGACTGAAATTTCGAAATTTATACAGGAAAAAACAAAAAATATTAATAATAAATATAACAGATGGCCTTCCCCGAGGTCTACACTTACCCATAAAGAGGGGGCCAACAAGGAGCTAAAAACATCGAGTTTGAATAAGGCCCAACAACTCTTTTTCGCACAAGCAGCAAGCACACTGCACTCTACATTCTGATCAACTAATGAAACAGATATTTGTTGGGAGATCCAATCACGTGATTGGTTGATTATACCATCATTGGCAATGTTGTTGTATTCATTCGCTCGTCATTGTTTGATCTTCGCCGCACTGCGGTGCGAAGGTGATGGGGCGTGTGTGCAGGGATGCCCTGATGGGGTAACTTTCGCGTGGTCCACCCACACAATCAAACGAAACGATCAACCAATCAATGCTGCATGTTCATGTAACATCATCATGGTCATTAACTGTGTGGTTGAGCATGGCTGTTGGTGTTGGACTCTGTTGTTTCGCTGTTGCCTTGTGTAGATTGATCCTCAAGAGCAATCTCGAGACTGCCCGCGCTGTTGCTTGGTGTGTGTACACCAAACTTGTTGTCAACTATGCCATCACTATTGTTGTTGTTGAGCATCTGTTTGTTCGAGTCTGTTGTACTACTGCTACTGCTTGATATAGTCAGAGGTGAGTTTCGAATGGCCGTCGCCAAGAAGATGTAGACAGTCGATCGCCTGATCACCTTGAGGTTGTTAGCCTCGAGGCCATAGGCAAGGAAGCCCAATAATCCATTGTCGGTGATTGCAATGGCGACGAGGAATCGAATGATAAAGTCCGGCATGTCCAGCTCGCAACTGTCCTCACCATCGATCGCCAGACAGTGTACCCAACCATGCAGTGTCTTGTTATATATGTTGTTCTTTCCAATTGATACGAATGTGTACAGGACTACAAATACAAAGTTGAATAGCACTATACACATAATGAGTACCTGTTTCACATTGTAGTACAACACCTTTGTTGACTCTGTGATCTTGTATATCTGTTTGGTTGGAGTTGGAAGTTGAAAGATGATGTTGGTAAATTTTGTTTAAAGTCACGTGACACCTAATATGATCACGTGATCAGATGAATCGATCACGTGACATATCTCCTATTGATATACTTACAGTATAGACCTTATAAATAGAGTATATAGTTGAGTATATAATGAATATTAAGCATATCCATGATGGAACTAATGAGTTGGATACATAGTGTCAGTGATAAATGTACAAAGATGTTGGCGAAGATGATGTCGATGATTGACTTACTATGGAAACAAGCAAGTTGCCATGTTGAACTCTTATGCATCCAACATCCAGTCGATTTGGGTGATGCTATAATCTGGTTGGCAGCCAAGGGGAGTACGCAAAAGAAGATGGCCGCGAACCATATTAGGACACGATGATACACGAATGGCCATGGTTTCTTTACATTCCTGATTGACATGTAGAAATCATAACACATATATGTCCACCAGAATATGATACCCAATGTTCCAAACTGGAAGAATGCACCATTCACTCCACACAATGCATCCTTCTCCACCATCCAACCTTGGTTCTCGCCACAGTATTTATCTTGGGAGTTGGCCTAGAATGAGTGATGAACATAAGCTTAAGTATGATGGGCCTTAAGTATGAGGTTGGATGATTGACTTACCATAAAGTATGAGAGTGAGAGGAAGATTGAGCAGATGGCAAAGGAGAATATGATCTCCATCTTGGCTGTGATCTCCTTGGGAAGGAGTCCAAAGAGTATGATCAGGAGTATGGCCGAGACAAGGCTGAATGAATTGAATACCGTCTGCATGATATAGAGATCATTCATCTTCTTATCTGGCCAGAAACTGTGTGGACATGGCAGGGCACATTTAGTGACAACCATGTAGTAATATGTTGACTTGGACATCTGATCGGTGACAAATATCAATGGTTCGGGACATAGTCCATATTGATAACTATACATAATACATTGTACATCAATATTATCATTGGTTGATGTCACGTGATATGTTGTTGAATTGATTGGATATTGTTCCAGTCCATCATTTTGATCAGTTGCCAGACAATCTACCTTGTTGTTCGATCCACATGCTGAATTTGAGTTATCGCACATTGGTCTACATGGTCTTGATGGTAACGCAATCGATTGATTATTAGATAATCTATATGTGTTACATATTTGGAAGGTCTAAGGAATAGTTCCATTGGGTGGGGTAAGTCACCTGTCGTTTGATTGATCGATTATTGAATATGGAATCATACGTCAATGCATATTAAGACTTTGGCGTATAATGTACAGTTGGATGATTGAATCGATCCCGTGTTGTCTAGTTGCGCAAGTTGTTTGATCACTCTGTCATTCATCGAGTCTAGACTGTCTGTGCTGTTGACGTATACCATGTCATCTAGAGAGAGTACTCCAACACATGGCGACATCGGGTCAATGAGTTGACATGTTCCTCCCAAGTCCAAAGCCATTGAGTTTGGGAACATGGCCACGACCAACATCATTATAATCATAATTGCTGCTGACATGATCGATATCCTTTGGCCTCTCATTTGTGGATCGAGTATATATACAAGTTTAGTAAGTAATGTACTTTTGGAAGAATGACACTGACTAACTAGATCATTGATAGATTGAATGATAGTGATGTAGATGAGGGCACTTCAGCAAAAGTGGCTAAGGAGGTTGGTCAATGCTTTCTTGTGATGTGGAAAGCCTTTTGAAAGCTTGAAGGGTGTAGTGTGTATGCTCCATCCAACTCAACACAACTAGTATCATCTTGGCAAGTCAAAGATAAAGGAGCCCAATAAGTGCCCGATTCCAATCCAAATTCCAAGCTGAAGATTGGTGGTACCATTCGTGTGTATGTGTGTGTGAGTGTCTGATCAATCAAATAAATTAACACCGGTTGGGGTTGTGTGGACCATTCTTTGATCAGGTGTTGAGTGAAGTGTGTTTCACTGATCAATCAATGAACTAAAGTATTGTATTTATTTGTACACATAATCATGAATGAAATGACTTTAGCCGAAGTTATCTTGGCCTTAAAACCTTGTTATGCAAATAGTCAAGTCTTTAGGAATGTACACCTATTCATTATTCATTCGTCCATCTTTTGGTGGACCAGCTGGCTTAACCCATGGTCTGGATCATGTTCCAATTGTAAGTATTGTTGTTGTTGATGTTTATGTGGGCCATCATTTGAACTAAAGGGACCTATTGAAGTCCTAATTCTTCTTAATCAATCAATTGTAAGCCTTGCTGGCACCATGGTTTGTTGTCTCAAATGACATTGAACACCAAGTCTTGTGTATGCCTGCCTGTTTGTTTGTTTGATTCGCTTGAAGATTGATGGTTGTGGTGTGGTGTTAGTGTGTGAGAATGAGGGAGTGGTAGAAGTTGATGACAGTATGACTGATGACTGCCTGCCTGGGTTAGTTTAGTTTGGGGGTGTTGTTGTCTGTTTGTATGAAAAAACAAACCAGTCGACAAGTTCACACGAATGACACGGTCGATCTGTCAACAACTTCCCTCTTCTTTGTTTTATTTGTTTGTGTTGGTCAGCACGAACATGTCGTTCATGTGTTTGTTTATTGTTTGTTTGTTGTTTGAATTGAATGAATGATGAATGCATGGTATTGAGTGAGTGCCAGAGGGGACATCGAGAGTTCAATCTTAACTTTATTATTGTTGTTTATATATTATTATACACTTTGTATATTTATATATACATATATATTAAGATGAAGATATATATAATTATAGTAGTAATATTATTGTTGTTGAATGATGGTGTTGTGGATTCACATGATAATGTTAATAAGCTAATAGATAGAATAGCAAATGAACATTTTAATACTTTAAAGACAGCTATATTGAACAAAGAGTTTGATAGTGCAAAGTATACAGATGTATACACACCGGCCAAAGGTTACAATTGTATCCATGATCACCTGGTCGAACAACATCACACTCATCTCATCAGTAAACATCGACCTCAGACATCTGTACATGCGAACAACTATGAAGAGACACAGGCAGAGGAGACAATGCCCACTCCCCTCAAACTTGGACGACTGAGTGCGTTGGAAGCACCAACACCTCATCCAATACGTATAATGTTCAATACTACATTCTTGGACAATGATCCGTACTCTTGTCGCACAGTTGGCCAGACTGTGGTGGTTGGTAACAGCTCATTCGTACCAGGCACTACAACAGTGACACAACCATGTCCAGCCGGCAATCAGAATCCATCGATCAACTGTGTATACACATGCACACAGGACGATCTGCTGACGGCCGACCTGAACAAGTTCATCGCCAAGACTGTTGTGGCCACCATCGAGTCCGTCATTGAGAATCTGATCATCATGCCCACCACTGCATCCCCCGATGTACTTCAATTGTCCGCCAAATATGCACAGGCTGCCAAAGGCCAATGCATCTACGGTATCAACATTCCTCAATCCTACATCAGTCCAGGCATTTCAAACATAGATACACTCATCTGGGTCACTGTTAGGCCAGTGGCTGTTCCAACTTGTAAGTAACAATCATGATCAATCATCACATTCGTCCACTTACTCACTCGATCAATCACTCCAATCAATCAATCATACATAGCAACTGTTGCATATGCATTGCCTTGTAATTTGAACTATGTTACTCCAAGCACATTCTCAAGACCATTGGCTGGCGTCATCAACTTCAATCCAAGATTCTATAATCAATTGCTCAACTCTGCCAATCCTTTGTCATTCAAGGAGTACGTCATGGTTGGCCTGCACGAGATGATCCATGCACTGGGCTTCACATCCAGTCTGTTTGACTCTTACATTGATCAATCGACCGGCGACACCTACGCAAATGGTGCAGCAATGGCCGTCACTAGAACAGGCCGCACGCCACTGGGCCGCAGCTACTCATACCAAAAGTACGCTGTCACCACTCCCAACGTCGTGTCGTTCGTCCAGAGCCACTACAAGTGTGCCGCGGCCGAATACGCCGAGTTGGAAGACTATGGTGGCTCGGGAACGGCCAACAGTCATTGGGAGAAGAGAACAGCGGGCGAGGAGCTGATGATCGGATTTGTCAACCCTATTGCGCCAGTCTCCAACCTGACTCTGTCTCTCCTGCAGGACACTGGCTGGTACCAAATCAACAAGAGCAACGCCGACACATTCATCTGGGGCAAAAACCTGGGCTGCGACTGGCTGAACCAGTGCAGCATCGACACATGGAACTACCAGGGCTACTTCTGTCTGGGCGACGAGCGTCCGGGCTGCACGCCAACCCGTATGGGCAAGGGCATGTGCAGTGTGCAGACCTACTCCCAGTCGCTGCCCACTCCCTACCAGCACTTCAACGCGAGCAATGAGGGTGGCTTCGATCAGATCTCTGACTTTTGTCCCTACAACATCATCTTTGATAACGTCAACTCCAACTACTACTGTGTCGACCAGGCCAACAGCAAGAAGGGCGACAGCTCAGTGTTTGAGTTCTTTGGCACTGATAGCAGATGCTTCGAGTACACCAAGGGTGGTTCTGACAACATTGCCTGTTGGCAGCAGCGTTGCAAGGGCACCAATGTCGAGGTGAACATTGGTGGACAGTGGGTACTGTGTAGCTCGCCAGGCGCCACCGTCTCAATCAATGGTCTTACCCTGGTCTGTCCCCAAGGATTTGCCGAATGTGGCGGCGCCATGCAGAAGGTACAAGTCGAGCCTTCATCCTCCATCTCAATCCATGCCAACTTCAATCACATGATAGTGGGCACAACCATACTGCTGCTACTTGCAGTCCTTATATAGATGTAGACAATATAACACAAAACAATCAATCAATCAATCAATGTAATATATATATAGAAGTGTCCACTTCCCTAGGATGTGGACCTTTATTAGCTCGACCGACTGACCTTCTTAGAGGTCGCCAATGTAGGGCTAATTTTCTTGACAACGGTGGAGGAGGAGGAGGATGTAGTTGGCGGAGCGGCACGCTTGATGGCGGCCGTGCCAGTGGACTTGCCATTAGCGATCGTTGATGATGATAAGGGTGGTGGCTTTGGACTGTTCTCCTTCTCCTCGCCATCATCCATCGAGGGCTGCACCTTGACACGCTTGATGGTCGACAGAGTTGTAGCCGATTTGAACAAACTCTTTGGTTGGTTAGGAGCGACTGTTGTGGCTGTTGTTGCTGTTGATGTTGCTGTGGCTGATGGGTTATTGTTGCTATTGTTGTTGATACCATTGGGATTGATTACTCTTAGTGGCTTTGACTGTACAGGTTGATTGGTTGATGCTAATAATGATGACGAAGATGACGATGATGATGATGATGAGGTAGTTGTAGTCTTAACCCTGATGGGCTTTAGGAGGACACTGCCGTTGGACAGGCCTGCTGCTCCATTGCCCATGCCAGCATCGGAAGTAGGATTGACAATAGCCTCCATGATCGTGCGACTGCCAGGCTTCATTGCCGATGATGTAGTGGCCAACTTCTTGGACCTTGGCGTCATGACCACCAGGCTGGCTCCATCATCCTGCTCCAACACACGCTTCTTGCTGTTGCTATTGGTAGTTGTCGTGGTTGTAGTAGTGGTAGATGTGGAGGTGGTAGAGCCTCCTGGTGTGACTGGCATTGTCTTTTTGAGTATTGACTTTGGACCCATCTTGTTAGACTCTGTACCCATGCTCTCATGTGGCAACTTGATCGTTGTTGTCTTCTTTGGTTTGGTACTGGGGCTCTGATGCGACTCTTTCCAAAGCTCAGAGCAGACCAAGAACTCATTCACAAACTCCACTGGGATCTCTGCCGCTGGAAGACAACCTTGATTGATTGATTGAGTGATCGAGTGATTGAGTTAGTTTCCATATATGCTATGGAATCATTCCACACCCGCCCACGCACACAGACTTACCATTGATGATCTTCCAGCTTTGTGTTAGACATTGGTAGATGGTCTCGATACTGCCACGATGTTGCTGGTCCAGTAGGGTCAGCTCAGCAAGTCGCTCGTTCTGGTACTTGTTCTGCTTGATGAACTTGTCACTGATGTCCCAGCGGTCAAGCTCGAGTCCAGCAGCTCGTGCTTGCTGTATGAGATAGTTCTGATCCTTTTGTGACTTGACATTGGAGGGCAGCTCCAGTTGTAGCTTCTTACGCCATGTATCCTTGCTGTTGAGATCCATTTCGATCTCGCCCTTTTTGGCCTCGAGCGTCTGCAACTCCTGTCTGTTGCTCTGGTACTCCTCTCGTAGCTCCCTGACCATCTCTGCCTTGGACTCGTCTTCCATGTACGCGTGGATGATTGCTCTACTACGCTCCATGGCGGCTTTGCAGCCCTCTGTCTGATCTTCGTACAAGCTCTGAGCCTTCTTTAGTCTCAGTGTCTCTTGTAGATTGGTGTTGATCTCGTCAACAATGATGTTGAGTTGTCCTGTGTCGCCATCCTCGCTGACTTCATCATCGTCTTTGTCCGCTATAGTACCATTGTTACCTTCAATTGATTGAATGATTGAGTGATTGAGTTAGTGAGTGAGATGATCCAGCCGCGATCAAGTGGGTAATATGGTACTTACTTGCATCAGCCAACCTTTGCTTTAGTCCGCGGACCTCCTCGCGCAGCTCTTTGATGATCTCGGTGTATTGGCTGAGGTGCGTGTTGACATTGAGCACATTCTTCTCGACGCGAGTCTTGATCTCTTTGGCTCGATTGGCGTAGAGTAGTGTGTTGTGCGACTCCTCGTACGAGGTCGAGTTGGGACTGATGTTGGCGATCATCACTGTCTTGCAGTTGCCGCCCAGACTGTCCTTGAGCAGTCGCGTCAACTTGGAGTCACGGTATGGAACGTAGGCTCCGGGACGACCGCACAGCGCGTTGATGCAGTTGCCAAGTGACAGCAACGACTTGTTGATGTTGGCACCCTCGACCAGACGCACGCCGCGGTTCAGGGTGCGTGCGGCGCGCTCGCTGCCCGCCAGATCGATCAGTGACAGCTTGCCGCAGTTGACGCCGCCGCCGTTGGCCAGGCTCTCCTGGTGGCGGATGTACACCTGCAGAATGGCGTGCGAGCGAGACGATTGCTGATTGACCATGGTGGGCGACTGCTTGCGGTTGGCGTTGCCCATCTCGAGCCACTTGAACACCTCGTCGGCCGAGGTCGGGAAGCGCTCGGTAAGGTCGGCCACAACCACCTGGCCCTTGGCGTCCTCGCGCAGTCCCAGCGACTTGCTCTCGGGCACGAACAGGTCGTGGATGGTCTCGTTGTATATCTCCATGTACGACATTGATATCTTGTACTTCTTGGTGCCACTCGCCTGTTTGTCCAATGCTTCAAAAAGGTCGCGCATTGTCAATACCATTACTCCCGGTCCACTTCGCTCATTGCCAATCATCGTATGAGTCTTGCCTGCACCCGTGGCGCCATAAGCAAACACTGTCGCATTGTATCCATTCATGATTGATGTGATCACATCTGTTTGATTGATTGAGAGATGAGTGTGATTGAATGGAATAGTTCCAGTGATCGGTGGAATGAGTGAGTTAGTGATTGAATGATTGAGTGCAGGCCACGACACCTTGGACCAAGCTTACCTCGAGTCGTGTTCTCATAGACCTCTTTCTGTGTGGCGAACTGATCGAACACGCGATCAAAGATGAAGCGTTGCTCGCGATCTGGTCGTCGATTGAGTGCTGATGGTGGCGAGACAGTGTCCAGTGTGATGACATTGTTGTCCATGACACGCACCACTGTCCTGCCACTGTTGCCAGCGATCTCAGCCTCGGTCTCAGGGCGCACCCTGACCGCCACAAAAATGTTGCTCTGATTGCTGCTATTGTTGTTGTTGCTATTCTTGTTGATTGATGTTATGGACATTCTTTGTTGGCAACACACATCCCTTTCCTTATCTTTTATATAAATAGTATGTATGTATGTATTAATATATATGTATGTATATGTATGTATGTCTTGATCAATTACATTTACAACCTTTCATTGTGATTGACCATCAGATGACCGTTGTTTTTGAAATTTGGCGGCAACTTGATCAATCAAAAATGGTGCCCAACCACAAACAACTTTATGAAAGGACAATGTCTATTTGGACATATAAATATATATATATTGCTTTCCAAGACTTTGGACACATGTCCAAGACATTATCACCTTGTTGACTTCAACCATGTCATGCCATGGGATGATTTGATCACCAATGAATAATGAACTCCCTAGTTCATGCCAATATACTTGTCTGGCCCTAAACAAACTCTTGATACCAACTTAACCTATCCTTCATTGGTGGTCGTTCTGGTTATCCAAGTGATACCAGTCCACGTCGGCAACTGTTTTTGATTCTGGTATCATGGTAACGCCTTGATTGGTTGTCACATCGGAATCATATTCACTGTTCTATTACGTTTATACATGTGTTGGGGCTTCATCTAAACATACAATACATGATAAAGATAATACCTAAGTATTGATATGAATGATTGTGGGCAATATGATAAACAACATGATCGGCGGTAGGTTGTTATGCCCCCGTATTGTGTACAACCCTTATCCACCAACATTGGGTATGAAAGATATGATAAATCTAGCGAGGATTGAATGAATCGGTCTACAACTCTCAACAGCAATGTGCATGAATCTTCGTATAAACCCAAGATTCTTTTGAATGAACGAACGGAGCAGGTGAATGCCACCACCGATGCGTTTTGTGGTGAAGCGCAGGCGACTGTCAACATGTCACCATGATGCGCTGTAAAAGGCGAAAGTGACCTCATCTTCATGTCCAGCAGGGTGGGCTTTGCCCCCTCAACCATGTCGTTGGACGGAGGACGATCGTCCATTTGAGTAGTCCACTGACTGTTCCAAAGAAGACCACCATTGGTCTGTAGATTTTTCATTCTGATGAGTGCCAGAAGAGGACCTGTCGGGCCTTCCAAAGCCAGCCCCCAGAGTATGCAAAAAACACAAAAACACTTGTATTGGGGCGTATTGGGACTCTCGGGTCCCGTTTCAATGGAGAAGTAGCACACTCAATGGAGGAAATATCTTTCTACATTACAAAGGATACCACTCTAAAGAGAGAAAGAAGGAGTTAGTGAGTGAGAAAGTGAAAGAGAGGATCACAATAACATCAATTTCGGTACATCGGCACTTGCCATCCAACCTTTGGTTTGTTCAACAACATAATAATTATAATATATTTTATCCTCTACAAGATTAAATTGAATACAGGAGAGTGGAGTTGAATTGAATTGAATTGGACCTTGAACTGTACTGAGGACTGGACTTGACCTTGTCCCTTGACCCTTCCCTATTTCATTTCAATTGCAATTCAATCTCATCCCATCCATCATTCAATCATACATATACAAGGTATATATTATCATTTATTATTATTATTATTTGTGTTTATCAACTTCCTTCAACTATTCCATCACCAAATCGAAACAAATATATAAGGTTGTGATCGTGTGATTGTGTGTGTGATTGATGTTACTACTACACTCATTCACTCATTCACACACAACACTCTAACTTATGTTATACCTCAAATGGATCACCCCGTCCCAATCGGAGTCATTCAATGCTCGAACCCTTCGTTCAGTCACCCTTAACCCCTGACATCCATCCTACTTTAGTCTTGCTTGCTGCGCCAATCAATCAATCACACACACACGTACCCCCACATCTGATCTCTCAATCATTCATTCTCTTTCACACACAACACACTTACAATTTGATTCAATTTATTGCAATTTTAATGTCTTTCACCTTTCAACTCCACTCTTAATTAAACCTTGTTACAGTCTCATTTGTACTTGTCACTTCCTGTCCCATCTATCACATCACGTCAACATACCATCAACATCACATCAACATCAAAAACATCAACCAACTTCAACAACAACTACAACACACAACAAATAATATATTATTACTTATCTATCTGTTTGATAAAACTATTTAGTTAATTAACTAACTAACTAACTAATCTTAACAAACAACTATTAATCATTCATTTGAGTATAGTTTAGCAAAGTAACAGGTTGTTAGACGAAAACCAAACAAATAATGATGAGGAATATATTGCTGATGACCACTCTGATGGTCGTCATCGCAACAGCTGTCAAGATCCAAATTGACACTAATGTCAAGCTCGATCCAACCACCTACCAGATTGGTACCGGTATCTATGATATCACCGGTCCAGCCGCCGAGAGTAAGTCACCCCCCCAACGACAACGACGACGACGACGATGTCTACGCGACAAAGACGACGCAAACTTGAATGATGATGTTTGCAAAGATTGACGAATTTAGTCTAACATGATTACCAACTCTCTTTCAATCAATCTTAGCTGGTATGATGGGTTACGCCATGCCAGGCCAGGTCACTGAGGGACTCCACTTCCGTCTGAGAGCCCGTGCTTTCGTCTTTGTCGATACCAACGGCAACCGTGCCGCTTACGTCAGCACTGACTCATGTATGATCTTCCAGGCTGTCAAGATTAAGGTTGTTCAGATGCTTGAGGAGCACTTTGGCGAGGGCGTCTACAGCCACGAAAACGTGTTGCTGTCTGGCACTCACACCCATTCAGGCCCAGGCGGTTACTCTATGTACGCCCTGTACGGCATCACCACCCTCGGTTTCTACAAGGACCACTTTGAGTCAATCTGCAGCGGCATCACCCAGGCCATCATCAGGGCACACAACAGCGTGCAGCCAGGCAAGATTTTGGCTGAGCAGAGCAAGCTCCAGGACTCCAACATCAACCGTTCGCCAACCGCCTACCTTAACAACCCAGCTGAGGAGCGTGCCTTGTACAACCACGACGTCGACAAGAACATCACCGTGCTCAGAATGGAGGACACCCAGGGCAACCCAATTGCCGCCCTTACCTTCTTCGCCGTTCACTGCACTTCGATGAACAACACCAACCATCTGATCAGTGGTGACAACAAGGGTTACGCCTCATACATCTGGGAGAAGTACGCCAACGGCAACAGCTCCTTGCCAGGTACCGGTCCATTCATCGCCGCTTTCGGCCAGTCCAACGAGGGAGATGTCTCGCCAAACACCAAGGGTGCCTTCTGCCCAGACGGAAGCCCATGTGAGGCCGCCGACTCTACCTGCAACGGAAAGAACGAGGGATGCAAGGGTATTGGACCCGGTAAGGACGGCGACATGTTCGAGTCCACCCAGATCATCGGTACCAACCAGTTTGAGAAGGCTCTCGAGATGTTCAACAACGCTTCCATCCCAATTGGAGGCCCAGTCAACTACCGTCACACCTGGTTGACCATGACCAACATCACCGTCAACCCACCATTCACCCCAACCAGCGAGCCAGCCACCACCTGTCGTGCTGCCATGGGTTACTCGTTCGCCGCCGGTACCACCGATGGTCCAGGTGCCTTTGACTTCACCCAAGGAGATAACAACACCAACGGCAACATCTTCTGGAACTTCATTTCCAAGTTCATTGCTGCCCCAACTGAGGAGCAGAAGAAGTGCCAGGCCCCCAAGCCAATCTTGATCGACGTTGGTCTGACCAAGCCATTGCCATGGACCCCAGACATTATCCCAATCCAGATCATCACCATCGGCCAGATCGTTCTGTGCGCCGTCCCAGGTGAGTTCACCACCATGTCTGGTCGTCGTCTGCGCAACACCATCTACGAGATCATGGCCGCCGGTGGCATGGAGAACCCAATCGTTCTCGTTGCCGGTCTGTCCAACACCTACTCTGGATACATTGCCACCTACGAGGAGTACGAGGTCCAGCGTTACGAGGCTGCCTCCACCATCTTTGGACCACACACCCTCGGTGCCTACCAGCAGGAGTTTGCCAAGCTGGCCACCGCCATCGTCAACAACCAGCAGGTCGAGCCAGGTCCCTTCCCAAGAAACATGACCGGTCACACCTTCTTCTTCTTGCCACCCGTTGTCTTTGACGAAGCCCCCGATGGACACTTTGGAAAGATCTACGAGGACGTCCAGCCCGCTTACACCATCGGCCAGACCGTCGCTGCCACCTTCTACGGTGCCAACCCAAGAAACAACTACATGATTGAGAGCACTTTCCTCACCGTCGACATTGAGACCTCCAGCGGCCAATGGCAGACTGTCCTCGTCGATGGAGACTGGGAGACCAAGTTCAAGTGGAGAATGCACGACACAATCGGCTCGCAGTCGCTCATCACCATCGAGTGGACCATCGAGTCATGGGCACAGCCAGGCACCTACAGACTCACTCACCAAGGTTATGCCAAGCCATCGATGTTCTCTGACAAGCTCGAGCCATACTCTGGTACCTCGAGCAGCTTCACTGTATCTGCTTAAACTAGTCATCTTCCTGTTGCGAGTTCATAATCCAATCACAACACCTCCCATTCAATGTCATTATCATTAAACCCTTATGGCTCTCGCAACAACCAACCTATTTTGATGAGGCCAACATGGCCTCGATGTGTATGTTTGTATTATATATACATGATGATGTTCGGTACATCCATTGATTGATTGATCATCTGCGATAGTTCCTCTTCCTGGCTTCATTGAGGAACTCGGCATATCCACCTACAAACTTGACAGCGTCTTCGCTACAACCTTCTTCAATGATGGGACATGTTCCATGATAGACTGCCTTGCCACCATACTGTTCTTTCCTCTCTTGCAATGTCTCTTGCCATTGATTCCTATGCACAGCAACACCTTCAACCTTTATATTCTTATTATTAGCTTCTAATCGTTGTCCTAAGTTAACTGCTTTCTGATAGTAAGGGCCTTTTTGAAGTGTGATTGATTGAGTGATTGATTGAGTGAGTGAGTAGGAGGGCCTTTTTGATTGAGGCCTTGGGGACCTTTGAGGTCAATCACATACATGAAGGGTATCCATAGACCTTGAAACAAGTTTGTTCATCAAAAAAGAACGATGATATAGACTTGGTGATATTCATTCTTCTTGTTATTAGATTACTCTAGTTAACACGATTGATTGACGATCAGGGTGATCGGGTAGTGATGACCCAATGTGGGTGAGGGGGAAAGTTTTAATTTATGGGACATTCCTGATAATGTCCAAACAATATTGGTCGACCATTTGAATCAATCATTCGACAGATCAATCAATGTGAAGGGTTAGTGACCCGATATGGTGTCCAAACAATCAATCATTCAATCAAATCAAGATGACTTACATGGAGGAGAAGTTTAGATCTTACAAATGTAAAGCTGTTTGGTGATGTGGATGCTGGAAAGTCAACGATTGCAGGACACTTGGTGTACAGGTGTGGACCAGAGAGTTAGAAGAAGGTTTAAAAGTATGAGACAAAGGCTGCTCAGTTGGGCAAACATGATGTAAAGTACGCTTGGGTCGACAACAACACGCCTGGACATCATTCCATTCCGCCACTTGATTGATTGAGTGTGCACTAGTGTGTAAGTGGAATCATCAATAAATTTTTGTGATGATTATACCCCAAATCAGAACCATTCACCAAAACAACACCATCACCCTTTTTTTGGTGATTTTCCCCTTAACTGAACTGCACCTATTCCTGGGGATGCACAGGAATCCTTGTTAAGCAAGAATGATCTAATGACATCTATCTAAAAAATAAAGTCGAAAGTACCAAGTAAATATCAATTAAATCAAATCAACAACAATCACAACAATCAAATCTCCTTAAATATATTTTAATATTTAAATAATAACAACAACAACTACAATTAAAACATCATATAAATTTATTTATTAATATTTAAATAACAATGACTAATAACAATGAAGATAATGGTGATGAAGTCCCAATCGAGGTCTTTGATAAAAGTGCAAGCAATATGAATAATAATAATAATAATAATATTAATAATAATAATGGAGTTCCACTATCTGTGATGACACTAGAACAAATGGCAATGACAATACTCCAACTTCAAAGAGAGATAGAGGAGTTGAAGTTTGAATCTAAAACATATGCCAGAGGATTTATTGGCAGCCACGACAAGAAAATGTCCAAAGATGTTGGTCGTCTCCCGTTATTTTACGATTTCTATCTCAACCACGTGTTGTTCTCTATCTCTATCAAAGAGGTTATTGTGCATCAGAACGACCTACCAGCATCGACAACAGTTCAGTCTTATGTACCTTTGAAACCATCCGAACCCTCAAAGAAAAAATCATCAACAACCACCTCGGGAGAAGAAATGATAGCAATGTTGGAGATATGTGTCTGCTGCAAACAACCTATGCCTATCAGTTTTAGATACAATTCCTTTGGGGTCGACTTACTCTGCAGTCTTGAGAAGAGATACTTTATGTTTCCAAAGTCCAAATCTCGAAGCGGTTGGAATGGCACAGTTGAGATCTATGTCCAGGAAGTGACCTCTCTTTTAAAGGATTAGGAAAGAAAAGGACTTCAAGTTAAACAGTTGGTTGCTGCTAAGGTTCTGCAGGGGATAGTCAAGGTTACGCAGAGAATTCATTTTTCAGCGGTCTCAATCCTTGGGTTCGAGCTGGTTCGACCCTGGACAACCCTTGGAACAGCAAGGGGAACCCTTTCAAACCTTATCTGATGTTAATTAAATATTTATATTTTTATTGTTGTTGTTGTAGTTGTTGTTGTGGTTGTTGTTGTTGTTGTATGATAAATTAGACCTTAAAGAAATCGTCGTCTCGTCCAAAGGAGTGGAACATATTGGTCAAATATGCGATAATTGTCCAGAGTGCGTTGTGTCGTTGAATGTTGTCAGAAAGGTCGCCAAGTGATCTGATTGTGTCTGACAATATGTTCCATTTCTTCATCTCTCCAAAGACATTCTCAATGATGATCCTCACCTTCTTGATTCGATTGCTCTCATCTTTCTCTCTCAGGATACGCTCGGCATCGAATCCTTCTTTGGTGACCTTGGCTTCCAATGCCTTCAACTTCTTAGATACCTTGGTCGCCTCCTTTCCTTGACGCAGGCGATGCTCATCGAGCGTGCGTTTTCTGATCATCTTGTCTGTGTACTCCATATGATCGATCAATGAAGCCGACTTGATCTTGGGGGTGATGGTGTTGGTGTAGTACTTCTGACCTCCTTTGAATCCTTTGTCACCGAGAATGACAATATCTTCATCGAACAGAGCCTGTAGTCTAGGTGCAGCATCCTTGTAGAGCGAGACGTCAGGCTGGGCGCCTCCCTCTGTCTTACCTACATACACGATCTTGCCACGTATATCGCAAATGACCAACACTGCCAAAGAATACATTGATTTCTTGCCAGAATAAACAAGATCCTTGATCGTCTTGTGTGGCGGCACTTGAATCCTCTGCTCTGACCCGTCCACAATGAGATGAACATTGTGCTTAATACCATCTTTCCATATTTCTGCATGATTGTCTCGAAGCTCTCCATTGTGAACCACATCCTGGAAGTACCCATGGCAGTACGACTTCAATCTATCGAACACCTTGGTGAATGAGTACCTGAGCTGAGCGATTGTCAATTGATATAGGAACACACGCTCCATCATGTACCAGGGAAGGTTGTGGCGGCACCTCATGAGGAAGACGAGCATGTCCTTGTGTTCAAAAGAGTGCTTCTCACAGAGCTGAGACACTTGACTATGGGAGAGCTTGAAGTAACTTGTGTACTCTTCATCTTGGTTGAACCATTGATCTGTAAGTGCAGAGTTGAGGGTATGGCATTTGTCAGTTAATGGACTTAGCTTGCTGGCAGCATATTTATTCTTCACCTTCTTCAAGGGTATTGTTCTTCCTCTTATTGTTCCTCCTTGTTGTTGTTGTTGTTGTTGTTGTTGTTGTTGTTGGTGTTGGTGTTGCAGCTGCTTTCTTGGCCTTTGATTTAGACACTGGTTTGGTTATTGCTGGGCTTGGTGCTGCTGGGCTGGGTGCTGGGATGGGTGGTGATGTAGTTGTTGACATCGCATTATCGTCGATATCTATCGTTGCCCTGCTGGAGATACCGGTGTTCGCTTCGCACCATTGAGTCCATTTCTCTCGTTTGTTGGTTAGATACTCGACAAGGCAGTTCCATCGACAGAAGTATACAAAGACGCCAAACGTGCTGTCTGGATGGCAACACTTCAAGATGCGAGAACAACCCTTTGAACAGTTCTGGCAATGTTGGACAGAATCTCCAATGATAGGCTTNTCTGGATCGTGTTNNCCAATCGCAGGTACAGCAAGCTTCAAATAGGGCATTGACCTGGTATGGTTTGTAATATGTCCAACACTGCACATCATCATTTTTTGGTCGCCATAGTAGACAATGATCTTCTTCTCGATCTTGTTCTCTGGTGAATTGCAAGTCGCCTCTACTATAATCCGGTTGGGATTGGTTGGGTCTCGAACGTTGGAATGCAGGAAGCACTTGGTTTGTTTGCTAGTCTCTCCATCCATCAACTTCTTGGTATGTGTGATATTCATCAGCTCTCTATTGTTCTCTGCCGCACCTTGTTTGGTTGGCGTCTTCATTTGCTGAAGCGTGAGTGTTGATGACAACGATGTTGGTTGTGGCTGTTGTTGTTGTGGCTGTTGTTGTTGTGGCTGTGGTTGTTGTTGTTGTTGTTGCGATAATGACTTGATGATTCCCTCTAACTCCTCTATACGCAGCCTCAACGTGTGAGTCTCCTCCTGTGATTCTTTAGTCTGGAACATATCAATGATGATATTGTAACACAGTTTGGCGCACACGGGCAGGTGTTTGCCCAAGACCCAGATATCCAACTCAGTACCGCAGAAGAAGCATTTGACACCTGCTTGCTTAACTCTGGTGACTATTAACTGGGTTAGCTCCTCAGACATCAGATGTTGTATTATATATATGTATTAATTGGTCGCTATTACTATGTTGGAGGTTGCAAAGGGTCATCACGGGTCGGACCTTGGATTCCAAAACAAATATTTGAAGAATCCACCCACAACACCCGTTGAACCCTGCAGAACCCAAGCTAACCTTAGCAGCAATCAAGTTTGGTTTGAATAGTTGTTGGAATAAAATAAACACTCATATATATATTATAGAGACTCTTTCCAAACAATCAAATAAAGTGTATGCCAATAATAGACCATTCAAATCAATTTATAATATCAAGTCAGCCATTAGCATGATATGATCTGATGGGTCAACAGTGGATGGCAGTTGTGGAGGATAATGATCACCAATCTCAAGTATGGACTTGATGTTAAAATGTGGAGTCTTCCATATTTGGTCATTGTTTCCTTTGAAGTGTCCTGGATGATGGAGTATGAGTGAGTATGATCAATGATCAAAAGGAATAAATAAATATGAGTACATACTTGTAACACATGTAAAGGGTGGCTCACCAGTTGGACGATGATTGTATACACTGGTCAACTTGAATGGATGGCTGAGTTTGAATGAGTCGAGAAGATAGTGTCCATCACTGAGTAGTGTGTAGGTCTTTTGAGTTGGTCCATTGTTAAAGTCGCCACATAACAACAGTGGAGTTGACTCCACTTCCAATCCACTCTTCCTAATCATATTGGCCATGGCCATAGCAAATATATGCATTTGAAGTGCTTGCAACTTGTAGTTCATGTCAAAGTCTGGATGTCCCCAGTGTAGCTGTGAGTGGATGCGTGGGGTGAGTGAGTGAGTGATTGATTGATTGATTGATTGATTGATTGGGGCGCACGAGGCCCAGGCTCAGACCCAGGCCAAGATCCATGATCAATACATACATGTACATTGCCAATGAAGATTGGTGGACTGTTGGGGCGTGACTTGTCTTTTAGGAGGAGCATTGAGTGAAGGTTGTGATACATGCTGGTCGTGAGGAGTTCGAGTAACTTGGTTTTGTTGGCGCATGTGATCGAGTCGATCTGCTCGGGCGAGAGTATCTTGTTGAGGTAGTGGTAGTTGACCAGCTGCTCGGCCACGACCTCGAAGCGCTCCGCGCGATAGAACGTTACACATTGCCACCATACTGTTCCTTCCTCTCTTGTAATGTCTCTGGCCATTGATTCCTATTCACAGCAACACCCTCAATTGTCCTAAGTTAACTGCTTTCTGATAGTAAGGGCCTTTTTGAAGTGTGATTGATTGAGTGATTGATTGAGTGAGTGAGTAGGAGGGCCTTTTTGATTGAGGCCTTGGGGAACTTTGAGGTCAATCACATACATGAAGGGTATCCATAGACCTTGAAACAAGTTTGTTCATCAAAAAAGAACGATGATATAGACTTGGTGATATTCATTCTTCTTGTTATTGCATTACATTAGGTAACACGATTGATTGACGATCAGGGTGATCGGGTAGTGATGACCCAATGTGGGTGAGGGGGAAAGTTTTAATTTATGGGACATTGGACATTTGATACTCAAACAATACCGGTCGACCATTTGAATCAATCATTCGACAGATCAATCAAATAAAGATGACTTACGTGGAAGAGAAGTTTGGAGATCTTACAAAGCCTCGCATCAATGTGATGTTGTTTGGTGATGTGGATGCTGGAAAGTCAACGATTGCAGGCCACTTGGTGTACAGGTGTGGACCAGAGAGTTATAAGAAGAAGGTTGAAAAGTATGAGACAAAGGCTGCTCAGTTGGGCAAACATGATGTAAAGTACGCTTGGGTGATGGACAAGTTGTTGGCGGAGCGTGAACGTGGCATCACCATTGACATTTCACTCAAGATGATCGAGTCGCCACGCCACTTGATCACTCTGATCGACACACCTGGACATCACAACTTTATCAAGAACATGATAACTGGTGCAGCTCAAGCTGATTGTGGTATACTCATCATCTCTGCCACTGCGGTGGAACAGGTCACAGATGAACCAACGATCTCTCATCAACAACAATCATTTGGAAGTGCCATGCTTCGTGAACATCTATTGCTCGCATACTCAATGGGCGTACGACAGTTGATCGTTTGTGTCAACAAGATGGATGAGAAATCGGTAGCATTCAAAGAGGACAAGTTCACCAACATCGTACGATCGTTGACACACTTGATCGAGCGCATTCGATTCAATATTCAAAGCGTTCCTTTCATTCCTATCTCTGGATGGGATGGCGACAACCTTGTGGAGCGATCAAATCGCATGCCATGGTACAATGGGCCCACACTATTGATGGCACTCGACAATGTCACTGGCGCACCACAACTGATAAACAAACCACTTCGCGTCCCCATCCATCATAACTTCAAGATTGGCGGTGTCGGCACGGTACTGTGTGGGCGCGTCGAGACTGGCGTGATGGATGTGGGCATGGACGTCTCTGTGTTCCCCGGTCATTTCTCAGACAACACAACACTCTATGGATACCACAACTATATACCATCGTTGGAGATGCATTGCCAAAGGATCGGTAAGGCACTGCCTGGCGACAATGTTTCATTCAATATTCGCCAATCCAACAAATTCATCAAACGTGGCGCCGTGACTGGCGCCTACCACAACGACCCTCCGGCTAAAGCCGCAAAGTTCATCGTCCAGATCATGATCCTGAACCATCCGACCGAGATACGCGCTGGCTACACTCCGGTGGTTTGCTGCCACACTGCCCGTGTCGCCTGTCGCTTCTCCAATATCATCGCCAAGATAAACACAGCCACATCCAAAATCATCCAAAGGGATGATGGCGATAACACGCCCATCGTTCTACATAATGGAGAAGCGGCATTGGTCGAACTGGTACCATTGAAGCCGATGTGTGTCGAGTCCTTTTATGAGTATCCTCCACTTGGTCGAGTCGTTATCCAAGACATGCATCGTACCATTGCCGTTGGTATCATCACCAGTGTGTCTAAGCTTAGGCCCCTGATGAGCATGACAACTTGGCCAACGCCCTATGTTCTGTCCTAGATGGTTGGCCCTAAAAAAAAGTGTACATTTTACTTCATTCCATTCCGCCACTTGATTGAGTGTGATCTAGTGTGTTTGTGTAGTAAGTGGAACATTAATAAATTTTTGGCGATCATTAAACCCCAAATCAGAACCATTCACCAAAACAACACCATCACCCTTTTTTCGTGATCTTCCCCTTAACTGAACTGCACCTATTCTTGTACATGCACAGGAATCCTTGTTAAGCAAGAATGATCTAATGACATATATCTAAAAAATAAAGTCTAAAAAGTATAAAGACACTATCAACAACAATCATAACATCTTATATATATATATATTTATTAATATTATAATAATAACAATGACTAATAACAATGAAGATAATGGTGATGAAGTCTCAATCGAGGACATTGATAAAAGTGCAAGCAATATGAATAGTGATAATATAAATAATAATAATAATAATAATAATAATAATAAGAATGGAGTTTCCTTATCTGTGATGACACCAGAACAAATGACAATGACAATCCTCCAACTTCAAAGAGAGATAGAGGGGTTGAAGTTACAATCTAAAACATATGCCAGAGCAATTATTCTCGGCTACGAAAAGAAAGTGTACTATGATGTTGATAGTCTCCCGAAATTATACACTTTCTATCTGAACCGCGTGTTGTTCTCTATCACTATGACAGAGGTCATTGTACATCAGAAGGACCTACCCGCATCCACACCTTTGAAACCAAAGAAAAAATTATCTACAACAACTACAACCACGACTTCATCCCCTTTGATAACCTTGGGAGAAGAAATGATACCAATGTTGGAGATATGTGTCTACTGCAAAGAACCTATGCCTATCAGTTTTAGATACAATTCCTTTGGGGTGGACTTACTCTGCAGTCTAGAGAAGAAATACTTAAGGTTTCCAAAGTCAAGTAAGAATCGCAAATTTAAGATCTATGTCCGGAACGAAGTGACCTCTCTTTTAAAGGATTAGGAAAGAATAGGACTTCAAGTTAATCATTTTATTCCATATAAATAAACTCTCATATTATAGAGACTCTTTCCAACTCCAAACAATCAAATAAAGTGTAATCCAACAACAATTCTATTATTGATTATTTTCCAAAAATAGATCATTCAAATCAATTTATAATATCAAGTCAGCCATTAGCATGATATGATCTGATGGGTCAACAGTGGATGGCAGTTGTGGAGGATAATGATCACCAATCTCAAGTATGGACTTGATGTTAAAATGTGGAGTCTTCCATATTTGATCAATGTTTCCTTTGAAGTGTCCTGGATGATGGAGTATGAGTGAGTATGATCAATGATCAATGATCAAAGGAATAAATGAGTACATACTTGTAACACAGGTAAAGGGTGGCTCACCAGTTGGACGATGATTGTATACACTGGTCAACTTGAATGGATGGCTGAGTTTGAATGAGTCGAGAAGATAGTGTCCATCACTGAGTAGTGTGTAGGTCTTTTGAGTTGGTCCATTGTTAAAGTCGCCACATAACAACAGTGGAGTTGACTCCACTTCCAATCCACTCTTCCTAATCATATTGGCCATGGCCATAGCAAATATATGCATTTGAAGTGCTTGCAACTTGTAGTTCATGTCAAAGTCTGGATGTCCCCAGTGTAGCTGTGAGTGGATGCGTGGTGAGTGAGTGAGYGAKTGATTGATTGAGGGGTGCGGACAAGGCCAAGACCCAGGCCCAGTCCAGGTCAATGAATACCTACGTGTACATTGCCAATGAAGATTGGTGGACTGTTGGGGCGYGACTTGTCTTTTAGGAGGAGCATTGAGTGAAGGTTGTGATRCATGCTGGTCGTGAGGAGTTCGAGCAACTTGGTGTTGTTGGTGCATGTGATCGAGTCGATCTGCTCGGGCGAGAGTATCTTGTTGAGGTAGTGGTAGTTGACCAGCTGCTCGGCCACGACCTCGAAGCGCTCCGTGCGATAGAACGTTATACATTGTTCCTCTTGGTATTTGCTCAGGTCGCTGAGGGTGGTGTGCGCGTAGCCCCACTCTGCCAGCTTCTCGCGAAGACGCGTCAGACGCACCTCGGCCTCCTGCATGCATAGTATGTCGGCGTGATGCTCGTTGACATACTCGGGCAGGATCCACTGGCGGTATGGACGATAGAGTGTGTATGGCGGGCAGTCGGTGTAGCGCTGGGCAGATGTGTAGCAATCGGCCATTATATTGTACTGTATGATGCGCAACGTTGTGTTCTTGCCCTCGACCTCTGACGCGTCATTGTCTGTGAAGCCCTCGCTATTGATCAGCGTGCGAGATGTGCGATACATGATCGTGGCCGCCAATTCAAATGGCTTCTTGCGGATTGTGAATGTGGCGCGAAGACGCTTGCCCTCGTGCGCAACAGTTGGCACAAAGATGGCATTGTCCAATGCGACGACAAGTGGTGTCTCGCGAGATGCATCCGATCCACTGTGATGGTCCTTTCCACCATGCAGCCACTTGGATATTGAATGGAATGGAGAGGACGACTTGTGCTTGGTCGATTGCTGTGTCGCAATGCCCGTTTCCGTGTCCACGATCTCGACATCATCGATGAACAACTTGATGTTGTCTAGTTGTGCGCGGTCCAGACGCGTGTAGCTATCATGTCTTCTGGCCGACTTCTCGGCGTAGGCTATCTGCAAGGGTACGTTCACAACAGGCACTGGAGGGAAGAATGATAACACAGTAATTGGAGCTGTAGGGGCTTGTTGTGTGGCTGAGGCTGGAGGGGTTGGCGGTGCTGGCGGTGCTGGAGGGGGAGGAGGCGAGGCTGATGATGACATCTTGTAGCCTTATAGTATATGTTGTAGTTGTAGTAACTGTTTGAGAGATGATCAAATGATCAATTTAATGAACTATTTTTAATTTCGATCAAGGTCCCAGGGTCATCAAACCGTTGGACCCATCAAGGAAGGGGCACCCCCTTTTGGAAGTGTTGGGCTTGACTTTGGATAGTCTTTGCTAACAAACTACTGCAAACACATGAATGTTTACAGGTCATACATTTGTTTATTGGTGATAGAGATAGAGAATATGATTGAGTATGAATGGGAGAGAGAATGAGAGGAGTGATCACCTTCACTTCTCTTACTGTGTGTGCGTTGCGTTGGAGGTAATTGGAGGGGAGAGGAGGATTGAGGTATTGTCAACGACCATTGGGTCGAAAGATTGATTGATTGATTGATTGATGAAGAGGGGAGGGAGGAGAGGATGGGGAAGAGGGAGAAGAGATGCCATTGCATGGGGTGGAGAGATGATCGAGCTGTTGTTCAAGATTGATTGTTTGATTGATTAATTGATTGGTACCAGACACTTGGCGATGGACTGGATATGTATATATGTAAATAAATAGGGTTGAGCTATGCTGTGCTGTGCTCTTGTTGAATGAATGCTGGCTTGGCTGGCCTCTGGTCGCTGTTATCCGTTCGATACTGCAGCAACTGACGCGTCACCTCTAATGATACAACTGATGCTGTTTGGTTTGCAAGCTTGCTTGTTTGCTTGCGATTGTTTGTTTGAATGAATGATTGAATGATTGATTGGTATGTTTGTTTGTTTATAAATCTACATGGGGCAACATGTTGATTGCTTCCTATGTGCTGCACTATCAATAACAATCAGATCCTCACTACATTATGATTGATTGATTGATTGATTGATTGGATTAGTGATTGGTCATGTGCGATCACGAATGAAAAGAACATACGGTGGCTCATTTGGAACTTGACTTTGAAGTGACACTCTTGAGACAGTAGCGAATGCTTCATCGATGTTGGTGGCATCCTTGGCTGAGGTGTCAAAGTAGAAGATGTTGCCACCAATGCTTCTGATGAATGCTTGGGCGTCCTTCTCAAAGACGACACGCTTCTCAGCGTCATCGACCTTGTTGCCAAAGACGATGAATGGGAACTGATCGGGATTCTGCACGCCGGTCTTGTCGATGAAATCCTCGCGCCACATCTTCAACTCTTCCATCGACTTCTTGTTGGTGACGTCAAACACCAGGATGCAACAATCCGAGCCTCTATAATATGATATCTCCAGACTGCGGAATCTCTCCTGTCCCGATGTATCCCACAACTGCAACGTCACCATCTTATCATTGACCATAACATCCTTATTAACAAAGTCTACACCAATCGTTGGTTTCAGTGGTACAAATCTCTGATCAACATATCTCTTCAATACACTTGTCTTTCCAACACTAAGTATGTTATGTATTTATGTTTGAATGAGTAAGTTAAGTCATTCAATCAATCAATGAATGATTCAATGTATTATAATTACCTCTTCTCTCCAATGATCACAATCTTTAACACTTTTCTTGGTGCCATTGTGATTATATATTATATATATATATATATGTATAAGTATATGAGTTATATAACTATGAAGTGGAAGTGACTTTGAATGAATGAGTGAGTGTGTGTGAATGAATGAATGAATGAATTGACTTTGAATGAATGAAGTTAGGTGATATTGGGACTTTGAAAGTCACAGTCCTCAAACCTCAAAACCCCCAACATAACACAACCAACATAAAAATAAATATATTTATAAATACAAACAAAGTTGAATGAATGCTCTGTTGAAAGGTCAAACAAATCGACAAGACAGTCTTGTTGATCAAGGACCCAAGACCATTACATCACCAACCAATGGTTCTAAACCAATCCATCTAATCTTAATAAGTAAAGTGAAGTATTGAGAATAGACTTAACTTGTCTTGTTGACTCGACTCATGAGTTGTTGTTGGGAACAACCTTTAAAAGTTCAACTCGCGCGAAGTGTGTAAGTGTGTGTTTGAGTGTGGGTTGGTGTTCGTGAAGACGGACTCCATTCATGTAAGTCGCGACCCCAAATGAACATTGTGGTCAACTTCACAATAAAACACACACAAGTCTGTTCTGTCTTTAGTTCTTTTATTCAACTACACCTTGTAAAGATAGTTAGATAGTTAGAGATACATATTAGTAGTTATAATTTGTACATGTATGTAAATAGTTATTAATAATAAGTTATAAGATATAGTATGGGTAATATCACAACAAAATCAAACAAAGAAAGAAATGACAACCATGACAATACAGATAATCAACAACAACAACAACAGATAGGTTCACCAACACAAGATAACAATCATAGTAATCATAATAACAATAATAATAATGTTTTGATCAAGTCAATACTGAAACGAAAGAATAATGAACTTTTGGAGGCAGTGTTGGACAATCCACAAGTTTGTTTAGAGTTGTTGATGTATTTGAAGGCACAGTTGATACATAATCAGATTACAATCAAGACATTCTTGGAGAAGATCAACTTGGTCTTCTACCTCTCCACAGACTTTGATGCCGTACGTCAATACTTTTCATCACTATCCAAACAACGAGCCTGTCACAAAGTATGGGGCGGAAACACCATGTTCTATCGATGCAAGACCTGTGCACTATCCGTGAACAGTTCAATATGTATGTGATTGATCACCAATCCCCTCTTTCATTCAATCCGATCACTCATTCAATCAATCAATCCGATCATTCACTTCAATCTAGGTTATGAATGCTTTGCTAATGGTCCACATGAACGTGAGGGACATGATTACACGACAAGCTTCTCATCTTATGGAGGTTCATGCGATTGTGGATTGGTTGGATGTTGGAAAGAGTCAGGGTTCTGCAATCAACACTCACATTCCGAGCAGATGGAGAGCCCAACCAAGAATATGAAGCAGTCCAACTTGATATCAGCGCATCTGGTCGTCCGATGTATACTATCACTCATTCTCGAACTGAACAATCGGCATCGCCACGCTATCAAGGAGGCCAACATCAACGCCTGCCAGCTGCCCTCGCAGCTCATCGAATCTTACTCGCTGGAGCTGCTCACCTGGATCGAAACCATCTCAAAGGATGGCCACGCGATATCGCACGTCATCTCGGAGGAGCTGTGCTACTTGACGCTGGACCCGAGCGCGCTGGACGTCAAGCGCGCCCAGCCTCTGCGGTTCACGCAGCGCGACGACGTGGTGCAGTACTGCCTGCCGGAGCAATGGTTCCGGCCGCCGCTCGCCCAGCTGCTGCTGGTGACGGGCCCCGTGCACAACAAGCTCATCTACCTCGTGCTGTACCTGCTGTGCGAGAGCACGTTCAAGTTTGGCTTTGCGCGCATCTATGCACAGGTGTACGCGCAGCTCTCTGAGCACGCAATCGACTCAATCATCCGCTTTTCGCCACAGATCTTCTCGATCGCTTCGATCACACTGCCATTCTCACGCGACTACACACCCTCTTTCATCGACATCACGCTGGACCTCTTGCAGCAGCAACTCAGCACAATGTCCGAGATTGGCAAGTCGCACTTGACGACCATTGGCGACATCAAGGCCATTCTGCAGCTGCCCACGCTCTACCACTTTGTGCTGTTTGAGAAGCGGTCGCTGCTGCTCAAGTTCCTCAAGGTGCTCAAGCAGACGCAGGGCCTGGACCAGATGACGCGCATGCGACACCAGCACATAGAGTACGACAAGGAGGACTGGGTGTTTGCACTGCAGCTAGAGATTGAGTTGCGCGAGATCTTCATCGAAATGGTCGAGTCGATTGGCGTCGACACGCCGCTGGACGACTTGCTGGGGCTCATCGACTACATCACCAACTTCATGGGCAGCGCAGTCACAGGCAACTTCATCGGCTGCTACCACGGCGTCGACGTCTCTAACACCGACTTGTTCGAGGCCACCGCCAGCGTATCTCTTATCAACCCTCTGTTCCGCTTCTACATGCTGGTGGTACAGCGCACTATCGATCTGCACAAGGACCACGAGATTGTTCGCAGCCGTCAGCTGCTGCCACAGTCTGTCAACCTGTTCAAGGTCATCTATCCATTTGTTCTGTGCCAGGTCTACGTGCACCAGGTCAATAACGGCTACTGGGTGCGCAACAATGACAGCACGATGCGACGCAAGGCCTACGTCTACTGCCAGCTTCTTCTCGAGGGCGACCTGTCCCTGATTCAGACCATCGCATCCGTGGTCGATATGAACCAGTTTGTCATCTTTTGCTCAAAGGAGTTTGCAGCGTTCATGCCTGCATCTGTGGCGCGGACCAAGTCCGCGTCCGAGTTGCAACAGAACGATCACCGCTATCACCAGTTCCTCAAGTTCATCATTCAGTTGTACCAGGAGCGCTCGTCAGTTATGGCGCCCGTGGACTATGTTAACAACTGCCTGGCGCATCACCTCTACCCACACAGCAAGACGCACAGCAAGATCGAGTACACAATGATGCACCTGGACAAGCGCCACCTGTTTGATGAGCAGCTGGCGCAGGTAGCCGACGTGCAGTCGGCATCGGGCGACCAGCCTGCAGTCTACAAGATCAAGACGCAGTACTGGCGCCAGTTCAACCCTTACTACCCGCTGTACACATTGCTCAACGTCGAGGAGGCGTTGGGCTCGTACTACGAGTACAAGGGTGCGCAGAAGTTGCCCAATCCCACCTCATTGCCACTGCCGCCCGCGCTACAGCCACTAACCGCCTGGAAGGAACCGTTTGGCGCGCTGATACACAATGACAACCTCCATCACACTATACTTCTGCTGCTCAATCAGTTTGTCGAGCAACACTTCTCCAATACCTCTGCCAACAGCACCACTCACAGACCATTGGCAGCAGAGACACCCGAGGTGTTCTTTGCGATGAATGAGTGCCTCTATCTTTTGGTCCTGGCGCTCACACATCCGAGCGGGCCGCGTCTAGACACGCTGCCATGGGCGACACTGATGAAGCCGCGCGACAATGTGGCCAACCATGGCAACGCAGTGCTGTGCATCATGCAGCGCTACAGGGTGGGCTTTAACAAGTCGACCTGCACCTTTGAGGTGCTGCTGGACATCATGCGCATTGGCAGCGAGGAGAAGTACTTTGTCGACAAGAAGGACCTCATCGGGACAGTCATCGACCTGCTCTACCAGTACCACGTGGACATCCAGGAGGAGATCGTGGCGCAACACCCCTCTTTCAAGCAGGCGCAGGGCATTCACGATGACGACAAGATCTCCGACATGAAGCTCAAGGCCAAGAAGCGCCAGGCCGAGATCATGGCGCGACTCACTCAGCAACAGAACAAGTTCTTGCAGAATGCCGCATCGACAGAGTACGACGACACGGAGTCCAACGACGAGGACACGTGCGTGCTGTGTCTGAAGGGACAGTGCAGCGACACAGACCCGCTGTGCATGATCGCGTTGTACCAGCTGTCGACGCTCTCCACCTTCTCCAAGATACCCGTGCTGGCCAACCTCCCGCCCAAGCTCAAGAAGCACTGCAAAGACTACCTCAAGTACATCTCATTCCCCAACCAGAAGTCGCAGGTCGATATCCTCAACTACACATCATCGCTACACCTGCGCGGATGTGGTCATTACATTCACAGCGAGTGCTTTGACACCTACTCGCAGACCCTGATATACAAGGCGTCGCACCACGACAGCTTCGAGGGCAACCAGTTTGTGCGACCACTCAATGGCGAGTTCCTGTGTCCCATGTGCAGGAGGATATCAAACATCATCATCCCAATCATGGAGCAGCCCGCTGCAGCGCAGGAAGTTCCAACACAATCAATGTCGCCCGTGGCGCAAAGGTCCACAAGTTCTGCCTCCACCAACAACAATGATGATGGCGTGGATGGTGGCGAGGCCAACAAGAGTCAACTTGCACAATGGTTCAGCGCACAGATGAAGGGCAAGACACATACACAGAGTTCACAACATTCAACATTGTCTTCTCATACATCACGCAGCAACAGCAACAACAGCAATCGAAATCTATTCTTCTTCAACGAGCTCAACAAGATCGCGTTCAAGGGTGGCAGCGGCGACACGATCTCACCCTACTTCCTGGCACAGTTGACGGCGAGGAACATCGAGTTCCTCGAGATTGCCACGCGAGAGATACAGGGCAGTGCGGCCGCTGCCGAGCCCGACCAGCCTCCACAGTTCTGCATTGGCCAGGATGTATATTCGCGCGACATTGTCACTATCAAAGCCATGTACAGACTATTCAAGGATCACATTCATCTACACAAGGAGAGCAAGTACAGAGAGTGCACAATCGAGTTGTTCAAGGGCATGACCGAGTCCATCCTCTCGATCGACCCCTTCAGCTCCTACGTCCTCTTCCTCTACCTCATCGACTCCCCCAACAACCATGACATTGACATCATCACCAACCTATCACTCGACGTCTTTATCACTCAGTTCATCATCACCAAGATGTACTCCAACTTAGGTATGTGTGTTGTAACTCATCCAGTCACGTCCATTGACTAACAAACTCACTATATCAATCAATCAATCAGAGAAAAAGAAGAAGGTATCGCTTCAACAGTTGGTCGCAGAGTACTTGGATGGCTTGCAGACAGGTGGAGAGGAGAGCACAGTGTTCTACGCGGACTTGATCAGGGATATTGCACCATTCTTGCGATGCCTATGCCTGGCACAACATGCAATGCTATCAAAGATCACTCATTTGACAAAGACAGACCTGATTACAAAGGACAAGTTGTTTGCCAATCTAGGCATCACATCATTACAGGCATTGGTCAATCGACAGCGCAAGGCACCACTGCACAGTGCATGGATCAATCGATTGGAGAAGTCACAGACACCATTCTTCATCATGGAGCCACGCCGCCCCACCTTTATCGACCTGCCCAACACCTACCACGAGTTCTTTATCAAACACATCAACGTGCCGTGCAACAACTGCAAGCAGGTGCCGACAAAGAGTGCGATCTGTCTGCTGTGCGGCCATCTGATATGTATCGATGGCTCGGCATGCTGTCTCGTCAACTCGGCCAACGAGAGCACCAACCATATCAATGTGTGTGGCATCTACAAGATTGGCGTCTTCCTCGAGACCAAGAATCCCAACGTCGTGCTCATCAGGGATCACCGCAAAACCGTTGTAAACAATGCCTTTCTCGATCATTATGGTGAGCCCGACAGCAATCTGGACCGAGGCAAGCCACTGTATCGCAACGATCACAACCTACAAGAGTTATGGAGCAATTGGATATCACACTGTCTCGAAGAGAAGTACCTTAGCAACTGTAACCTCCAAGGCAGAGATTACTAAATAGCAGCACACAACTTGTATATGCATTGTACCCCTCTTTGAATGAGTGTGGCTACTTATTCCTCAGCCCTCCTCCTTCGCCCTCGACTAGCCCCCCTTCCTGGTTCTCAATCATTGCTTCGACCACACACACAATCCGATGTTTGATTTGATTGGATGGCACACTCGCACACACTCACTCATCATTTATTCAATCAATCAATCTGGATTTGTGTTTGATTGATGGGTAGATATAGATGAATGATTGATTGTTTGTTATATATACTATAGCCCATATATTTATATATAATGTATACATGTAAATATATAACTTCACATTTTAGACAAAGAAGAAGAGGACTAGGTCTAATTTTAATATTAATATTAGGGTTTTGTCAACTTGATGTTGTACAATGTAAACATGCACCACCATCTATATGTTGTCAAAGACCATTAATACAAGATGATCATGGTCTATATCGTTGTCATAAAGTATACATAAGTAACTTTGCCAAAGATTATTTATGTTATAATGGTACAAAACATCTAAATAGTAATTCTTATAATAATAATGATGGAATAGATCCAAATATATATATCGATATAATTATTAATAATAGTAATTTAACAATAATACCATGTGATCGATGTTGTAAGTAGAATTAAAGTTCATTTGGATAGAATAATACAAAACTAATCCAAAACAATAATACTCATGTAGCACCAGAGTTAACAACACAATTCACAATGTTAATAATTGGTAGTGTTATAGCATTAATAGGTGGATTATTATTATGTATCAATTATTATCACAATAGATTGATATCACAATCAAATCCATACTTAAGAACATCTACATCATCTACCACTAACTATGGAAGTATTATTACAACCTAAAATAAAGATTCATTCAGAAACTCAGAATAACATCATAATACATTCATTCATTCGATCATCTTCATCTTCATTGTTATAGACTGGACGACAGAGTGTGGGAGTATATCTTAGAGTTCCGATATGTCCATAATCATCACACCACACTCACACACAATCACTGCCGAATGAATCTATCTCATTGTGTGAGAGTGTGTTGGTATGTGTGTGAATTATCAGCGTGTGAGCGAGATGGTGCAGTAATGATAAATTGATAACCATTCTATACTAAGTTATCAGATCATCTTGTCTTCTCTTTAAAGTGTGGTGGCCCAGATACTACCTTTAAAGTATATTCTTGCTTCACTTCCCTTCCCTGACTACTCAGTACTCCATCCATTGTACGACCAATAGTTATAAATCAATTTCCAAAATATCTTTAATTATTGTCCCTACTAATAGTCAGTCACAATAATCAAATACCTCTTATACAGAAATAATAATTATAATAATAATATGAACGAATCATTATTACAATGCAATAATGAGAATACTTGGACTGAGGTTGTCCAAGATCGCAAGTTAACACTTCCAGAGGAATTCTTCCTTTTGTTGTTGGATGAGCAAAAGTGCAAGATTACATCAAGTAGTATACCATTATTCATTGGATTCTTTGGTGTTGCCATTGCAGACCTACTCCTCAAAGGCAAAATTGGAATTGAACGTCCCAAGAAGACTACTTTCTCAAACTTATAGTAAGTTTCGATTAATTAATGGAATAGTTCCGTGACCATAAATACTAACTCAATATTTCCAGCTCTGTTAACTTGAATGTCCTGGACCAAAGGCCGATGGAGGATCCATTCCTCAACTTTGTCCTGGAGAAGATAAAGGCCAAGCCAAACCGATCAATTGGTGAAACCTTGAACAGGCTATCACGTGGATTCTACTTTGCAAATGAGAAGAGGGTCCTCAATATGGTTGGCCAACAATTAGTGATGAAGGGTATCATCTCAAGGGTTAGCCCAAAGAACAATATGTTTGGTATCAAATCATATCATTGGAATAGAATGGAGGAGAAGTTGAACATTGAGAAGAGATGTGCAGACTTGGCAATCATCAACATACGAGAGAATCAAGTGTTTGAAGTTGAGCATTATATCCGAGAGGTTATACTATTGTTGACGATGAAGAATTATAATTGGTTGATTGGTGGATCGTTGGTCAAGTCATTCATCAAGCGTAACTATTCAACAAAGATGGAGCAGAAGCTGGTCTACGAGAATGTCAAGAATACCCAGCACCATTACGAGACCTTCAAGCTGTCCGACCCCATCCACAAGTTGCTCTTCTGGATTTCCCATGGACTAAGGGAGGGATTCGACAGCAACTAGCCGACATCCAACTCCATCACCGACATTGTGGACCCGTCCATTAATAAACAAATATTGCTATTATTATTATTTATTACTTTACTTGGCAGGCCCAAAGGTGAAGTTGGACAAGAACATTGTGTTCTCTTTGTCCTTGCTGCTTATTTTTGTCTTGCCGCTGCTGATTGAGACCTTGCCTCCGGAAGGACCAGACTTGGTGGTCCGACTGCCACTGGTCGCTACAGACAATGACTTCTTCTTGATGACTGTGGCGCCGCCTGAAGTAGTCCTCTTGGCAACAGAACTATTAGGTGCTGCTGCTGCTGCTGATGTTGATGATGATGATGATGTTGTTGATGGTGGGGGCACTAGCTGACTGGTTGAACTCACCAGTGGCTTTCTTGAAGTGACCGATGTGGTGTTGGACGAGGCAACAGGTGATACCTTGACTCTCTTGAGTGGCTGTGATGACTTGGGACTGAGATCAATGCTGCCAGTCTCACTGCTCTCATCCAACTTGCTAGATGTGGTGTGATTCCTCAAGGCTGAGGGTGGTCTTGACGATGTCATATTCTTTCTCTTTAGAGGTTTAAAGGGTGATCCAGTGGTGGTGGATTGTCCAACTAATGGACTGTTCGTTGTCGAAGTCGTCGTCGTTGTTGTAGTTGTTGTCGTTGCCGCCACTTTGCTGGGTGTTGTATGTTGGATCAATGAGTTTCGAGCTGTGCTGCCAATGGTGCCAGCACTGAACATGAAAGGACTGTTTTGTACAAATGGACTACTGTTGATCGATGACAAAAGTGTTGACTGTKTGTTGGAATGGACTTGGAATAGTGGCTGTGGATGTGGATGTGGATGAGGTGACATGTCGGTGGCCAGATGTTTTAAGCACCTCTTGCTCATCATTGATGGCTACATCTGATGATGGTGCATCCTCTACAACCTCGTCCTCCTTCTCCAACATGACAGAGTCCTCTGATGGTGGACTCTCTATAATCTCACGAGGTGGTGGAGGTGCAAACTCACGTCTCAATGGAGTCTTTCCAGTTGTTTCCATTCGCTACAGATGTGATATATGTGAGTCTTGGGGATCATTCCAGGTCCACACATTGATGATACATACCTTGGTCTTGAGTAACTTTGGTATTTGATTGATTATGTTACATTTGTTGTCTGATGTGGCACCCTCCAGAATGTTCATGGCAGATTGGTATTGCTTGTCGATCAACTCGTTGGACGAGCCGAGGTATCCCATGAGACGATCGGTGGACTTGGCCATCGCCGGTGTGATTGCCTTGGCCGACTTCTCGGCAGAGCGCAACTCATCGATGATGGTCTGCTGATCATTGAGCGATTGGTTGATCACTGTCAATGCCGATGTGACGCGGCCCGCCAGCTGACCCTTGATCTTGGCCGTGGCCGACAGATGTTTCTTGCACGCCTTGTCCAAGCGCTGATTGCTCTCCTTGACGTCGCTGTCCAAGTCACCGTCTTGCTGACTCGTCAGCTCTGTGCCCAAGGTCTGCAGGTGAGCCTTCACTTCGTGGGCCATCAATGTGCTGAGTTGGCCAGTGCTGTTGTCCATGGACACCTGCTTGGCCGCCTGGATCGAGGCATGCAACTGCTCCGACACACCATCAAAGTCCGAAGCAAAGTGATTGAGCTGTTCAGTGAGTCGCTGGTCGCTCTCCTCAAACTCTTCATTCATCTTGGAGCAATGTTGTGTGATGAACTGTGTGAGCTTGGCTGTGAACTTGCGCTCGGCCGCCGCCCTCTGCTCCTGTCTCTTGGCGCTCAGCTTGCTCTGTTCTTCGCGCTGCACCTCGATGAACTGTGTCCTGTCCTGGATATATTGATCAATCAGCTGGGTGATGCGATCAATGTTCTTGTGCTGCTGTTGCTGAGCGTCCTCTTGTGTACTTGTGTCGGCCAAGCCCTGGTCCACCATGGCGATGCACTTCTCAATCTCTAGGGCCATGCGCTCAGTGTGTTTGGCAAAGCGCGCGCCAAGTCCAGTGATGGTAGTGCTGGCCACGATCTTCAGGTCACCAACAGCCTTGTCCAGCGCGGTGGCCAGTGTGTCGACCTCAAACGTGATCTTGGACATGGGCACATTGGTGTTCTGTAGTGAGTCAGAGATGTTTGACAGCGTGCCATAGCTGAGCGCAATGAGCTGGCACATGTCTTCGAGCTGGCGTGCAACACCATCGTTGTCGTGGGCCTGGAGGTCCTGCAGCTTGGCAAAGTGTTCTTTGAGTGTGTCGAGGAATTGGACATTGGTGCTGGCGGCCTCGCGGCTACTGGCGAGCATCTCTGACACTGTGGACTCGAGTTGCATCTTGGCACTCTCGAGCGCCATCGCATTCTCTAACTCGACCGTCTTGGCTGCGTCCAACTTTGAATGCATGGCGTGCAGGTCGTCCACAGCCGAACTCAATGTTGCTCGCAGATTAGTATCATCACTCTTGCAGTTCTCCAAATGTTCCTGTTGGTCGCGCTTCAGTCTCGTCAACTCTTTTTCCACTCGTGTGCCCATTGTCTAGTTGTGTGCGTTGAGATGGATGGGTAAGTGAGTGTCCATGATTGATTGATTGATTGAGTGAGTGGAATGGCTCCAACTTACAATTTGTGTGGCCAACTGCTTCTTGAGTAGCTCCAACTCGGTCTTCTCGGCATGAAGTTGCAGTTCCTGTGATTCGATCAGTTCGCGCTGTGACTCAATCTTGGCCTCCATATCATGGTACACGTCTTTTGAGAGGTAGACACCATTCTTGTCGTAGGCCGACTGCAACAGTTGCTTCAGTCTAGCAATCTCTGCGCTCTGCTCCTTCAACAATGAGTTCTTGGACATGCGCTGATTGATTGTTGGCGTGTTCTTGATGGACTTGGCCTTGAGCGCGTAGTCCAGCGTGTTGACTGTCTCCTCTAGGTTGAGTGCGGATGGCGACACAGTGGCAATGATGGATGTCTTGGTCTTGCCTCCGAGTGAGTCCTGCAGAAGACGTGTCAACTTGCTGTCGCGGTATGGAATGTGTCCTTGGCCCTCGGACGTCAGTGCCGTGATCACACGACCCAACGTCAAAAGACTTTGATTGATGACTGCGGCTTCGCGCAGTCGCTCGCTAGTGCCACTCTTCTGGGCGTTCTCCGAACCAGCAAGATCGACCAGATTGAGCTTGCCGATCTTGATCAAGTCTTCGCCTCCCAAAGTCGTCTCCTTCACATTGACCGTTATAGTGAATATACAATGTGACCTACTTGAATGTTTGTTATACTGTGTCTCTGCCGTCTGTCGTCTCTTGCAACTCTTTGACAGCACTGACAATATTGACTTGGTATCATTGACGACCACTTCTTCCAGGTCCTGGACCTTTCCATCTGTCATGTGTGAGTAAGTGTTAGTGATTGATTGATCGGGGAGTGATTGAGTGACGGTTGAGTACGATTGGAATCAATCCAGCGAGTGAAAGTGATTGAATGATTGAGTGATTGAGTGATTGGAATTATTCCAGTGACCGAGTGATCGAGTGATCGAGTGTGCCACATACCATAAACGTTGAGGGCCTTGTTCTCATTCTGATTGTTACATGTTAAAAGATCGTATATCTCTTCTTTGTATATTTCTAGATGTGAACATCGAACGTTGTAATCATTGCCAGCCTTCTCCAAAGTCTGAAAGATATAATCAACAGTCCTAGGTATTATACCATTCTCCTCTGGCTGATCCATCTTTCCCTCCATCGTATAAGTCTTTCCAGTACCAGTCTGTCCATAAACGAATATCGTTCCATTGAATCCACTCAACACCTCATCCGCAATCGGGCGTACTGATACCTCGAACAAGTCCTGTTGTTTCGAGTCTAAATGAATGAATGAGTCGTGGTCACATGTTAGTGAAGTGATCAATCAATCAATCAATCAAACTTGAATGTTGTTGAACATACCTGGAGGGAATATATGATCGAATTGATATGTTCTTGATATTCCTTTGTAGTTGCATACTAGATCTTTGTCTGTGGACCAATCGAGTGGCAATGCCTCTTTACTGGCGAGCTCCAATAGTGACAGGGGTCGGACTCTTACAAACACCTGTACATTCTGGACCTTCTTCTCATTAGCCTTGTTCAGCTCTTTATGTATAGCTGATCCACTAATCATATCTCTCTTTCTCTCTCTCTCTTTCTCTAACCTATATGTACAAGTTTGATTGATTGGACTTGATCAAATGTTGGTCGAGTAATACCCATCAGCTCACGACATGTTCAATAAATTTACCGTTTGAAACTATTTGAATTCAAATTTTGGCGCGACAACTGAACTTTTTTTTGAAATCAATCAAAATCAAATAATAAATATGTTGTCTTAGGCATATTTCAATTGAAAACAATAGAAATCAATGTTGTTGTAGGAATTGAGTGTCTCTAGTATGGACATAGATGGATCTTGATCATATTTATTTGAAATTGACACTTTAAGACTTCGTCGTCTTCTATCAATGATGATTGAAAGATTGACCAAATTGTTGAATATTTGTTGCCAACTCTGTCGGAAGGGTATATTTAATTTAATTTAATTTAATTTATTACTTTTTTGTAATGTATAAGACCTGCTTTTGTCCCCCTGTCACAGACCTTTATCTCATTTGTAATAAAACACAAGATAGAGATACATACACATAGACAACTTTTTCATCATGAGATGACAAGGTATTCCATTTCAAACTTGATCAATGTTCATCTTGACTTGAATGTTGGAAACAATAGCAAAGGCAGCACCAACAGTACCATCAAGCAGTCAGCCACTTCAAGTATCTAGTAGTCAGCCAACAACAACAACAAACAGTCGACTGGCTGGCATCCACCTGATGTGAAACCTTCGAGTCAGCCATTAATTCTTGTTGGCACTCAACAACAAGAGTGTAGGCCCAGCAATGGGATGAGATTTTGGTCAATAATATATGTGAGTCGATCACCGTCGGGACCTACCAAACCTTTGATCTGCGGCAACAGAGATGGAGGCAGAGAGGGTGACACTCGTGCTCCCTCAGGCTCGATGTATTGTTGTCTGTTGCTTCTGAAGCCATGATGATGGTCCACTCAACAGTCTAGTAGTGCAGTCAAATTGCTCACAGCTCAACAAGAGGCAAAGAGATTGATTTCCTTCCAAGAGATATCAATGACATGGTCCATGGCCAAGTACATGTACATGGATATCACGCCTGACAAAATACAATACCAAGATCTCCAAGATCATTGATTATGCGCCAGACCTGATTGTAAGTTATGATGATGTCACTTCACCCACACTGCTACAACGCCGACAACTTACCTCTCCATTATCCAATGATACAGCACTGTATTCCAGGTGTTGTTAAGAATTCGTTTAAGCTTTTCCTCAAGTATGTGACAGGCAACATCCTCACTGATGATGATGATGCAGCCTCGAGGCTCTCATCAATGACTTGGACGACGAGGGCTATACAGAGCGAGACGATGAGGAGGTTGCCAATGAAGATGACCTTGACAATGACTATTCTAATGACGAATCAGACATCTCTGGTGATGAGAGTAGTGTCATGATGTGGTGCAGTCGTCTGACATTATCGACAATGGTGATGAAGCAGCAGCAGAGCAGGCAAAACTCGAACTTGTCCAGACAATCGAGGACCTTTTGGTCAGTCGATGCACTCTGAAGATTATGCCAGTCGACACAGAATGGAAGGGCAAGAATGATGAGTTAGTACCAATTCCTTTGGAGTTCAAGTTCAGTCTAGCCACCTATGCTCATGTCCTTCATATGGTCGCAGCCATGGTCAAGAAGGAAGAAGATGGCACGATTGCACTCACCAGTGTAATCGATAACAACCAAGTGAGAGTAAGTCATACATTGATTGAATGAATGAGGGCTGTGGTCCACTGCCAGGCAATCAGTGACTAACAAACAATAACAACAACAGGTCAAAGTGGAGAACCTCTGGGCAATGATTCATAAGCTGATCGTGATGCTACTCGATCACAAGCTCGAGATCAAGGACTACCAGTGGAGGATACTCTGTGAGAAACCTGGAAATCAGTACAAGAGTCTCTATACAACACTCTTCCCACGACCTATACCCACATATTCAAGCAATATCGTCCAGAGGGTGCTGCTCGCCTGAACCTGGATCTCCAGCAGAGGGAGGAGATATGAGCCAGAGTTGGTGGACAGGTGAAATCAATGCATATGATCCTGTTAACAAGACATACAGTGCGTTTCAGGTAAGTCATTCATTGTCTACATCCTTGCCAGTCACTTGATCGAGAATGATGTTACTAACCGGTGTTGTTCTATTACTCTCCCTACCCACTTTGTTTACCATCATCAAGAACGGTAAGAGGAGGAAGGACCTCTTCCTGGCGGAAAAGATTAACTACATTGTCAAGGACATCATCCCCAACATCATCAGTGAATGCAAGACCATTAGAGAGGAATTTGTTGCATATAGGCTGGAGTGCCTGCTCAACGAGCCAACAACAAACTACTACTTCCGTTCAAGATTGGTGAACACGACTGCTGCTAATGGCAAACAGACCACAAGGGTGAGGGTCTTGAAGGGCAAGCATACAGGCAGGACCTATCCTCTGATTGATCGCAAGAGGGTATTTGCCCCTTGGGGCTGCCCTGTCGAGATATCACCAATTTGCGTAAGTCCTGAGGACTTGATCAAGTCGTATGTCTCTCCAATATCCATAGTCAACCTGCCAATGGTTAGAGAGACATGTAAGTAACAGAAGTGTACATTTGTCAACGCTTTTATGTGACAATGGTAAAAGACACTGACACTTGCTTGACCTTTTTTGTAGTGTTAGACGCAATCAAGAGGAGAGAAGGTATTAGTGCTGTTGTGATCGACACTGCCATCACTTCTGGGCTGAATGCAAGTGGCTACAGCAACATCCGATACAACATTGTTGATATTGGGACAACGGAGCAACCACCAAGTTGCCGAGATGTAGTGAACAATCTAAAGCGTTGGATGACTGGTCACACTCATCACAAAAGCAGCAAGATACGACACTTATTGAGGAGATGGAAATTGAAACCATCTTCAACGGCAGCAGTAACAACAACAACAACAACAACAATAAGCAACACCAACAGTCCGATCAATCAATTGATGTAGTAACAAAAGCAACAACAACTACATCATTACGATCTTGAGCGGAGGTCATCATCACTCCGTCCTCATTGGCCATCAACAATCCAAGGCTGTGATTCGTTGGTTTGGAAACATCATTTGGCAATGGCCACATCGATTGTTGACCAATTCAACAATGCTATTGACAACGAAGGCGCCAGCAGCAGCAGCAGGCATTTGGAGCTACATCACAACTAGAAGCCGATCCAACTGACAACTGGAGTTGTGGACTGATGACCATTTACTTTGCCCAGTATGTTGTCGAGCATTGGGACAGGATATCCAGTAGCAGCAGGACAAGCAGCAATCATCAGCGATCTGGAGGATGCTCAACCAAGTCACATAATCAATACAGTTGTGGACAGACACCTGACGACCTTCTTGGACTACCACATTAATGGCTCCATTTATGACCCACCAGCAAGTGGATACACACCCAACGAAGAAGAGGATGTCTCCGTCCTCCACAAAGAGGACGCAGCAGGCGAATAAAAAGTGTCGGTTGTCAACCAAATCCAACACGCCAGCTACAACCTCCACCTGTAGTTCATAGAGCAGCGTGAGTGAACTGAAGCAGCATCAGTCAGCAATCAAAAGAAAGGCTGCTACACAGAACTAAAAGCCCAAGACAAAGGCCCAACGACAACTGCTGCTGTTGCTGCTGGCGCCTTCGTGCACAGACCAAGAAGCACAAGACATCAAAGACAACTGCTGCTGATACTTACTTCTATACACTTGTTGATTGATTGAATGATCGATTTAATTGATTGCTCGTGAACATTGTTTGATGGATATATCTAGGGTCCCTAGCAAGTTCTGAACAATTGATAACTGTCGATCGATCATCCGTCCTCAATGAGGTGAGGTATACCTGCACCAGTGTGTTCGATCCAGCAACACAGTAGTGCTCGGCAATGCGATTCGGTCCATGGACTGAGCTGAGATCTTCATTGTCACTGTTATCGAATGATAAATCAATGATGTACATCTCATTGATGAGCTTGATCATTGAATGATATTGATGCAACCATTACACTTGATATTACATTATAACTTGTTTAAACTCTGTATCTGTATACTGAGACACTTTCACATGTCAATTGATGTGAGAATAATAGGTACTACTAGTAGGAATGCTATCAATAGTCTCTGGTTCATTGTATTGTTTTATACAGAAATAAACTTTAATTGATGAATGGAAGAAAAATTTATGAATCTTGGTTAGTTCAGCTTGTGAGTTGTTAGCAATTGAATGTCTTCATGGTATAGTCCTAAAAGGTTCAGGTAATCCAAAACTGGAGGAAGACACTCTCGACCCAAAGGCTGGTAATGTCCCGAGCGATCATCAAGACTGAACAGGACTGACTCCAATGATTGAGAATTGGTTCCAATCTTGAATGTTCCAGCACAATATACAGGTTTGCCTAAGAGGGTCCAAATTGTTAATAATAACATCCTTAATTTGTATTTGATATGATTTCAAGTACATACCACCTCCAAGTTGGCTATGAGCAACAAATCCAGGCATCTTGTTATCATTGGGTATCCTCATGTAAAGAATAGCATTGTTAGGAGCAAAGACCCACGAGTATTGTGTGGTCTGATTGGTGTCACTAAGATACTCGCAAACGTTGTCCTTCAATCTGACACCTGCAATCTTTCCATTGACAACACCAAGGAGCATTCCAGCCTGCTCAATGGTAAGGGGATTGTAGGATCGGAGGTACAAGATATCTCCCAGCCATTTCCTAACCTCAACACTATATGTCTTCCATGCATGGTCCAATGGAAGAAAATAGTTTGGTAAGTTGTCTTTTTGGAAGAGCCATTGCTGTGAAGTTGATGCGACATTGAGTATCCCAGTGGACAACAGATGATATTGATCATCGGATGAGGTGAGGAACATTCCATTCGAGACATTCATTATGTTGAAGATCTGAGCATCTGGAAGAATTGGACGGACAACCCATCGCTGAGTAGAGGAGAAATCGTTGCGAGGAGTCAGTCGAAGAAAAGGAGGAAACGTTCCAAGATCCAGCACCTGGAAGCTACTCTTTTGATAGATGAAAAAAGAGTTCTGATCATCTCCAGTTGGTTCCAATCTCCAGCTCTGCAATCCCTCAATATTGGGTGGATCCAATTTGAGCAAGCCACTAAGGTCTCCTGTGACCAACAACCTTGATGATACCTGACGAATGTAGGAGAAGTTGTAGAAGTCATCTGGTCTCTCCACAAAATGCCACTGTTGGTAGAGGTTGTCCGCCTGCAATGGTCTTCTCCTGGCACCATCAGATCCACAGTCCAGCACCTCTCCAGTGGCAACTTGTTGGATCCAGTACTTGTTGGTGTTGAAGTTACTTCCCTCAACAATGGGAAGTAACTTCCATTGTTGGTAGGGATTGTTTGTAGTGGCGGTCCTCACCTTGACCTCACCATCCGAGTCCAGGACATTGTTGTTGACAGTATGGTTGATGACATAGGTGTCAGAGGTTCCATTAACCAACCTAAAGCTCCACCTTTGGTAAATGTTAGAGTCTCCTCTTGGATTGCGATAGGCCTGAGTACCAGAGTCATGCTTGGCATCCAAGACCTGATTGGTGGCAACTTGATAGATAAAGTAGGATTTATCTTGGACTACAAATGAAGAGAGATCCTCTCCAACCGTTAACGTGGAGTCCATTAATAATAATATTTGGTAAGAATAGGGGATATTGGAAAATGTTATGTGGAACAATTGTTCAATTGATGGAGATAAATACTAGAGTACTAGTATTTAAGTCTTTCTGAACTATGGCTTTCCCTGATTAGATGTTTACAAGGAACATGAGGAAATGAAAAAATGAATTTAATTTAATTTAATTAAACCCCTTTATTCCTGGAATGTGTGTGTCATTAATGAATATTATATCATTAACACGTCACATATCCCTCATTTCAATCATGTCGATATCTTTTTTTATCAATCATATATTAGTAGGAATACTTGTCTATCTCTATATAGCAAGTGTCGTCCTGACAGTGAAGTTCATCGCATTTGTGCTAGCATACTATCCCCCAGGCCAACTCTATCAAGACTACTATCAACATCAGAAGGACTCTTTCCACAACTATGTGGTCTATCTGGCATTGATCTATCCATTCATCATCACCTTGGTCTATCTTCTTTATCGATCATTGCGTTGCTACAACATCAAAAAATGCGCAACTAAAGGACACAAGGAAACAACCTCTGGTGGTGCACAAGAGATACATCTATTCAAAGGATCAATACGGCTATCTTTGGAACTTCGATGGAGATCACATCTGTTGCTATTCTCTGCCGTTGTTCTTTCCATTCTCTTGCTATATGTCAACAATGACAATCTGTCCATCCCAGGACCCTACTACTACTACTCCTATTACTTCAAATTCAATATCAATGTATTGAATCCGCTGTTTGGACAAGCTGTGCCCTACCTGCTTGGTATCATTGCCTGCAATGAGATGCTCTATCGTTTCAATGGCAAGCTTGCGAGGTCACATAAGTTATCTGAATGAATAAAGTTGACAAGATGAGTAGGAGGCAGCAATCACAACTCCCCATCCTCCTTCCTCACATCACTGTATCCACTAGCCTCTTTGAATGAATGGTACGCCACGATATCGATTCAACAAGAACTTCATTGCGTGGAATACGCAGTTGTCACTATTGGTTGCTTGATCACTCTGTTGACCTTGAACTTTAAATATACGTCGGGGTCGATCTCCTCCACCAACTGTATCATTCTCTTTATAAAGTCAGGCTGGAATCATCACCAAACGAGTCACCCTTGGCATTAATATTACATGCGACCCAGTGAACATTGCTGATGAGCAGTGCCACTGCTGCTGCCCCTGAAGTATTGGACAATGGAGCGGTCGGTTGTGAAGTATGATGGGATTGAGGCACGCTTCTTGGCATCCAAATCGACAACGGCTACTTGATGATTGATTCCATCGGGTGCGAATGCAATCATGATTGAGCAGTCCTTGGCCGTCGTGGCAATGAGGTAGCGTTCAATGTGTCGCTCGGCCTCCTCACTAGTGATATCCTTCAAGCTTGCAAATCGATCCAAGTCGTCATAGTTGTTAGGCAGCGACGATGTGTCTTGTTGTTGTCTCTGCAACAACAGAGTGTAGAGATAGTATATCGCCTCGATGTCCATGTCATCATACTGCTGTGCCTTCAACAAGTTGTTCAGCACATCCTTCTCCTTCTGAAGGATTGTGACCACGGTCTCGACCAATCTGGCTGCTGTGTCGTCGTGTGACTGGCTGGCGACCAGCTCATCGGGGAACAATGTGAGTATGTCCTTGCGAGCCTTCTCACCGCCACCAAGTGTGCCAGTGTAGAACAGTTGGCCATCCTTATATATCTTGAGGTTGTTCTGAGGGCATTCAATCAATGCGCGAATGGCTCTACGTTGTCTCTCGGCATCGCCACTAAAGAGGTCGAGTGGGCAGTAACTAATGATCAAGCAGCTGACTGTTAGTATTCATTCAATCATTCAATCAATCGATCTACTCGCTCCAGCTCAAGCTCACTCACCTGCTGATGTGATGAATGGATCCATCCTTTAACTTGAGTTGCTGATGCATGCAGTAGCGACAGTTGTGCAATTTGATGTCTGATGTTTGGTCGCTAAGGTACTTGGAGCATGGGACAAAGCCACACTTTGGTTTGATCTCCACTGTTATACAGCTCGATGGTGCTGCAAGTGGAGCATTCGGGACAAACTTTGGCCTTGGCAACAATGTCAAATCACGTATAAACAATGCCCTTCCAATTGATGAGTCCAACGCAAGATGTACACGATGAGCCGGTCTCATTGGTCTAATAAGTTCATTCAACTCCACAACAAACTCCTTCTTAATTGTTGTAATATTCTAAAGTATTCATCAATGTTATTCATTCATTCATTCAATCAATCAATCAATCACTTACACCTGGATAAACATAGTTACGACCTAGTAGTGGCATCATTGTATCATTGAGGAACTTGTTATCCTTGAGGTCTGCATCAACATCCACAACATGTTGTGCCTGTACACCCTCATCTGTAACCGTTGACTTTCTCAAACGAAGTACACAACCCATCTGCACAGTTATGACATTAGTAAGTGATTGATTGAATGTATATGGATGACATATATACATACTAATAAATTATTTGTTGTACCATTGTATGATACTACTACATTACAAGCACCTTCACCTTTGTATGTCCAATCTGATGCATTACCCAAGTTGATTGACATCACTGGTCCAACTTGGAATGACATTGGTGCAGCCTTAAAGCCACCACTTCCACCACCAACTTTGAACATTATTACTATTATGTATCTTTATCCGTATCTCTATCTTTGAATAATAAATAAATATCTGTTCGTGTGAACAAACACACCTGACTTATCATCATCTTGGTTCATTGAATAGATTGATTAAATCGAACTTCTGATGAGTTGATGATTTTTATTTAAATCAATTTAAATTAAAAAAGTCGAGTTTTTTGGTTAGTGTGTGAGATGTTGGAGGTCGAGTGATGCTTCCTCGCGAGTCCACCTCACATTGATATCCAACTTGGTTATCAAGTCGTTCCCATACCGATTGTTCCACACACAACCACTACCTCTGTTATAACAATGTGTAGGTGTCAATCTATCTATCGATGACGCGATTACAGACTACTGGTCATTCAACGAGGAGATTACCAACAATGCGACAGGATGGATACTTCGATTCAATTTCCATGATGAGGATATCAGATGAGAAGATGATGATTGATTGATTGATTGACCAAGTTAACGACAGAATAGGATATTAACCTTCAATCAAACAATCATACAATATAGCTGAGAAGATCAAGGCTTACGAACTTAGAAAGCAGAAGAAGGGAGAGTTGCTCAGCCAGCTCCAAACCCTCAAGACTGAGCTTGCCACCCTCAGAGTCGGTCAGGTCAAGGCTGCTGCCCCAAGCAAGCTCGCCAAGATGTAAGTGTCCCTCATACTCAATCAATCTCCCCTGTATAGTACTGGTCGATGCTCAGTCGACGGATCAAACAGCGACGCGAAGACAACACATCTATCGAGGCGAAGTCTTGGCGACATGTCAACAGGAAGCAACAGGGGAGCATTGAGATAGACAACACACGACATGGATGGATGATTAACATTGGATACTATAATCATATTCATTATAATATTATAGCAAGGTCGTTCGCAAGTCAATTGCCCGTGTCTTGACTGTGTTCAACACCCAGAGAAAGAACCAGCTCCGTGCTTACTACAAGGACACCCCAAGAAACAGATTGCCAACTGATCTCCGCAAGAAGAGAACCAGAGCCATCCGCAGACGTTTGACCTCCGCCCAGCAGAATGCCCAGCCAGTCAAGGTGTTGAAGCAACTCCAGCACTTCCGCACCCGCACCTTTGCCGTCAAGGCTTAAGCGGCGATGTGATGATGATCTCCTTTCATTCATTCCCTTATAATATAGCTCAATAAGACTTGCCAATAAAGCAGACAACAGTTTGGTGGAATAATAGATCTCTTCTCGTTGGTTGGCAAGATGTCGCGTCGCGACCTCTCCTTCTGTTTATTATGTTGCATCACTTGGCGTCCAGGAGTTGCTGGCTGGCTGGATTGACTGTGGATGGGATATGGACTAACAATGTATGATTGAATGAATGAATGGATGGATGGATGTTACATAATGGTACACTTCTTGGACTTCTTCCGGTTGACGTTGCGACTGGACTCTGCCAGACCTCCACGTGCTGGTGGTGCCGCCACTGCCGGCGCCACAGGCGCGGCAACAGGTTCCAGTTGGACTGCTGCGACTGGAGGTACAATTACGTTTGATGTTGATGTTGATGATGAAGATGATGTGGTTGTAGTTGTTGGCGCTGTATTTACATTGACTATGGTACTGTCTTGAAGTGGAGGTTGTGGTTGTGCGGCCACATGAACGATGAGATCAGATTGTTCGCGTGGCACTGTGTTGCCACTTGTAGTCGCTCCGCCAGTGGGTACCTCCTGCATGTCACTATTACTACTGCTACTGTTGTTACTGTTGCTGTTTGAGATTGGTTTGTCCACGACTACTGGAGTTGGCGAGACCACCTCCTGCTCCTCCTCGTCCTCTGTTGAGATCTCATCGTCGTCGCAGTCCTCCACCTCGTCGTCATCGTCATCCTGCGCCTCGTCCTCCTCAAACTGATACTCTTCATCCTCCATGTCAAAGTAGTCAATGTCCATGCCGCGCTCGGCCAACTTGATCTTCTCCACCGACTTCTTGTGCTCCTCGGGGTTGGTGTCTGGATGCGGGATGACAATGTGCGCAGGCTTCTGCGCGTTGGCCTTCTCGACCAGCTTGGCGCAGCGCTTCTTATAGGCCTCTCTGTTCTGACGCCATTCAACACTGGCGTCGACATTGGCAGGCGATGAGCAATTGGGGTCGCTCAATATAGACATGACGCTTAGTATAATCGTTGACACTGTTTGTGTTGGTAACCATCTCTCTTGAGGTAGTTCTCCACTCATAACATCTTCACCTGGTGGATGTAATATACTAATACAAACTTTGCCTTCCTTTTGATATACTATATGTATGTTTCCATTTGTGTTTCCGTGTGTTTCCGTGTTTCCAAGTATGTTTCCGCGTGTGTTTCCGTGTGTGTTTCCGTGTTTCCAAGTGTGTTTCCGCGTGTTGACAGAGGTGGAAGTGTCAGTTACCGCGATGTAATATATGTTACAACAAAGACACGTACCATTTGGATGCCAAAAGTCTGATAGGAATCGGAGTGATGGTGGACTCATTGGATAATCTTTGGGAAAGGTTAGAAGGAGTTGGAAGACACCTCCCTCGTAATAGGTGTCTCTTGGACCTTCCAAATATATCTTCCATTCAAACAATGATGATTCATTTACCAACTCCACTGTGAATCCCTCAACAGGGTCATTCATCAAACCCTTTAGTTGATTGGATAATAGTTTGGCTGTCATTATATTTATATGAATATATATGTATGATTATTAGATGGATGTTGGAGTGATGGAAGGTCGAGAAAATGATGATTGATGGGATGTTATTGTGATGGGACGAACTTGATGAGTTGAGCTGAGTTGAAATGAGTTGATTGACCTTGTGTGATATATATCTCTATTTATCTATCTCTATCTATGTTATCTATCTCTATCTATTCTCAACTTGATCTTATATCATATGTTTATGATTGATTGATTGATTGATTGACTGATTATGATGGAGTGAGAAGTAGGAGGAGTGTTGGGGGAACGATCACACACACAAACACACAATGTTGATTATGTGTGTGGAGTCAATCACAACCACTCTGTTTACCCCCATCATATTGGTGATCTATTTTCGGATTCGCTGATTGGATGGATGGATTGAAGATGGAGATGGACGTATGACATTGTCAAGTTGGTAGCATTGCATGGAAGTGAGAAGGACTCGCTCTTACCTCGATGGTAATCAATTGTCTTGACGATCACTTTCATAGCAACATCCATGAATGGATACAATGCTGATGTTGTTGAGGCCTGTTACCAACAATCATAATCAAGTAATGAACGAATGAATGAATAAATGAATGAGTGGACATGGATGTGATTGAAGTAACACTTTGTTTATTTATTACTATTGTTATACATGTATTGACATTGAATAAGTAAGTACTTACACTTATGAGTGGATGATGGATGTCGTTAGTAGTTGGAGTAGGCAAAGGGAGAGATATAGAGAGGCCAAGGTCTAGACTTGAACAAGGGGGTTAGTTGGTGAGGGTGTAATAAGGTTCATTGTGGCTGAGCATGCATGTTTCCATGTCCACCTGACCAGTTCAGGCGGTGGATTGATGTCGACACTTTGGCAATACCAACTGGTTGGTTGGTTGTTGATGCCAGGTTGCGCGTGTCCAGACATCCATGCAGCGGCCACAATGGAGGACACCAATTGCGATTAAACATATTTATTGTAACCGTAATGATGTCGAACGATTGTGTGATGGCGTGGGAAGGAAGGAGGAGGGAGGAGCATGGCTGCATGCATAGAGGTAGAGAGAGAGAGAAAGAGAGGGTAGAAGAATGGTAGAATAGAGGTAAAGAGAGAAAAAGAAGGAATGTCTGTACAGACTACATGTGTGATTGATTGCGTGATTGTTTGTATGATTGTCGGTTACAACAGTGATTGGATTGTTGATTGATTGGACATTGATTGGACACAACATGTTTGGAAAAGGTGGATAGAGTAGGGGATAGGTGATAGATAGAGTAGGGATAGGTATCAACTGGTGAATGGATATAGGTATAGAGATATATAGTTATAGGATAGGTGATAGTGATAGTGATAGTTATATAGTTATAAATAATAAAGGTGTATATATATGGTACAACTACAGGGCAAAGCCACGACCAGAGGGCACTTGGTGCAGGGTAAAGGCTGAGGAGTTGGGCGTGGTGGGCGCAGAGAGGATGGACGCGCTGCCAGAGGTGCTGATGCCAAGCTTCTTGGTCTGAGCAAACTGGAAGAACTGGCTCATCAACTTGTTCTGGTCAAAGTGGTTGTCGTCGTCCTTGGACACGAGCATGGAGAGGTCGCGACCAGACTCGCGCAGTGGCTGGAATGGCGATGGCAACTGCTGCGATGACTTAAGGGACTTGTCGCGGATGGAGATCAGACTGGTGGCGTAGGAGGTCAGCTCGTCGATCATCAGGTTCTCGCTAGAGTTGGAGCGTGAGAGGGCGGGCGATGGGGCGGTGGAAACCGAGGGCACGTAGTTGCTCTTGCTGCTGAAGGATGAGCGTGGACGCTCGAGCTCGGAGCGCACCTTCTCCAGGTTGATTCTTTGCTGCTGCTGCATCTGGTAGAGCAGCTGCTGCTTAGTTGGCGCGTACTTTGGTGTGTCGTAGGGGGTTGGAGCGTCGTTGCTGATCATCATTGGCGACGAGGGGGCCGATGGCAGGTACTCAGAGGCGTTGTTGTTGTGCTTGGGAGACTCGGATGGCGACGATGGCGACATTGGCGAGAAGAGTGTGTTTGGTGTGGATGGTGCAGTGAAGCTGGTCTGAGTGAAGAGCATGCTGCTGCCCTCCAGGTCAAGAGGTGGGAAGTGCATCTTGCTGTTGTACACTTGTGGTTGTTGTTGGTGATGGTGTTGATGGTGGCCGTTGCACGAGTGTTGCATGGACATTCTATTGTTGTTTACGTTGCTGTTACTGTAGGCCAGATGGTTGGCGTTGAGTGGGGCGGGCTCGCCGTAGTGCTTGGGGCACAGGATGAGGCCGGTCTTTCTGGTCTCCTTGGACTTTGTGAGCATCTTGACGCCGGGTGGCATACAGATGACGTGGTAGGCTGTGGGGCAGCGGAAGCAGTGCACCGACTGCTTACCATCGCCAGAGACGCCACAGGTCTCACAATAGTGGAGTGGGCAGTTGAAACGTGGGGACTTGCTGTTGACGACCTTGGCCAGCTTGAAGTCACCGACGCACTTGTGATGGTAGAACTTGCCGCACTGGTGAACCTTGCACTTCATCAGGTCCATGCCGACGATACCGCGCTTCTTGCAGGCAAAGCATATATTCTGTTGGTTGAGGCAGTCGTCGCACTCCCAGCGCTGGTTTGGTGCGGGCGTTGAGCCCAGACCAAGACAATCAACGTGGAACGAGCGCAAACAAGGGCCATCACACATCAGCAACTCGTCTCCCTTCTCACAAACAGTGCAGATGGTCTCGTTCTTTCTTGGCTTCTTTGGCTTCTCCTCAGCAGTAGTTGTAACAGTGTCATTAGATGACTCTGACTCTTTGGTAATCTTTTGGATTGGATATGAAGAAGATAGAGGGAGTGGAGTCGAGTGAGTTAGTATGATTGATTGATTGAGTGATTGAGCGAGTGAAGGACAAGGAACATACCTTTGGTCTCTTAACCTCCTCATCTGATGAGGATGTAAGTTGTCTCTTCTTTAGGTTGGTCTGGTACTCTTGGTATCCATTCATATCGTTTGGATAACCAATGACAGCAGCCTGCTCTATGGTAGATGTGGATGATGTTGAAGTTGATGGCATCATGTTGTTGGTCTTCATCATTGAGATTGATGGAAGAGAGAAGAAGTTCTGCTCTGATTGCATAGTATATAGTATATAGGTAATAGGTGATAGGTGATAGTTGATAGTTGTTGATGGATAGTCTATGTTGAAGACAGAGTCGAAGAGATTGCCAGAACAAAAATGAAAGAGAGAGAGAGGAGAATGGGAGAATGAGAGAGAATTGGAGAATGAGAATAGAAGGTAGAGAGAGAGACCAAAAGAGAGAAGGGTAGAGAGAGAGAGGCAGAACAGAGTAAAAAAGGGTCAGACATTGTGTCCTTCTCGGAGGGATGACTAAGTGATAGTCATGGTTGTTGGTTGTTGGAACGTTAAAATACCCAAACAGTGAGAGATAGATAGATAGATAGAGTGGAAGGGTATAGAGGATAGGGTAGAGAGAGAGTGGATTGATTGATTGATTGCTAGATCGGTTGAGATAGAATGCAGAGAGTAGAGATAGACTAAAATGTAGGTAATGATAAATCATGTGTTAGTAACATGGTCTGGCCGCGCGTCCTTCAATAATGCGTGAGGTATCAACACAAGATAGATAAAGAGGATAGGATAGAGAGTGGATAGAGATAGAGAGATAKAGATAAAGTGGATAGAGAGTAGAATAGGAGTAAAAGATAATAGAGTATAGAGTTGGAGTGGAGAGACAGACAGATGATAGAGGATAGATCAAGAGTATGAGAGAGATAAAGCAAATAGAGTAGATTGAGATAAAGAGGGAGAGAAAGAGGAAAGGAGGATAGAATAGACCAAAGATCAAGAAGAGAGTAAGAGAGAGAGAGAGAGAAGAGAATAGGGAAGAGAGAGAGAGAGAACTTGGAAGGTAGAGAGAGAGAAGAGGTAGAATAGATGTGGAGATACCTACTTGTTGGTTCTCAGCTGCAATGTGGAATGGTCGGTAAGGTTGTAATTGTATGTGATTGTTGTGATCGTGTAGGATGTGTTGATATCGAATGATTGACAATGCCAGTTGAAGCTTATAAGCTGTACGCGACACCGCCAGAGAGATAGAATGAGTGAATGAGTGCGTGTGAGAGTGAGAGAGCAAGAGCAAGAGAGTGTAGCCGCTAAGACGAATGGTGAGTGGGTGGGTTTGTTGGTGGAAGTGAGAAGCTAGAGGTGTGTTGTTGGTGTGAAGTGAGTGTGATTGTTGTGTGTGGATTGATTAATAATAATAATTAAATAGAATTATTTACAATGATTGTTGTGTGAGCAAGTGAGTGTTGTGTGTGTTGATGGCTCCAGAGACAACACTGTCTATTTTGTTTTTGATCAAACAATGTGAGAGAAGTGGCCTGCCACCCTCGCCCCAATGGCCCCCAATCATAAAGTTTGCGCTGTTGTGATGTGGATCTGATGGGTTACAGAAGAGACAGACCCCGCCGCACTAATCCAAACAACCCGAAAGTCCACCAACCCAATGTTATTTTCCCAACTTTGTAGTGCGCTCGGCCTCTCAGAAGTAAAGAAAAGCGAATCAATCATTCCTCCTAATAACTACCACACTTTATATTTATAAATATCTCTCACTCTCTCAAACACATACTTAGACCAGACAATGATGACAGGGACGTGGAAGACGAGTAAAGTGTAGGCGTGTGTGTGTGAACTCTGTCAGGTATGTATCCACTTTAAAGTTCGCGCTCACTCACCTACCTGATGGCAGTCGTCGCCCACAATGTGCCTTCCACCACACCCGAACGAAAGTTCTTCTGGCTCTGACCTTTCGCCAAGCCCTTGCAAGCCACGATCGACTGACGGGCATACTCGCTGTTCTGTTCCGAGACTACTCAAAGTGTGTCTCCAGTCTTATTTCCATTGAATCTTCATCATCAGATGATCATAGTTTGGGTGTATCGTGTATGTGTGTTGAGAATGAATAAACCATTCGGATATCGCGTACCCTTGATGTGCTTCCAGGTGGACCCACAAGATGCCACCATTGCCTGTCTTTCGAATGAGCCAGTCAATGCCATCTGGGTAGTGTTAACAAGATGGCACCTTCCAATGTCAGTCGGAATAATTCATAGGTAAACTCGAGTACTAGAATGGCGCGACTACCCATCAATTCAGTAAGGATGCCCTTTTCCTGGTCAGGCAAACAATCCCCGCATGAACATGGATGCAATTTCAAGAGTCTACAGAGTGATGTGAGGGAGGAGAGGCAGAGAGAGCGATGGGAGAGAGACGTTCACTGGAAGTTTAATGTGAAGGGGATGGGAAGTAATGAATTAGAGTAGGGATGTTGAAGTTGAGGGTACTGGGTGATGTCTAATTGTCAACAGCAACATAGTCATCTGAATCGTGAGAGCTAGATTCATCATCGTCGGAATAGCAATCGCGACACATTGGGTTGTTTTAGTCATCAGCGCCCTTGCCACAGTGGGAGCATATCATATTATCTCCACATATGTCGCACGCTTGGAAGGTTTCCCTGGATCTTGTATCACAGGTTGGACATGGTCGCATTTCGTTCACTGTAGACATTTATTGGTCTCCACTTATGATGATGAGATTAGAAGTTAATAATAATAATGTCTGTTCCTGGGTCACTTTTTATAGGTGGTGCAACTCGTACTTTACTGTGTCACTTCAAATTTGAAATCGGTGGAACTACACCAAATAATAATAAGTTAAATCCAATCAAATGAAATCCCCAACAATGAAAAGTAAATCGAAGAGTCACCTTTTGAAGAACTTTGATTGTGGACAATACCATATGAAGATGTAGTACATACAGCAAATGGTTGTATTAATAGTACTGGTGGAATTTATAATATATATTTTTATGTATATACTTGTTATACGACGATTAAAGTGTCGGTGATTGACTTAAATAGTTGGGGTTGGGTGGGTGAGGATGGGATGTGGTGAGGTGACTGAGTTTGGAATGTGGTTTTGCTTTGCCAAGTGTGTTGGTCGAGTTTGCCTTGTCCTTGTAAGTGTTGTTACATATTGATTGATTGATATTGAATGATTGGTTGAGTGATTGAATGAGTTGAATTAGAATGGCACAAGGTTGTTGAGTAGATTGTCTTTGCGAACGTCTTGATTCTTGAACATGTCCAAGAGTACTTGTTTGCCCTTCTCTGCCGTGTCCAGGAATGAATGCTTTAGCAACATCTCTGGAACGGGTCTGACGAATGGATCACCATTCAAACACAAGTCAACAAAGTCAACAAACTCTGGTGTCTACATTGATTGTTTGATTGAATGAGTGTATGTTAGTGATTGAGTGATTGGAATAGTTCCAGTGTACGTGTGGAGGACATACCAATTTTGATGGATTGACTAACTTGTAACCAACTGTGGCTGTATAGAACATGGACTTGAGAGAGGTGTCTTTGCCATAGGGCACAGTGCCCTCGGCAAGCTCGACCAACAGACAGCCTAAACTGAAGATGTCCACTTGTGTATCGTATGGCTCGCGCTTGATTATCTCTGGCGCGATACGACCCATTGTGCCACACATCCTCGTGCGACCACGACCAATGCTGCATGTCGTTGCCAGGCCAAAGTCGGCGATCTTGACCTTGCCACGTCGCGTCAACAATATGTTGCGCGACTTGATGTCTCTGTGGATGATGCCCTTGGCGCGCAGGTACGCCAGGCCCTCCAGCAGCTGCTTTGCAATGTAGGCGATCAGTGGCTCGCTCAGTGGCGTGGGGGCGTCCGACGTGTCGTTGTTCTTCCAGTCCTCGTGGAGGAGGTCGCGCACCGTGCCACCGTCGCAGTACTCCATGATTATCCACAGATGACCTTTACACAGGTAAGACTCAAAGTATGATACGATGTTTGGATGGTTGCAGTATCGATGAATGTACAGCTCGGGTATGATTGGGCTGCCCTTCTTCGTGCGCTCCATCAACACCTTTATCGCCACCTGCTTGTTGTCAGACTTGCGCACAGCGTAGAATACGTTGCCAAATGCACTAAGTGTCCAGGTGAGGGTAGGGGTAAGGGTTAGGGTAAGGGTGAGGGTTGGGGCGAGGGTATAGACCATTGCTTACCCTGTGCCAAGTTTGATCTTGTCTTTGAACATGTTGAGTGGACTACCACCTGAGAAGATGGACTCGTCGCAGCGTGGTAGAGGTGGTGGCTGTGGCACATCAGGACGCACCATGGGTGGGATGTACTTGGACACCGTGGTCAACAACTCCTCGCCATTGCCATTGGGCTGGTTGGGATTGGAGAGCAGCGAGACGACAGCGCGTCGCGTAGGTTTGCGTGAAGGCAGTGTGAGTACCCAATCGCGCGACTGGTCTTGGCCCTGGCCAGTGCCGGTCATAGAGGCAGTGGCGGTGGCATTATAATTGCTGGCCGTGTTGAGGAATGACTTGGCTTGCGATCGGCTTAACGATGCAAACTTGGCCGGAGTGTGTCCAGTGTAGGGCACGATCAGCGTGGATGAGCTGGGCGTGCGATGAATGGATGGGATTAGTGGCTTGACTGTGGCCGCGTCGTTCTCGCGGTCCGTGTCGGGTGGCGAGCTTGCGCCACTGCTACTGTTGCTGCCGGGACCATTCATGCGCTTCTTGATTGCCTCCTTGGTCTTCTTGTTTGAGCGGTAGTAGTTGGGTGGCACTGGTTGGTTGGCGATCGTGTCCTTGGTCAAGAAGTAGATTGAGTTCCAGGCAATCTCAAAGTTGCGCATCAACTCCTCCTCGGTCAGGCCAGACATGCGCACGTATGCCTGTAGCTTGGGTGGCATGCTCTTGAGTGTGCGCTGCTGTGACTGCAGCGACTCGGCGTCATCTCGCTGGAACATCAGACCCTCGACTCGCAACATGTGCTCCTGCAGGTCGTCGAGGATCGCGTGCTTGGCCAGCTCTTTGGCGCCACACAGCGTGGACAGGGTGTTGATGGCCTTGTATTGGATGGCCTGGCGCTGGTTCAGACACAGTGATACAATGCCCTCGAGCGAGGGCACGATGCCTGCGAGCATGAGGCGCGAGAAGTGCGACAAGTACTCATCGACCGAGTGCAGATCATCCTCATCCTTTTCCACTGCCTCCTCTTCCATCAGCTTGACTGCCAACTGGATGTCGAGTGCGCGTGCCCAGTTCTCGATGGCACGAGTGCGCTGCAGGTCTGTGAGCGACTCCTCAGACGGCAGCTTGAAGTTGTCTGTGAGCGACTGGCGGTAGAGCTCGCAGGCATTGGTCACCAGAGCAAAGATGGCGCCCTTGGGTCCACCAAACTGATTGAGTGTGACTAGATGGCGCAGGTACGCCGTGGCCAGGTGGTACGTGGTTACGGGCGACGGATAGATGTGAACGCTGTAGCTGAGCGACTGGATAGACTGCGTGTGCAGCACTTTCCACATCTCCTCGACCTGCACGCTCTCCTCGTTCGACCATTCTGACATGAGGAATTGGCACTTCATGCGGCGGGAGTATCGGCTCAGCGATATGCCCCACTTCCTGAGCATTTTGGCCATTGTCCTAATGCTGTTCATGTCCTTTGGCGTATGTTGCTGCTGTGGCTGATGTTGTTGCGCCAGTTGTTGTTGTTGCAACTGCATCTGTAGTTGTTGTTGCTGTTTCTGAAGTAAAATGATACACTATTGTTGTTTGATTTATTGATTGAGTGAGTGGTTAGTTATGTGTGGCCGAGGAAACTTGTAAACTGGAACTGGAAGTTGGAAGTTGGTGCGGGATAACTTACTCTGTGATACTTTTCGCATGTGGCTTTATACATTGGTAGTTCTAGGTATGTACAGAGAATAAATAGACAGTCTCCCCATTGCATCCAGAGGTCCGGGTCGGCCCAGGGCGAGTTTGGATCCTCGCTGGGAGGGGGTGGCGGGGCGGGTGGCAGCGACACTGAGCGCAACACACGGCGAACTGATGGGTTGGCCAATGAAGCGGGTGGCTGCGCCAGTCCTCCATTGTTTGAGACCGTCAGAGATGAGTCGCGCGCTGGCTGTTTGGGCAGGGGCTTGGGAGCCGCCTTGCTGACGGCGGGTGCGACTGAGAAACTCATCAGCGACGACATTGACAGGCTGGTGCTGGGGCTGCTGTTGGCCGGCGTTGACAACTCGAGCGCCAACTGGTACTTGCTGCATACATCGAACAGCGGCTCCTTCAGGAGCATTGATTGCAGGCTGTCTGTGAAGGGCGTGGTGGGCGTGTGTTGCGACTGAGACGTGGGCACGGCCACATCCTCATTCCAGTCCAAGAGACTCAGGTCAATGTTGGCGCCACCCAACAGCTCCTTAATATTACGATGTATCAATCTGGCCCACTTGATCAGTGTCTGGTAGTCCTTTGGGTCCTGCTCCATCATCAATCTATACTTGTACTCCAAGCCAATGTCCAACAAATGTCTCGAGTTACTATTCGTGTTGCTGTCCTCATTTCCAATGTTATGTACATCATCCTCTGTTGTGGATGTTGTTGTTGTTGTTGTTGATGATTGTGTCTGTGTTTGAGGCTGTGACTGAGTCTGAGGCTTAGGCTGGGCCTGGGCCTGAGGCTGGGCCTTGGGCTTACTCTGTGGCTGGTTTTGAATTGATGACTCAACCTCTCTCTTTACGTTCTGGTGCATAAGAGAGAAGTCCTGCTTGACATAGTTTGGTGGTGGCTTCAGGTCTTGGAGTGGTGGTGATGGTGGCGGTGTAGTTGGTAGTGGCTTCTTGCTTGTGATTGGATTGTTGTTGTTGGTATTTGATGATGATGATGATGATGATGTAGACGAGGTTGTGGCGGGCTTGGATTGTGCTGGCAATGTAGTAGGATTGAGTGATGTTGGTGCCTTGGACGATGGGAGTGGCGGGGAAACCGCGTTAACCTGTGTTGTTGTGGCTGGAGTGGTAGTTGTGGTTGGTCGCGATGCATCATTGCTCAGACTTTGAATCAACATTTGAAGGTCATTCATTTCGCCTGGTGATACCTGAGTCTGGGTCTGTGTCTGTGTCTGTGTTTGAGCCTGTGTCTTTGGTTTTCTCGAGCTTGCGACTGGCTGTGTTGGGTTGGCACGTGGACTAATGGTGGGGGAGGTGGTCGAGTGATTCTCCTGCATTTGATTGTCAATCTTTTGAGTGCTGATCGATATGAGCCTCTCCAACTGTGCCAACTCCTCCAGCTCCATGTCAATAGATCTCTTTGAAGTCGTCGTTGTTGTTGTGGTAGTGGTAGCTGCTCGTGGACTGTACGGATCAAAGTCATCCTCATCCGAGTCACGGATATGTCTTTGTCCGCCGCCATGGACACCAGTGCTGCAATGTGGCTGGTCATTGTCGCCATAGTCTGGTGCGGCTGGCAACACGGAGGTGTCGAAGCCAAAGGGGTCGGTGGAGGTCGGTGGCATATTTAGCTGGTACTTCTTGGAGTACCTCTCTCTAATGCTTCCGGCCGACGTCTTCCTAACCTCCAGCTGTCTTGACAATGCTCTGATCGAAGCCTCTATATCATCATCATAGTTGTTGTTGTTGTTATTGTCTCCTGCTCCTACTGGTGCTACTGTAGTTGTGTTGATCATCATTACTCGTTGATGTGCGTGAGTGCGCGTTGATGGATGGACACACACTACGCTACACTACACTGATCTGATCTATGTTCCTTGATTGATTGAATGAATGAATGAATGAATGAGTTGAATGAGTTGAATGAGTTGAATGAATGAATGTAGGAGTAAATGAGTTGAAGGAAGAGTAGCTCTCTCTCAACAGGCTAAACTCATCTCCAACATGGTTCAACAGGCCCAGAAGGGAGGCTCAAATTCGTTTTGATCACTAACCAGTGCACTCACCCATCACTTCCCAAAAAACACACACACAATCACGATATCAATAATAAATAATCTTGGTGTGGGGTCCGATGGTGCCCTTGGGCATACCCAAATATCCATTGGGTGATGACTTCCATCCATCAATCCATCCATTGATTGATTGGTTGATTGTTTGATTGATTGTCGTGTGTGCACGTGAATTAATTAATTGTGTAATAGATTGATTGATTTTAATAATGACTGGATGTTGATGACACCTAAGATCGTCACTGAGTCAAGATCTGATCCTACTATTTGCAAATAAGCGCTGGACGCGTCCCTTGGAGTCGAGTTTGTTGTTATTGTTGTTGCAGTTGTTTGGTTTGAGTTGGATGTTGTTTGATTGAGTTTGATTGATTGGGTTGTATAATAATAGTGTAGTAGTTAATTTAAAATCGGTGGTCGCCTACATGTCGGACATGTATTATTGTCCTCGAACCATTTCTTTATCTCATCCTCGCAATACTGATGTGAACAAGGTAAGAGTATAAGTTTATCGCCCTCTTTAAACTGTTCTAAACATATCTGTTTGATTGTGTCCATAATGATTGATTGATTGATCGATTGTTAGTGGATGCCATGCCATTCATCAATCAATAAACAATACATACTCCACAGGTGTTGTTGCTCGCATCACTCTTGTCATTGGTTGGTGTGTAGACATGTCGTTTGAGTTTGGCGAGTTCACTTGGTGGTATACCCTTGGGCACATTTTGGAGCTCCAAGAGTGATTCGTAGGTGTCCAGCGGTTCGTTACCATCCTGGTAGGAGTGCTGCAGTTGTTCGGCAACGGCAGAGATGTGCTGTTGGTGCAGGTGGATGTGGTTGCTCTGTAGGTTGGCATTGTGAAGGCGATGGTGATTGCTATGTATGTTTGAATGTGGATGATTAAATTGTTGTTGTTGTTGTTGTTGATGTTGTTGATGTTGTTGATGTTGTTGATGTAGGTGTGCGGCATGAGGATGTTGAGGATGGTGATGATGTTGTTGTTGTGGCGATGTCGACACCTGTTGCTGTTGTTGTTGAGGGAAGTGATTGTGTAAAACGTGTTGACTGTGTATTTGCATGTGTAGCTGGAAGAATGGGTTCAGGCTTGAGTAGTGCTGTTGCTGTTGCTGCTGCTGTGACGACTGCGGCGACGACGATGACTGTCCAATGTGTTGTTGATGTTGATGATTGTGATGCTGCAGTGCAGACAACGATGATGATGATGAAGGTGGTGAGTGTTGTGGATGATGATGTTGTTGCTGTTGCTGTTGCTGTTGTTGTTGTTGTTGGTGATAAGGGTGGAAGTGTGCAGCCACTGAATTATTTAGTAGCTGACTGTGTAGCAAGTGCATCTGTCGCTCCGTCTGCTGATACGCTTGTAAATGCTGCAGCTGCTGTGAGTGGAGTGACATATGCTCTTGGAACATTGGACTATTTACATTGGCCATTGGTTGGTTGAATTCTGCTATATATCTATATTCATTGATCGATTGATTGATTGATTGATTGTCAGTGACTGATCATTCATTCAATGAAGATTGCACCGCTGGATCCTTACCTTGATTGATAGTCTCTACCACTCATTCTTGTTGTCAACAGATGTTACTGTATATGTGAAGGTTGTTGTTGTTGTCGTGTATGTTATTGCCTTTATGATTGGGGATTGATTACATATACATGTGAATGAATGATAGATTGATTGGTTGTTATGTGATTAATGTTATATTATGATTATTATATGTACAAGGGTTGTTGTTATTGTTGTTATTGTTATTGGTTATAAGTTATAAGTTAATATTAATGTTAATAAATAACAAAGAAGTTAAATGTTTGTTTGATGATGATGTGATATAATGTGTATAATGGGAATGAATTGATGGCTGCACTACTGCTACTACTACTTCTAGCTCGCTCGCTTTCGTTCTCCGATGTCCTTGTCCAATGATAATATGTTGACTGACTGACTGACTGACTGACTGACTTGATGTTGTGATTGACTGTGATTATGGTGATTAATTATGATTGATTGTGATTGTAATGATTGATTGATTGAATGAATGATGAATGAGTGAGGGGGGGGTGGTGGCTGCTGCGCAGCTGCTCCCGCTTCTTCTTTGTTCTCCTCCTCCTACTCCTCCTTATGCTCTTGCAACAGGGGATGTCGTTGTTTGATGTATAGATCACGTGTGTCGTCGTCGCAAATAACAACCTCTATCTATCCTCTCTATCCTAAGTAGCTCTTGCTTGTTACACAACAACAAAGATATACATCCACCAACTACAAATGAATGAATGAATGAATGATGTGTATGTGTATGTGTGTATATGTATTTGATTGTCCTGTGTTAATGAATGATTGAATGAATGAATGACTGGCTTCTGTCTCCTTTGATAATCGATTACAACCCACACACCAGACTCACACTCACTCACTTTCCCTTCTAATTACACACCACCTTGCAACTCTCACTCATTCATTCACACAACTCGATGAGGAGTTGAGTTGGTGTGCCATTGCTCAATCACTCACACACCTCACATCACACCACCACCACTCAAACAATCAACTAGTTTAGCATAACCTGTGTTTGCGAAAGAAGTGGTGTTTTTCGTGGATCTCGATAATTTGATTGATTGGTTTTGGATTGGTTGGGTGAAGTCCTTGTGGACCATCGGACTTTCATGGTCCCTGGGTAAATAATCAATGATGGTGATAATTTATACAAACATACCAAGAGGATGGATGGTTTATGGATTGTCAGATATGTTTGACTTCCTTTGGTAAAATAGTATGTAGGCTGTGGACTTTGAGGACTCTATCACTTCATTGGCTTCGACAATAGTGACCTTGCTATCATTATAGTTGACCCATATCTCTTGTATATCATTAAAGCAATATGTTGTATAATGTCCACTAAACAGGCTATTGTTGATGTTGATGTTGATGTTGTTAGTTCAATCAATCAATCAGATCAATCCAATCATTCAAACATACCTTGATCCATGATGATTGATGACGCTCACCAGTTCGTAGTTACTACTACTATTGTTGACACTGTTGTTAATGTTACTGCTACTGCTTTCGTCATTGTTGATTATGATGATGTCGCCAGACACTTGAGGTTGAGGTGTTGGCGCCAACTCTGGCTCTACGAATGCCGTGAGATCCAGTTCGAATGGGAATGATACTTCGGTCTCAATCTTTGAGCATCGGTCCGCTCTCCATCTGAAACGTTTGAGTACTATACATAGGACATTTGGTAGACTGACGATTGAGAATCGTTTCTCGGCCTCTTGCAACTCCTTGCAGGTCTCGCAGTTGTATATCTTGCCATCGAGCAATTCCTTCTTGATCAGATGCTTGATGCAGTCTTCAAGTTGGCAGTCCTTGGCTGAGGAGACTGTTGTTGTTGTTGGGGTCTCTGATGATTGATCATCTTTGTGATCAGCCTTGCTGTTTCCACCTCTTGTTCGCTTCCTCCTTGATCCTCCACCTCCTGGTGTTGTTGTTGTGAATGGTACGTCCAATGTCAACTCGAGGAATGTCTCAAATACTGATGCCCTCTTCTTGCACTTCATGCATGTGATCTCACTCTTCAGCTTGCCCTGGAATAGTTTGACCACCAGGTCATCCTCATCAGATGAGGTTGTTGTTGTTGTTGATGTTGAGGTGGATATTGATGTGGCAGTGGATGTGGAAGTGGAGTTGTTTGTGTCTGTAATGGAAGTGGCAGTGGAAGTGGAGGATGTAATGGCAGACGCAGAGACATCTGTGGTGTTGTCGACATCTTCGATGGAATGAGGACTAGGAGTGATTGATGATGATGGTGATGGTGGCGGAACCTTCTTTCTGGACAGACGCTTGAATGTGTGGGACTTGGGAGGCGGGACCTTCTTGGGTTTAGGATTCAGTTCCTCTGATATGCAGTCGAGCAGTGATGAGAAGAACTCTTGTGCATCCTGCTGTTGGTAATACTTGAACTGAGGTATGAACTTAAGTACCGAGTCCAAAAGTGATGATGGCGTCACAACACTCCACTTGCCAGCCCACAGTACTCTGAACAAGTAATGTAATTGGATGCTAAAGGACCTGGTTATTGATTGAGTGAGTGAGTGAGTGAATGGGTGAGGGGAGGGCGGGCAGGTGGATACATACAGGTCAGAGAGCTTGGATCCATTGATTTTGTTGTTCTTAAGCAGGCTGAGACAGTCGATCGTTGATTGACGCTTGGATGGGCTGGCCAGGGGGTCATTGATCATCATGACGGCGTTGTTGTTATTGTCGCTGTTGGCTGATTGTTGGCCACTCTTGAGTTGAACAAAGAATGTTCTAAACTCTGGTATATTGCTCAGTGATTGAAGGATGGTGTTCATGAAGCATGTGTTGCCTAGATTGCGCAGGCCTGTCGCACCTGGAATGATTCCATTGGTCTTGATTGGTGAGCATGCCAACTTTGACATCAAGTACGTTGATGAGTAGTTCTTGTTGGTGGACTTGCGTATATCCAAGCCACTCTCACTTCTAATCAATGAATGATTGGTGTCACCTCTCTCCAATGTGTTGCCATTGCCATTGCTGCTGTTGCCGTTGCCGTTGCCAAACTGGGACGGGGGTGGTGGTGGTGGCATGCCATCATGCGGGTCCACAAAGGGGTCTTCGCGCTGTGTTGCCTCGTCGTCAATGTATTCTGCGTCTCCGCCGATGAGGCCGACGGGAGGGTCGTCTTCTCGCTTCCTCTTCTTGTCCATCGATGTCTGGCTCTGGCCCGCCAATGTCATTGTCTGTGGACCGTCCTGCTTGACGAGACGCACCTTGGCCAGCTTCCACAAGCCAAAGAATCGCCTGGTCATCGACATTTGATAATGATTGAATGCGGTCTCGTCCACGTCATCCCGACAGATATTCTCGTCGTTGATCACGCGAGTCTTGAGAGACTCGAGTGTGGCCTTGTACAGCATCTGGCGCAGCTGATCAATGTCGCCGGCGGCATTGTCATTCTTGACATAGTTGTGACACTGGAAGCAGTAGCAGTACTTCTGCTGGAAGTCCATGACGAGATGATGGGCCGTCTTGCGGTTGTGCGCGATGCAGTGTCGTCGGAACTTCTGGCAGCCAATAATGCCACATGCCAGGCAGATCATAATGTCAAACTCGGCGGCACAACAATCGCACTTGAGCTCCTTACCCTCCTCCAGTCGCTTGGCCACGGCCTCCATATCTATCGCCTGCTTGGACCTAAGATGATAGCACCTGACCTGGTCCACCGATTCAAAGCCATCCTCATCGTCGTCCGTATCCACTTCATCATATTCATCATCATCATCATCAATCTCTTCAATGTCGACTTCCACAACTGATTGTGGAGCTGTCTCTGTCTCTTTTGTTGGCTTCACCTCTTCGTTCTCTGGTGCTGTATCAGTTGTCTGTGTTTGTGGTCGATGTGTTCTTGTCTTTTCTCCACCTCTAGAGGTCGTTGTTGTCTTGGTTGCTGTTGTTGATGTTGCGGTATGATCATCTTCGTCCATATTATCAGGTTCATCGATATCTACTATAGCAGGTTTATTAGCAGTCGCTGCACTCTTTGCGCTAGGTGGTACAGGTCTAGATTCATCCTGCTCCGGCTCGTTTATTCCTGTTGATGATGTTGTTGTTGTGCTCCTTGATGCATATCTCTTTGTTATTGTCATGATTGAAATATATATATATATATATAATGTTATATTATCTGTACGTAGTCATCTATAACAACCAAGAGTGAATGAATGAATGAATGATTATCTTCTTGTAATAAAGAGTTGAATCTGAATGTGAAGATCACACTTCAAAGTGGACACCCTTTCAATCATTCACTCACTTTCGAAAGTGCACTCAAACTCTCAATCATTCATTCACTCACGTTGACATCAATTAAGACAAGGGATAAAGAGGTGAAACAATCTAGAGTGATTGATTGGCATGTGTCACAATGCAAGGACCACCAAGTATTATAGGTGTACCAAGAGATAGTAATCAAATGTCATCATACTCCTATCAACAACAATATCAACAACAACAACTAAGGTTTCAATCATTACTATACCCATTCCGTTATGAGAATGGTACAGATATCTCTGCCAACCTATTCATAGCATTCATCACTGTTGCATCAATACTCATATCACTCAATCTCTTTGCTTGGATCAAACAACAACAACAACATGTTGTTGCAGTGGCGGCGGCGTCAGACAGAGAGTCGCAACGCTCCAAGACATCAACAACATCAACATCACAGGCATTGGTAAGTTCATTCAATCATTCAATCAATCAATCAACTCGATTGACTGACACACATCAAGGCGTTCAAGCCATTGATAAATATACGATATATAGCCAAGGAGATAGAGAGACTGCTAAGTGCAGTTGGTATGACTGTGTTGCTGTGGTGCTTGATGGAGTATGTTGGTGTGGTCGGCATGCTAGAGAGCATGGTCAGCGAGCCACTCACAACAGTAGCCGTTGATGTACAACCAGTGACAGTGTCATCAATGTTGGATGTGTCGACGACCATTGGCAAGAAACATAGGATGAATGAAGGCAATGGTGTTGGCGAGGCATCGACGACGATGCTTCGATATCGTTACTCAATCATCGCCAACAGGTTTATAAATGTACTATTGTTGCTGGCATTGATCGTGACCGTATACTATGTGATCACATTGGCCTTGGTGTATATGTCTTCGAGGTCACTGGCCAGAAGATGTACAGTGGACAAGCGATTGACCGTCTTAAGAGACACAGTCATCGATCATTTTGATAGTGTCTGTAGACAACTGATGGAGATACCATGGCTGCTGGTCACACTATCACTACTAGCGAGTTGGATGATGGTGCGACTCTACCTGGATCGCAAGCCCATTCACTCAATCACTGGTCGGCCACCTTTTGACCACCTAGTCGACACATTCCACCTTCTCTCACTCGGTGCCCTATTTGCATCCTCAGTCATTTCGTACTTTTGTCATCAAACCCTGCATTATACAATGCCAACAAATCAACCAACATCAACATCAACATCAACATCGCCCCAAGCTCAATTGAAGAAGAGGCAGACATCATCACCATCAAGGCCAACTACAACAGAGGAGAACAACGATATCCAAAATAGGAATAAGAATAAGAAGAAGAGGAATGCTCAGATGACGAATGATGTTGGATCAGCTGCGCATAGTGTAGGTCAACATGAGGAGATATCGACACAACTTGATGATCATGATGACAATGATGACCAAGGTGCAATGATAGCCAACGACAACATCAACAATGTGGATGATGGTGATGATGGAATGATGCCAACAACAATCAACTTTGATCAAAAGGCAATAATTATGATCAGCCAGTTGATTATGATATTCCAATCAATCTACTTTATAATTTATTTGCACTCTGTGATGGCATTGATCAATGTCAAACAACAAGATGACACACAACTATCGATCCTTACCCTGGAACAAAGTATTCGACTACTTGCACTCATTCCAACACTTCTGTCACTCTACATCTTCCAATCACGAACCGCCAGCATGTTACCAATTTGCTCAATGTTCTCATCCAGCTCAGTTCATCACAAAACACAATAATAATAAAGGATGTAGCTCGTCCTTCTGATTAATTAATTGTTAGGGATGGAATGATTAAAGTTGGAAATTCATAATCTAATAAACTAACTCTCTTCGGGTGATGTTGACCATCTTTATCTTTTCACACCATTCAAGGTCATTATCATTATCTCTAGTCAATGAAACCAAACAAGGTGATGGCTACCATATTAATATTAGCAACCAACTCATTAAATAGAGAGAGAACAGAGAATAAGAAAGCATATAAATACAGAGACAAAGAATAAGATGGGTATCATACATTCAACCTTGACCCTACTATCATCATCAACAGTAAGTATTCTTGCACCTTCGCTAACAATATCATCATCTAACTCCTCTGGTCTAAGACTCACGACAACTCCTGGTACGAAGACATGGACTCAGGAGCTACTGGTTACCCGCTCGACGTAGTCGACAATGCCAAGGCTATGCATGCGTACCTACTCATCTACAAGTGGTCCCTGGACTCTGCCAACACCAATCTGGGCCACTTCGCCATTGTCCTTGACTGGTTCGGAGAGACGACCAATGTTGACAACCCTGTCGGCCAACATCATGATGCCTCGTGCCCAGGAAGCCAGGCGAGTCACAGGATGTTTGGTTCGCCTCCCATCGCTACAAGAAGGACCAACCCTCCGCGCATCTACTTCGAACGGTACCTCAGGGCAAGGCAACGTCAGACTTGAGCTTTCTGGAGTTTGCTGCTGCCTTTCCGACCACCTTCATCAACTTCATCAAGGAGCAATACGACAACCACTACCACTGGGGACCAATGACCAACTGCCATCAGTTCGCCAGTCACTTGGCAACCACCCTACAGCTTGACTGACCCAACGACATTCCCATTCTCGACGACTACAGCCATTTGGCATTGACCGCCATCTCTTTCTACCGTGACATCAAGCTATGGACCAAGTCGGAAACAAATGACGCATTGTGTTGACTTTTGGTCGCGAGCATTCCATCTGTTTGTTCACTGTTGTTGAATCGATACAAGCAGGGCTAGATTCACAAACAGTTGATGGCCAACAATAATTCCTAAATGATATAAGTTTATTATCTCTAGTAAAGTTATAATTTTCCAGCAACCTTCATATAGATAGATTCAAATGTAATCCATAGGCCTCTCCGATTTGTCTTGATTGATTTATTGACTAGTCTAGTCTAGGCTTGATCCAGTGTAGGGTGTTGTTATTGGTTGTGTGTGGATAACTCACAGTCGCTGGCTTCGCTGGCATTCCGGAGCTGGCGCTCCTTCATTTTTGACTTCCCCTTATAGTTTTATATACTCTTCAACTTTAAAATAGGTATCTGTATCAACAWGTAGAATGTAGTAGAAATAGAGTTTTAAAGTTCAAAATAATAAAAATAATTAATCCTAAATCCAGGAGGTAATTTTCCTAATTCTACTACAATTCTACTTTCAGTACCTGTCACCGCCATAGCAGTGAGCACGTTGGAAAAAGAGTATCTGTCTAATCAATGTAGAATTGTAGTAGAAATAGAGTTTGGAAGTTGGAAATAATAATAATAATTAATTCTAAATTGAGGAGGTTATTTTTGTAATTCTACTACAATTCTACTTTCGGTATCTGTTAGCGCTGTGTTTGCACGACCGAGAGAGTTACCAGGAGTGTACTCAGCACGTTGGTCCAGCACGTACTTCCGATTGTTCACAAATTGTTCACACACTGTTCACCAAAACAACACCAAATATACACCAAGTGTAAACCAAAAGTTCCGAGTGTTGTTGGTGAGTGCGTTAGGACAACATAACTGGCACTTCCGAGAGGATGTTTATTGTGATGACGACGACGCCAGTATATTGCGATCGAGCTTGGAAAGGTGGCAGTAAGATCGACAAAGCCACAGAGAGGGATGATGCGCAGCCATCAGAAGGCGACAACTTATTGGTCGATCCTCATCTACTTCTCATCAGGGTCCACTCCATCATCAGAGTTGGCAGATCTCGAATCTGATTCATCATCATGATCAACCTCCATATCTTCGTCAAACAAGGAAAACAAGGAAAATGAACCAGTGAGGTAGTTCTCAATATTTGCTTTGTGGATGACAATGGCGCCTAACGTATCACAACGGAGTCAGTGAGTGAAAGGTGGCGATCACAATCAAGTTGCACATACCGTCATGGTCGGAGTAGAACGTTTCCAAGACATCCTGAGTAACCATTCTGTTGGTGAAAATGATGTATACGACCCTGAACTGGTTGCGCAAGGTTCCCAATCTGTCTTTGAATTCTTGGTAGATGGTCTCCAGTCTATCGAGTCCTAGCGGATTGGCATCACCGTCATCCTGAGTGTGCTTGAGTTGCTTGGCAAACATCCAARGGCAAACGATTGGGGTCTGTTGACGATGCCTCTAAAGACTCTTGTGTCTACACTTGGATTGCCTGGTGCACAGATGAATGAATGATTGTAGAGTTGGTCAAGAGGGACTTCAGACATCGCACTGTGGACCACATTGGAAGGGACGTCCTGATCATCAGACCCTGTGCCTTGTCCTCTGGGTTGGGCAGTCTCTTTCTTGAGGAAGTGCTTGGCTTCTTTGTGAACTGAGGCCATGTGTGAGAGCATGAAGACACGATCGCCAATTGGACAGTCTGTATAATAGGACTTGATTGAGCATTGTCTCCATCCAGCATCAAAGTGAGCGTTGTTCTTGAGAAGATCAATCTCTGCCTCGAACACTTCGAATTTCTTCCATCCCCAATGCTGATTGAGTGGCTCCATGAGGTTGAGGGAGGAGAAATGGAAGCGCTTGTTGAGCATCTCGAGCACAATGAGAGGGTACACGATGTAGAAGTAGTCCGTACTCGGTATCTCTTTGAGGAAGATGATACCATGGCTGGTAACATCTTCAATCGTGATGGGCGTTGGTGGATTTTTTGAGGTGTCCATGTCTGGAAGTTGGTGATCGAGAGGTACATCAAAGGAGGAGATTGACATGGCAATGATGGTGCGAAGATTCCTCTCAGTGTGGCAGATGCTCCTCCATTGGCCGCCAATTTTGTATGCAGTGTCGATATTCATCATGGTTGATTCAATGATGTGATCCAAATGAGCCAGGGTGATGTCGGTCTTGATGCAGTCCTTGAAGATCTCCAAGATGCGGGGAACTCCTCCCATGCTCATGAGGACCCTCTGGAATCGAGCCCCCTTGGAGGCTGCGTCAAAGTTGGGAATGTTGCTGTCCATGTAGGCAACACTTTGCTCATAGGTGAATGGGTCCAACTCGATGTGCTTGGACCCGTACAATGTCACTTTTTGCTTGAGATCTTTGGAGGAGGTGCCAGTCAATATTGGGAGGATGACAATGTTGAGGCAACTGGCGAGAGACTCCGAGTTTGTTGAACACATGAACTCTGCAATGATGTGAAGGATTGCCTGTGAAAAGGTTGGTTGTAGCTGGATCTCATCAAGATGAATGGCAAGCAAGACCCTTCTCTGTCCAATGTTCACCTTGGGTGCGAACCATTGCATAACGTAAGAAAAGGTGAAGCCACTGAGGCCACCCGAGCCGGTAAGTCGGAGAAAGAGTGTCTTCCAATGAGTGCCAAGAAAGCATGCTGCAACTCTGAGAGCCAACGATGTGTCAACTGAGATGGCAGAGTCAATGTAGCTGTCATACCTAGTTGTTGGAGTTGTTTGATAAGTATCAGATCAAATCTGCTGCTGCTGCTGCTGCTGCTGCTGCTGCTGAACTTACCTGGATCCATTGGAGAGATCTATGAATATTCGATACCTTGAGTAGTCGTTGTATCGAGCAGAGGTGATCAAATGATTGCCTGCGTGGAATCCAGTCCAAGTCTTCCCAATGCCACTGCCGTTGACGATATAGAGGAAGGAGTGCTTGGATCTCTGAGACAGCCTGTGTCCAGCGATGTTGTAATCAATGAACTGATCGATCTTGTCAAGAACACCTGCTCTCTCAATGTAGTTTGGAATGTCGGCCAATCTTTGAAGGTCCACCAGTGGATCAGTATTTAAGGGATCTATGTAGAGGTCAATGTCAGTATCAATCGAACACATCACTCGCTCTCACTTCTACTTACGCGCTTGGCCACCACCGACTCCTGCAGCACCGGCTTGAGTGTGTATGTTAGTATCGAATGAAGACACTGCGCCGATGTTGTTTGTACTTACCAGCTTGAACAATCTTCTGGGCGTGGAGCTTGAGTTGCCCGGGCAACTTGTTGAGATTGATGATTGTATTGGCTTTGTCATCGCCACCCTCAAGTGACACGATACATGCAGCCTTCTCATCATCGGTGAGATCTTTGTGTTCGATAATAATGTTTGACGCAGTCTCTTTGACAGACATTTGTGTTGATAATGAGGTGATATGATAGGAGTGAAGATAAGTTGGATGAGGATGATTGTTGTAGTATTTGTTGTTGTTGATGTTTGTTGGTGAATGGTGAATGAGAGAGCTTCAAAGTTGAGCCTTGTGGTTGTGTGGTGGTGAAGATGATCTGCCCATCCCATTTTGGAAACTCATAAATTAAATTTATCTCTATCAGATATAACATGTCATTATTCAAAGAGTACTATTGGGACGAGAACTCAGAGTTCAGAGAGCGTCACAAAGCATACATCAAGCAAAAGGTACGATGTGAATGCGGCTTCGAGGTAGGTCGCACCAATCTCAATCGACACAAGCAAGGCTACATCCACAAGCAGTTGATGGCCAACAAATAGGTTCAAAGTGATATAAATTAACATCTCAATGTTAACATATAGAATGAGCAGATCAACCAGAGACATTGGCGGCAGACTCAAGAAGACGGGCGTGACCGAGATCAAGCTCACAGGTAACTACAGCAGAGCAGACATCGAACGAATCGCTCAGCGAGACAGCAACACGCTTCAACGCTACGGCGCCAATGCGAGGATAGAGGTCGTGCTCGACTACGGCAACCATCAATATCGATCAGGAACATTCACCAAGGTAGGCGAGCCGATCATCATGTTTGATCCTCACGAGTATGATGGAGCACCAATCGCAGAGCCTGACACATTCAAATCGTTCTACATCTACGTTCATCAAGCAAAGGGCAAGGCAGGTGGCTGCGACGGCGAATGGAACAACTGCCTCTATCACTGCCTCCACGACGCCTACCCAGAGCAGGTCACAGAGCACTTCGGCAAGCCATCGCGCCTCAAGAGGTTCCTCAACCTCGATGTCGATCAGAAGGTCTCAATCAAGCGGATCCCAGAACTCGAGGACAGACTCACCATCAAAATCAACGTCAAAGGTGATCACTGCTACGCCTCGACCTCGAGGGCAACCAGAGAGGTCAACCTCTTACTAACCAATGGACACTACAAGCTAGACAAGGAAGGCACCTATGCAGGTAAGGGCATTAGATATACACGACACAATGAGCGTGACACTTACATCACACCAATCGCATTCAAGTATCTCAAGGGCGATCAGGTCCAACTCTATGATGACGTCGAATACACGACCATCAGCCTGGAGCAGTTCATCAACAGGAAGAAACGCAAGTATCAAGGCAAATGTGAGTACATCCGTATCCTCTCGGGTATGACTCTCCAGGAGACATTGGACTCGTTCAAGGCCGACGCCGACATGCTCAAGGAACATACTAACGGCGTCATCGACATGTACACAACAGGATAGAACATCAACAAGGCTGCGATCAAGCTGTTCCTCTCGTACAACAAGACTGTCAAACCAGAGCCCATCGGTCAGATGGAGGGCGAGTGGATAAAGAAGTCAGCCTATGGCCCTTTGATGATGGCTATTCAACATATAGGAGCTCTCTACAAGTATGACGTCGCTAGGATGTATGCATCCATCTTGAGGAGCAGTGGCTTCATGATCCCAATCAAGTGCGGCGAGTTCCAGCATCTGACCGACGAGGAACTGGCCACAATGAAGTCAATCCCATTCGGTATCTATCGTGCCACCATTGTTGGCACTCACGGAGCCTTCAAGCACAACAAGAACGACTACTACACTCACTACGACCTCATCTTTGCCAAGGAGCTAGGACTGACATTCAACTTGAAGAGCGGCAACAAGGCCAATGCCCTCATCTACGACAGCAGCTGTAGGAAGTTTGGATCCGATCTGTTTGGCAAGTACATCGATCAGGTCCTCGGCTGGATAGATGCATGTGAGCCCAAATCTAGATTAGAGGAGCTCTGCAAGTGTCTCTATCAACGCCTCTGGGGCGCTCTCTCCAAGCGCAACAAGACCAAGCAGTGCGTCAACATGGAGTGCGATGAGGAGGTCATCAAGACCAGCGACGGACAGAGAACGATCAAGCACATTGATATCAACGTTGACGAGGACTACTCAATCGATCGCATCACTCCAACAGCCAATGGCAGCGCGATGATCAAATCAGTCTGCAACACCGACATGTTCGACACTCCATTCGCTCGGATCATGCCATTCATCATCTCTCGTGGTCGCAAGATGATTGGAACGATAATAAAGGATGACATTGCCAACATCAAGCGCGTGCACACTGATGGATTCGTCTCGACCAAGCCATGGACAGAGAAGACAGGCAAGAAGTCACTCGACTACGCCAAGTTGGGCAAGGAGTGCGGTGACCTGCGATACGAGGGCTACTGCCCCGACGCCAGCGTCAAGAACATGACCAAGCCAGTTGGATCATTCGCCATTGGAGTTTGGAGAACAGAAGGAGAGTTTAAAATATAGACTACTGGATATAATGGAAGACAGCACGGAATTGTTTATCAATAGCCAGGGAGAGTTAACCAACAAGATAAATTCACTCACTGATCGCATTCTAAAGGAGCGTGAACAGGATATCAAAGCATCAGTGTCTAAATATAATGATTCAGACAGCGATTGCGACGACCTGTCAGTCGATGATTCGGACGACCCTTCTGACTATGATGAAGATGAGGACACTGACCCATCGATGTTCAGATATCTTGACAAAAAGGACTCAGCAAGGGCATTGAGACAATTGAAGACTTGGTATAAGTGTGCCCAGGAAGATATCCATCGGCAAAGAGTACAGTTGGTGAAGGAGCGAGACCAATACAAGGATAAACTGAACAATATGATTGCCGAGTTGTTCTCCATCTACAAGAAATATGGCCCAGGATCAACATTATAATCTCTACTTCCATCAATATGGACGTAAAGACAGAGATAGACGACTGGAAACAGATGTATCGCTTTACCCTCAAACAGGTGGAGGAACTGCAGACACGGGTTGACGAGTTAGAGAAGAGAGTCCAATGTCCACGATCATATAGGCAGAGAGTAAAGTTGCCTAGCCTTGAGAACTGGGTGATACTCCGTCCCAGATCTGATTGGATAACAAGGGTTGAGGGTTGCAAGCTGGTATGGGGACCAGAAGCATGTGAGACCAGATAGGTAAGACTACACAATATAATCTCTACTTCCATCATTATGGACGCAGAGATGAATACGCCTTCATCGGCAGCTACAGCGGGACGGGCTCGCCCAGTCCCACTGGACGTAAAGAATACCATCGACAGGAGCAGCAGCAACAACAACAAGACATACATGCAGCAGTACTACCAGCAGTTCAAAGACAAGATCAAGGCCCACAACACAGAGAGGATACCGTGCGCCATCTGCGGCAAGTTGATCTCGCGGCACTTGATGAGGAAGCACGAGAGCCCTCCAAGGCTTCTTCACCTTATTGTGTACCTGGGATGACGTAAAAGGAAGGACCCCCACGTGTGGTTGACCAATGGGAGGTGAGAACTTGTCTGTTTATATCCTTGAAGGACAGCAATGAAATGACTAATATTTTCACCTGTTAGTCACAAGAAAGATTGATAACTTGCCAATTGATGCTTAATATAGTAGTAATAGCATTCTGCTGTGCAAGAGTAACAATAATATCTATCTTTTATAATTATAGATCAACACCACACCAAATAAAAATTTATTTATTATTCAAACAATGTCATTGTTAAATTAAACAATTATACAACATTCAAATACTAAGATGTCAAACAACCAGTTGTTTGTCTTCAATTATGGCAAAGGAAAAAAGAGAGGCAGGTCATTCCAACAACAACAACAACATTGACCAATCTGAGAACAGAAGATGGCAAGGCTCGCGACAAGTTGTGCGATCACTTTGGATGTCACGATCTAGTGGCCAACAGCAACTGGGCCCGGCACGTCCAGAACCTCAATTACCATCACAAAGTAATCAATAACGAGCAGTCATTGGCAGAGATATGCAACAGGTGCATGATTGTCAAGTTTAAGAATCGAATCAAAGCGACTGACAAGGTACACAATGCAACTGCAAGAAAGGGTATGAATTGCTAACCAAAGAACAACTACAACAACAACAACAACAACAACAACAACAACAACAACAACAACAACAACACATTTGATTAGATCATTTACTAATCAATCTCAACATCCTTCTCTTATTCAGATATACCTCTGCTCGAGATTGCCAAGTTGAAGGTACAATCCAAGATTCCAGATGACAAGTGGCTTGAGAGGATGAGAGAATTGCGGTTTCACACAAGGGTCTACTCTCTGCGCAGGATAAAGTTGGCGTTGGAGCATATATCCAAGAACAAACTAGACCTCAGAACGATCCCAAATGGATACTACAATATCCTGCCGTCTACATTGAAGAGAGCACTTGAATCTGATGCGGCATACTTCAAGATGATGGACCACTCATCAATGATCGGATGCCCACCATCCTCACTCTCTTCTTGTCATGATTGACTATTCCACCACAGGCAGATCAACAATCGTCTATGTCACATTTGTCCGCTACTGCTCCACCACCACCATCGATTGTTCCTCCACCAAGTCAGCAATCGTCGTCAACATTGCACACGTCTGCTGCTCCACCACCAACATCGATTGCTCCTCCACCAGTTCAGCAATCGTCGTCAACATCTCATACGTCTGTTGCTGCTCCACTACCACCACCATCGACTGTAACACACAGGTCTGATGCTGTTCCAACACCAGGCAGCTCAAAAGAAAACCCGATTGAACTCGTCACTCACCTTATGCTCGATGGAGCCAAGATGAATAAGAACAATCGAAAGCCATTTTTGATTGGAGTTGCACAGATTGTCGACCCACGAAAGTCACTATCCAGAATCAAGTCTCCAGAAGATGGTGTGACGTTCCACTCATACACTGG